GTGCCGCGCGCGGACGCCGTGGCGCCGCCCGCGGTGTTCGACGCCGCGGTCGCGGCGAGCGCGAAGAAAGCGGCGCAGGCGGTGGAGACGACGGTGACGCTCGGGTTCACCGCGGGGGCGCTCATCGGCCTCGGGGCGCTGCTCATGACGTGCGTGGGCGGGGCGTCGCCGGGTTTAGCGGCGTCGAATCCGGGATTGAGCGCGTTCGTGAGAGGTGCGATCGGGCTCCCGGCTGGACTCACCATGGTCGTCCTCACGGGGGCGGAGTTGTTCACGGGGAACGTGTTCGTGATGACGAGCGGGGCGCTGGACGGGGCGGTGAACGCGACGCAAGTCGCGCGGTCGTGGGTGCTCTCGTACGTCGGTAACTTTGTGGGGTCGGTGTTCATGGCGTACATGGCGGTCGCGGCGATGACGGCGGCGTCGCCGGCGGCGTCGGCGGCGGCGATCGGGATCGCCACCGCGAAGGCGTCGCTGCCGTTCGGCGCGGCGTTCGCCAAAGGGCTCCTGTGCAACTGGCTCGTCACGCTGGCTGTGTGGGGGACGATGGCGACGACGAGCACGGCGGGGAAGATTTTGGCAATCTTTTGGCCCATCATGACCTTCGTCGCGCTCGGTTTCGAGCACAGCGTGGCGAACATGTTCTTGATCCCGCACGGCATGTTCCTCGGCGCCGACGTCACGTGGTCGCAGATGATCTTCGGTAACATCATTCCGGTCACGCTCGGTAACATCGCGGGCGCCGTGCTCTTCACCGCTGGCGCGCACTGGATCGCGTACGGAAAGAAGTAAATTATGAATTATATCGATATGAATACCACAACCGCAACCAACATCGGTTGGCCTCTTTTTGCAATAAAAGTGAAGTTTCTCGGGATACGTTTTAGTACAATAGTAAGAATGCGAATGACTCGCCTAGTATCGGATAATGGTTTCTTTCGGGTAGCCAAGCTTTTCAAGAGCGGGAATACACGTGTCTTCCTCAAAGGATGGGGGACCACACATGACGGCGACGTGCGAAGTTCCGTTGGCGGCAAAGCCGTACTTCTCGATGATGGGCAAGCTGATGCGACTGTACGTGATTCGATCGGCGCTCCATTCCTCACCCTTCTTCTTTTCCGCCGCCCACGTTTCGTTTGAGATGCAATAGTGCACCTTGAATCGACTCGGGTGCTCCCGTTCGAGTCGATCGAGCGTGTACTTGAGCAAGACGTCGTCCTCCGTTTTGTTCGCATAAATGAATGAAAGCTCAGTTTGGTCCTTCTCATCCGCGAGCACGGCGACGATGAGTTGGAGCATGGGAGCGACACCGGTGCCACCGCCCAAAAGAGTCATCTTCTTCACAGGCGAGAGAGGTTTATTGTCGATCGTAAAGTTGCCGCCGCCGAGGTACTTGATGTTACCGACTGGGCCTTTGACTTCGATCGCGTCGCCCTCGTTGAGGTGGTGCATGTACTGCGTCAACGCGCCTCCATTCGGGTACGATTCGTGCACGTCCGAGTAATAAATCTTAACCACGAGCTCGATGGCACCGAGTGTACCGTTCAGGGACGACGGAGTGTACGCGCGCATGACCTTCTTGCCGTTCCACTCGCCTCGGAGATAGATGTGGTAGCCCACGGGCATGCCGCACTGGTGCTCGTCAGATTCCAGCTTCAAGCGCAACAGGATGCTGTCGTGCGAGAGTGGAATCTTCTTATCGATCTTCAGCTGCATCCACTTCTTCGGATTCAGCCCGAGCGGAGCGTCTTTCGGTACGACGAACTTCGCGCCGGCCCACATTCGATCGAACGCCGCGGCTTCCGCGGCCTCGCCAGTGATCATGTCGCCGTAAGCTTCCTTATGTTCCTCGTACCAAGTCAAGAGGTTCACCCCACCACGCTTCGGGAACTCCGGAAACTTACGCTTGGGCTCGTCGTCCTGCTTGATGACCTTAACATCCGCCGTAGCTTTCGCTTGTTCCGTCGTTCCCAACTCGCCGATGTAATACGGTTCGAGCTGTTTCCACGCCTTGTCGCTGTGGACTGCTTCGAAATCTTCCGTCGTGTCTTCGCCTGCGTTCATTGTGATACTTGCGTTGCCGCCCGGGTGCACGCCCGATTTAATGTACTCGTTGACGTCGTAAACTTTATTCTTGACAACGATCCAGCAGTCCTCTTCAGAGTTGTGCTTTGCGACCTCCTCCATCGTGATGTATCTGACATTCTCGCGGACGACGTCAGCGGGCTTATCTTCTTCCTTCTTGCGAATGGTCACGACAGCTTCGGAAGTGGTGATTTTCTCTTCTCCCGCGCGAGCAGACTCGAGCATCTCGATGATCGGCTTCCACCCACCGGCTTCGTTGCCCATCCAGCCGCCCTTGAGCGCGCCCGGCTCGGTGGGGTGTTCACCGACGACGTATCGCCCGATGGCATCCTCCGACACGGAGAGTTTGCATCTGAAATGGCAGCTGTTGCCCATACCCATGAGATTCCAGGTGAAATCACGCGGTTGCGTGTTGTTCGCTTGGTCCCACGCGCGGCACATCACTTCCTTCGCTCCCGCGAGCTCGGCGGTGTCGACCTCGAGATTCCAGAAAAACCAGCACCATTGCTTGCCGTACATGTTCGGCGCGCACGGGCGGACGACGTTGCATAGACGCCACTCGTACCCGCCGTCTAAGCTCACCTCAACTCGCGTGATGGCGTGACCACCACCCGTGTAGGCGTAACCCTTCACGGTGTACGTTTTGGAGTCCAAGGGGATACGCTCGCCGTGCGCCGGAGAAGAAATGGCGCTGTTGATGTTGAGCTCGTTGAAGATGTACTCGGGCTTCTCCCACCAGCCCTCCTTATCGGCCATCGCCGCGTCCACGCCCGGAGGCATGATGCGATTATCCCGGAAGTGGTAGAAGTTGTCGCTCGGTTGCTCGGTGATGCGGATCGTGGTGAGGTACTTGATCATGCGACCGCCGATGTAACCCGGAATGAGCAAGCGCACCGGGTAGCCGTGATCCGGTCGCAGCGCTTCGCCGTTTTGCGCGTAAGCGACCATGACGTCTTCGGCCGGATCGAGCGCCTTACAAAGCGGGATTGAGGTTCCGTACGTCCCCTTCGGCCCGTTCGGAAGCTCACCCTCCGGACCTTCAAAGCACACGTATTGGCGCTTTTCCGTCACGCACGTGACGCCGCACTCTTGCAAAAGAATACGAAGCGGCACGCCCGTCCAGAGAGAGTTGGAGAGACCGGCGGGACCCCATCCGAAACCGATGGTTTTCTTGTACATATTCTGCTCCTTGCGTCTGTTACCGGCGCACACGAGCAACATCGGCATCGTCATCGCCGGCTTGGCGAGGAGCTCATCCATCGTGTACGACCTCGACTTCTTCAAATCTTCCCCGGAGATCGTCACTCGGTGCGAATCCCACTCGCACTTTTGCGCCGCCCCGTGATTACGCACGAGATGCAGCTCCGCCGGGGTGATTCCACCGCACTCCATGAGTTCCGTCAACGGCGGCTCGACGTTGAACGGATGCGTCCCCGTGAGCCGCACCAACGACTCGTGTCTCGGCACCCACGCATCCGGCGTTCCCTCGTCTCGCGCGTCCGGCGTCGCCCCCACCACCTTCGCCTTCGCCAGCGCCTCCTCCGACCCCATGTTCGCCGCCAACTGCGCTCGAATGAATTCCCTCGGCATCGGCAGACACGGCGTCCCGCGTTCATCGCACCGCCCGTCCTCGTTCCCACGCGCGCGCGCGCGCCCCCGTCGTCCGACGAACGGCACGCTGATTCCCATCGTTCACCTCGCCTCGCTCGCGCGCGCGCTCGTCTCCCGCGTCCGTCGTCGTCGTCGTCGTCGTCGTCGTCGTCCCGACCGACGCTTCGCCGTCGTCGACGCGTCGCCGACCGTGACGCTTCGTGTTTTTTTTGCGTCGTTTCGCGTCCCTTCGCCCGGGTCATTTTTTTTATTCTTCTTCGGCATCATTCGGTGTACACTACGACACCGACGCGCGATCGGGGCCCCGTCGCTTGGTCACCCGCGGGCGACGCTTCGCGTCCCTCGACGATCGATCGCGATCGACGACGGACGATCGATCGTCGTCGACGTCGACACCGCGCGCGCGACCGGGAGTGCGCGACGCGGGACGGTCGAGCGAGAACGCGCGCGGGCGTCTTGGACGGGCGCGCGCGCGTGGACGGACGCGCGCGTGGACGAAGACGCGCATGGCGGGCGCGATGGGCGCGCGTGGGCGGTCGACGGGGACGCGGTCGACGGACGCGGGCGCGGGACGACGCGGCGGACGCGGACGCGGGAACGGGACGACGCGCGCGCGTCCGGTGCGAGGGGTCCATGTGCGACGGCGCGCGGTGGTGGAGCCGGAGCGTGGGGCGACGGGGGGCGAGCGGCGGGCGTGGCACGCCGCGGACGCGGCGTCGCTCGGCGCGTTCAACGAAGAGACGATCGCGAGGTACGCGAAGTATCCGGAACCGGTGCGAGAGGATGCGCACGTGTATAAAGATGCTGATGGGTACTACGTCGTGAAGGAGGAGTGGCGGAAGCCGACGAATCCGTTCGAAAAGTTAAAGCTGGAGAAGGATCCGATGCGCGAGCTCATCGGCTTGGCGGGCCTCGAGGCGATGGCCGAGGCGAGCGCGGTTGATTTCAAGGCTTGGGACGAGGCGCTGAACGATCCAGATGAGACGGATCAGCGGCCGAAGTGGGCCGGTTTGTTCCACCGACGGAAGGGTCACTACGGACGATACATGATGCGACTCAAGCTCCCGAACGGGCTCATCAACTCGACGCAGATGCGATACCTCGCGAGCGTCATCGAGAACTACGGTGAGGACGGGTGCGCGGACATAACGACCAGACAAAACATTCAGCTCCGCGGGGTCGAGCTGAAGGATGCGCCGGAAATTTTGCGCAAACTCGAGGAGCTTGGAATGTGTTCGCTGCAGAGCGGCTTGGACAACGTGCGCAACGCCACGGGGAACCCGCTCGCAGGCTTTGATCCGCAAGAAATCGTCGACACTCGTCCATACACACTCGCCATCCAGGAGTACGTCACAGGCGGCGGTCGCGGTAACCCCGCCATCGCGAACTTGGGCCGCAAGTGGAACGTGTGCGTCGTTGGAAGCAGCGATTTCTTCGAGCACCCGGACATCAACGACTTGGCCTTCATCCCGGCGATGAAGGATGGCAAGATGGGCTTCAACATCATCGTCGGTGGTTTCATCTCTTCTCAGCGTGCCGCGGAGTCCATCTCTTTGGACGCTTGGGTGCCCGAGGGCGAGGTCGTCGCGGCGACGCACGCCGTGCTCACCACCTTTCGCGATTACGGCCACCGCGGTAATCGCCAAAAATGCCGCATGATGTGGCTCATCGACGAAATGGGTCTCGACAACTTCAGATTGGAAGTCGCGTCGCGCATGCCCATCGGTGAGCTCGCGCGCGCGGCCGAGAAAGATCTCATCGATAGAGATTCCCCTCGGCGTAGCTACATTGGCGTGCACGAGCAAAAACAAGACGGCTTCAGCTGGGTCGCCGCCGCCGTTCCAGGTGGCCGCATGCAACCGGAGGATCTTCGCGAAATGGCTGACCTCTCCGACAAGTATGGCACCGGCGAGATTCGCCTCACCGTTGAACAGAACTTCATTATCCCGCACGTACCGACGGAAAAAGTTGATGATATCCTTAAGGAACGTCTTTTCCAAGAGTACACGCCGTTCCCTGGTAAGCTCGTGTCCAACATGGTGGCGTGCACCGGAAACCAGTTCTGCGGCTTCGCGCAAATCGAAACAAAGCGCCAGGCGTTGGAGATGGCTGAACACTTGGAGAGCGTCTTGGATCTTACCAAGGACGTTCGTATGATCTGGACGGGCTGCCCGAACTCCTGCGCGCCCGTGCAGGTGGCCGATATCGGCCTCATGGGCGCTCAGGTTAAGAATCCGTCTGGCGAGAAAGGAATGGTTCCGGGTGTAAACATTTTCATCGGTGGCACCGTCGGACCGAATGGTCACCTCAAAGAGAAGCCTGAGATCGAAAAGGTGGCTTGTACCGAACTCAAACCGATTCTAGAAGATATCATGATCGAAAGATTCGGCGCGACGCGAAAGGCGGTGCCGACACCGAACCCAGGACGCGCGTCGCGATGGAAGATAAACAAGTCTGCGCAGTACACGAAGGGTGTGCCAAAGGCGATGGGTAAGGCGACGCACATCTGTACCGCGTGCGGCTACATCTACCAAGAAACAAAGAAGTTCAATGAATTACCGGCAGATTACGTTTGCCCGTCTTGCAGTGCTCCGAAGACGAAGTTTGAGGCCATGAAGCAAGAGGTTGATCCGGCGAGCGCTCGACCGACTGTCGAGTACCCGGAGGGTACGCTCGTCACACTCAAGCAAGGCGAGACGGTGAACCTGAAACTCATTGAGAAAGAGCAAGTGACCTCGAACACCGTGCGATTCCGCTTCGAGCTTCCCTCTCCGGAGCACATTCTCGGCTTGCCAGTCGGTCAGCACGTGACGGTCACTATTGATGGCGTGTCTCGTCCCTACACGCCGATCACTCGCGACGCGGACAAGGGCTTCATGGATCTACTCGTCAAGGTTTACGACAAGGGCGAGCTCACACAGAAGCTCAACTCCGTTACCGTCGGCTCTATGGTCGCATTCGAAGGTCCGAGCGGGTTGGTGACGTACTCTGCTCGGGGCGAATTCTCTACGCTGAACCCAGCGACTGGCGTCGTCTCAAAGAAGGCGTGCAAGAATATCGCCATGATTGCCGGCGGTACCGGCATCACGCCGATGCTCCAAGTCATCCGCCAAATCTTTAGCGATGTCGGAGACACGACTCGCGTCAGCTTGCTGTTCGCCAACGTGTCCTCCGCGGACATCATCCTGAAGAAGGAGCTTGACGAGCTCGCTGCGGCGCACAAGAACTTGTCCGTGCACTATACCATTGACAAGCAAGAGCCCAACTGGACTGGCGACGTGGGATACGTTTCCAAGGACATGATCGAGAAGTGCAAGCTGCTCGACGACAACACTGGTTTCTTCAAGAAGCTATTCTCTTCTAGCGACGCCAACGATACCGCCGTCCTGATGTGCGGTCCGCCAGTGATGCTCGAGAAGGCCGTCGTACCCGCCCTAGACGCACTGAACGTGCCGTCGGAATGTCGTATTTTATTCTAGATGCAAAATTACGCTTGTGATAAACTAAAAGGGTGATAGCGTGCCCAAAGTAATCCACACGCTTATACCGAACGATGTGATTGAACTCTGCGCACGACCACGCCCCTGCCTACTGCGCGCGCGCGCGAGGCGATGCTGCCCTAACATGACATGACGCACGCATAGAAGCGAACGAGCGTGCGCTACGGTAGTGGTCGAAGTTATTAAGTTGCATGTCATGGTGGATGAATGTTCTATACGCCGTGTTACAAGTGATAGTGATAAGTACGTAGTGAATATACGTACTACGCATCGATTACGCGTTGGCGGCGGCGTACGCACTTTGCTTCTTGTGGTCGTACCAGATGCCAGCCGTGGAAACAATCACGGAGAACGCGATGAAGAAGCTCATCGTACCGACGAGGCCTTGCGGCGTGCGTTCATACGTTTCGACTTCAAAGGTGCAGCCGCTGTCGCCATAGCGCTTGTAGCCGTCCGCGGCGGACTTTTGGAGAACTTGGATAGTGTACTTGATCGGGGCGATGTTGAGCGGCAAGGTGATGTCGTGTCCAGTAGTGAGCTTTGACACGTCGATACCCTTTTCGAGCTCATCCGCTTCGACGGCGGTTTGCTTGCACTGCTTGTTCTTGTCAACGACGTCGTTCTTCTTGCGCCACTTGCGACCGACGGTTTCCGCAGAGTCGTAGCAGATCTTCACGGTGGCGGTGCAGTCGGTGCAGCTGGTGTCGAGACCGGTAGCCATGACATTCAATACACCGGTACCAGCCTTGATTTTCTACGTGCATGCGCGTGAATCGCGTGCTCGTCAGTCATCGCGTCCTCACCCTTCGCGAACCCCTCGGTCCCCGCAATCCTCAGCCGCGCGCCACGCCCGCTCGAGCGTCACCGACGCGCTCGCGATCGCCAACACCGCTCGACACAACCACCGCCGACGGCGCGATGTCTCTTTCGCCCCCTCGAGCGTTCGAACGCACCGAACCGGCGGCGCACGCCGCGCCATCGAGCTTGGTCGTCACCGTGAGCTTGTTCGCCGTCATCTCGGAGTACTTGGTCGCCGCGTGCGCGCCGGACGCCATCGCGCTCGCGACGCAGGCGCCGACGAGCATCTTCTTCATCGTGAGTTCCATCTTCGCGTCGTGCGCGTGCGTCGCGTGCGGGTGTGACGCGTCGCGGCGTCGGCGTCGCGCCTCGGGCGATATCGCGTCCGTCGACCGCCGTTTCGTGTCGTTTCACGAACGTCACCGCGTACAGAGGCTTCGAGTACCCTATAATACGAGCGTTTCGCGAAAGGGCGAAACGGTCCTGATGAAGGGGCAAAAAGGCGCAAAGCGTCACCGGCGCGTCAAACGGCGCCAACGGTCGCCAACGGTCGCATCGTATAAACGTATTCTTACGCCTATGTATGGACCGACACTCGCCGGGTCGGTCGGACGGTTCGGCCGAACGCGTCCGCGCGGTGCGGTCGACCGCTCGTCACTTCCCGACGCCGACGCACTCGACGCGCGCGGGTAGAATTCATACGGAAACGCACGCAAACATGCCCGCGGCTGATAACAAGTTCGGCATCGAGGTCGATAGGTACGCGCGATGAAGCGCGCGCGAGGAGGGATGATGTCGAGAGTTGTCGAACTGAAAGCGGCGTCGAGGGATGACGCCGTGTGGACGCGCGCGACCGCGCTCGAGTCTCGCGACCGATGAGAAACGATGAATTGAATATTTGTACTGACGTTCGCGCGCTTCTTCGCGTTGTTTTTCGTCGTTAGCGAGAACAAGGCGATGTCCTTGAACATCTTCTCGTTCAACCGACCCCACCACTTGTCTTTCCATTGCTCGTGGATCGCATTCTTCGTCTCCTTCATCTCCACCTTCGCTGCGGCGCCGATGATTCCGGTGATCCGTGAAGATTTGAACTTGAACAAGGCGCAGCTCGGTAACGCCGGTCTCGCCGCGGTCACCGGTGTGATTCTGTGCCGCGTCATGATGGGCTCGGTGTGCGACATCATCGGACCGCGCCTTGGCATGGCCTTCATCCTCATGTTCTCTGCACCGTTCTGCTTCGCCATGTCCATGGTCGAAACTTTCGAGGGATTCTTGATCTGCCGTCTGGGCATCGGTCTCGGCCTCGCCACGTTCGTGTGCACCCAGTTCTGGATGTCCAACATGTTCAACCGCAAGTGCGTCGGTCTTGCCAATGCCACCTCCGCTGGCTGGGGTAACTTGGGCGGCGGCGTCACCCAGTTCCTTATGCCGGGCATCTACGCCATCTGCTTCGCTGGCTGCAGTAAGAAGGCTTTCCTCGCTTGGCGATGGGCCTACATTGTCCCGGGTCTCGCTCACGTCCTCACCGCCTTCCTGACCTTGGCGTACGGGCAAGACATGCCGGACGGCAACTATAAGCTCCTCACCACCTCTGGTGCCATGGAGAAGAAGAATGCGCTCATGGTCAACTTGCTCGGCATGAAGAACTACCGTATGTGGGCCATGGTCCTCACCTACGGTGCGTGCTTCGGCGTTGAACTCACGATGAACAACATCGTCGCCGGTTACTTGTTCGATCAATTCGGTGTCTCCCTCCAAGTCGCCGGTGTCTTGGCTTCGTGCTATGGTCTGATGAACATCTTCGCCCGCTCCGTCGGCGGTATTGTTTCAGATTGGTCTTCCGAAAAGTTCGGCATGCGTGGACGTCTTTGGACGTTGTGGATCATGCAAACCCTCGAAGGTGTCCTTTGCATCTTCATGGGTCTCTCAAAGAACAACCTCGGCGCCACCATCGCTTTCATGGTCGCCTTCTCCATCTGCGTCCAAGCCTCCGAAGGCGCCTCCTACGGTATTGTACCCTTCATCTCCCGCCGTGCACTCGGCGTCGTCTCTGGTTTCATCGGTGCCGGTGGTAACGCCGGTTCTACGATCGTCACCGCCTTGTTCTTCACCAAGGACTCCATCGAAACCCATGAAGGTCTTGTCTACCTCGGCTACTACGTAATCGCGGTGACGGCTCTGGTCATCCCGATTCACTTCCCGATGTGGGGCTCCATGCTCTTCCCGGCCTCGAAGGACGCCACAGAAGAAGATTACTACATGAGCGAGTTCTCTCCGGAGGAAGTTAAGGCTGGCGTCGCCGCACCTGTCCAAAAGTTCTGCGAGAACGCTCGCGCTGAGCGACCGAAGTGGAAGCGCGCGGAAACCGCTGTCTCTCCATAAACGTGTAGTTGCAACATCTTTCTACGGTAGTATGAAAACAATAGAGCGTCGGCTATACTATGACATCTTGTCATCCGTTGTAACATTCATGACAGTGCATATTCATTCAACAAAACGCCATCCACTCGAGATGTAATCTTTACAATTTTATCCTACCGGTACTTCTATACGTCTCTGAACCTCCATGAGGAGATGCGTGCTCATGCCCGCCGCGAAGCCTATGGCCGTACTTTTCGTTGATATCGTTACCGCTGCCGTGACCATCACGAGATACTTCTGGTGCTGCTGCCAACCGGGTTTTGTCTTCAGCCCCATACCGATGAGCTCCAGACTCGAGGAGAAAAGCATCACACCAAGTATGGTCTTTGGAAAGTGTCCCAACAGCTTGACCAAGGAACTCCCGAAAACAAGCCCGAGAAACATCTTACATACACCGAGGAACACGATCGATCCGCCGCCTCGAGCACCGAAGGCGTACTGCGCGGCTAAGCCGCCAGCGCCGTGGCACGATGGCATCGCACCCACCCAACAGCCCACGAGGTTCATCACCCCAACGCTCGTCGCGACGGAGCTTGGAGACGCTGGAAAGTTCGGAAATAATTCCTTACTCAGCGCACATACCGATATGACCGAATTGAGTGTCGTCAGTGGAAGCTGTGGCACGCCGGCGTGAACAACTCCTCGTTTTGCCTCCGACCACGAGGCGCTCAAAATTTTCGGTCGAGCAGGCCCCATGGTCAGGCCATCTAGCGCTCTGTCTTTTGTCATCGCCATGATGATACCGATAATCACGAGTATGAGCGCAACCGGGATGTAATGTCTGCGTGGTTTGCGACGCTCTTCGCCCGTATCGAGTTCGCCTTGCGAGCACGCCGCTGGGTATTCGGGCGAACACACGTACATGACGGCGCACATCGCAACGATGGTGACGATCAACCCATCGGTGCCCAACATTTCGCGCACCTCTATCGCGTCGCCCGATTTGTACACGGCGAGCAAGAACCCTTTCCTCGCGAGAAGCAACCCGAGTCCCACTTGCATTCCCTGCACCACCGCGAGCGGAGTCAAACGGTTAAACACATCCATCATCCGCGTCGACCCGAGCGCCAAAACGATCGCCGAAACGAAAATACCCGCCGTCATGATCTCATTCACGTTTAACGCATCGTCTCCGAGCGCCACCGCCGCGATCGTCTTCATCGGCTGCACCGGCATTGGTATCTCGTACAAAAAAGCCGTGAGCACATTGTACGCTCCGGTGAACAACATCGTCGTCCCGGCGTCGACCCCGCACTCGATCGACATTCCGATCAACAGCGGTAAAAACGTTCCGAGATCACCCAACGAACCACTCGCCTCTCTCCACGTGAACTCGTCCCAAAACTTTCGCCCGCGCGCGCGCAACGTCGACGCGCCGCGCGCCGCCGTCGCCGCCGCCGTCCCCGTCGCGCCGCTCACCCACGTTTCTTCCCTCGAACTCCCCGCGCACTTCGCGGACGACGCATCGACGCGCCCCTCTTCGTCTTCACGGATCTCGTACGCGCCCGCGGACGTCATCGTGTCGCGACGCTTCGTCGACGCTTCGTCGACTGAAAAAGCAACCTCTCGCGCGTCACCCCTCGCGTCGACGCGCTCGCGCTCGAGCGTGGGCGAGCGCGGATTCGGATCGACGGAAGCGCGTTCGAGGCTCGTGCGCGCGCTCGAGGGCGAGACGGTGCGAAGTGACGCGTCGGTGATGACTACTGCGCTAGGTGATGTTGCAGGAGCGGCTAGACTAAAGGGCTAGGCGACGCCTCGCGGCGAGGCGGTCGTATGTCATCCGCCGATCTTAATCATCGCGCGGTTGTCCAGATCTGCGAGCTCGTGCATGCCGGCGTGCTTGGCCTTCTTGCGCTGAACGGCGTCGCCGATAATTTTGAGGATTTCGTCGTCCGTCGCGCCCTCGCGCATGGCGTCGCGAAGGCTCACCTCGGCGTTTCCAAAGAGGCACACCTTGAGATTTCCATCCGCCATGATTCGAAGACGGTTACATCCGGAGCAGAAGTGGTTGGTCATGCTCGTGATGAAACTGACGGTGCCGACGTGTCCATCGACGTAGAAATTCTTCGCCACCTCCTGGCGCGGGTCGTCGGCTCGGCGAAGGATGTACTTTTCGTCGATTCGAGCGCGCATCTCGGCGTACGAAACCATCTTCCTCTCGCTCCACTTATTCCCGTCAAACGGCATGTACTCGATGAATCTGACATTGATCGGTTTGGTCTTCGTCAGCTCCACGAAATCCAAGATCTCATCGTCGTTTTGTCCGCGCATGACGACCACGTTCACCTTGACGCTGTCGAAACCGAGCTCCACCGCGCGGTCGATGCTCCGCATCACGCGTTCTTGCCCTTTCCTTCTCGTCATGAATTCAAACTTCGCCGGCACCAAGGTATCGAGCGAGAGATTCAATCTCGTCAACCCGTTCGCCTTAAGACCTTCCAATCTACGCTCGAGCGCGACGCCGTTCGTCGTGACGCTCACGTCCCGCACCCCCGGCGCCGCGGACACGCGTCGGACGATATCCTCCAGATCCCTCCGCACCGTCGGCTCCCCCCCCGTGAGCCGCACCTTATCCACTCCCGCCCTCGCAAAAATATGTACCAACCGCTCCACCTCGCTCGCCGTCAACAGTCGTCCATCCGGGGTCAAATCCACCCCCTCCGCCGGCATGCAGTACGCGCATCGCAAGTTGCATCGCTCCGTGAGCGAGATTCTCAAATAATTATGCCCCCGTCCGTGCGCGTCGACGAGCGCCGGCGCGATCGCGCGCGCGTCCACGACGCGCGCGCGGCGTCGTCCGTCGTCCGCCGTCTCCCACGGCCGTCGTCCGTCGTCGCCCGTCCTCGCGCGCCGCCCGTCGTCATCGCCCGTCGTCGCGCGCGTCCACGCGATCGACGCGTCGTCCATCGCCGCGCGCGCCCCGAGCGCGCGCGCGCCGCGTCCACGACGCCCGCGAGCGAGCGCGCGGGCGAGCATGGGCGTCGTCGCGCACTCGCGCGCGCGCGACGTCGAGCGCGCGCCGGCGGCGGGGCGGCGGTCGACGCCGTGCGTATTGTGGTGCGAAAATGCCCATGAAATGGACCAATGACGACGTTTCGGACGCGAAGCGACGCGCCGGCGACGCTTCGTCTTCACACCCGCGCGCGCGATGGGCGACGCGACCGCGCGCGGGGACGACCGCGGGACGTTCGCGGTGGTGGATTTAGTCGCGCATCTCTATCGAGGCACCGCGGACGATCGACGCGCGCTCGGGGCGGTGTGGGCGCGGTACACGGCGGCGACGGCGGCGGAGCGCCGGGCGAAAGGATTCGAACTCGTGCGCATGCATCACGCGACGCTCACGCGCGTGCTCAGGGACGACCCGTGCGGGGAGTTTTTGGATATCGATGACGTGCGCATGGCGTGGGAGGAGTTCGTGGACGCGCTGAGAGACGCGAGGGGCGAGCGCGGCGTCGCCGGCGACGCCGGAGACGATGAAGAGTTACGACGCGCTGGAGGGACCGGTGATGAAGCGAAACGAATCGTTCAACCAACTCGCGCGAGATCTCGAAAATGTCATCGCGAAAATGTCGCCGTCGACGAGCGGGGCGAACACGCCCGAGGGATCGACGCGAGGGGTCGAGCGGATCAGTTCGAGCGGTATGCTCCTAAACATCGGGACGACGTCTCGCGAGCCGAGCGTCCGCGGCGGCGGCGCCTTCTTCCAGTCCAAGGGCGCCGTCGGCGGCGATGAGCTTCGCGCCAAGCTCGATGACGCGTAAACCGTCGTTACCATCACTACCCTGCAGTGTAGAGTCTCCACCGCGCGCGTCGGTGCTGTGTAAAACCAAAAAGCGCGCGCCCTCACACCGCGACTGCGTCCACCTCTCGCCACCGTCGCGTCGCCGACGAACGCGTCGTTGGCGACGCGACGTGCGTCACATGTCGCGCGCGTCCACGTGGACGCCCGCGCTCGAGATCGAGCGCGACGCGCGCGCGGTCGAGCGCTACGCTCGACACCTCGTGCTCCCGCGCGGCGCCGCGCTCCAGCGCGCGCTGTGCGCCGCGAGAGTTCTCGTCGTCGGGTGCGGCGGTTTGGGATGTCCCGTGGCGACGTACCTGAGCGCGAACGGCGTCGGGACGATCGCGCTGTGCGACGCGGACGACGTGGAGCTGAGCAACCTGCACCGGCAGGTGGGACACGCGACGAGCAAAGTCGGGACGAGCAAATCGGCATCGCTGCGAGAGCGGTGTCTCGGGCTGAACGATGGGATTGAAATCATAGAGCATCGACTTTTCGTCAATCAGATGAACGCGAATGAAATGGTCGATGGGTTCGATTTGGTGTGCGATTGCAGCGACAACCCCAGGACGCGATACGTGCTCTCGGACGCGTGCGCGCGACGAGGGGTGCCGCTCGTGAGCGCGGCGTGCGTCGGGTTCGAGGGTCAACTCACAGTGTTGTGCGGAACGCGGTGTTGGGACGACGAAAGGCGCGAGTTCGGCGCATTCACGCCGGCGCCGTGTTATCGATGTCTGTTTCCGACGCCGCCAGCTGCGGGCGACGCCGGAACGTGCGGGGCCTCGGGCGTGCTCGGTGTGCTTCCGGGCATCGTCGGTACATTTCAAGCACTCGAGGCCATCAAAGTTTTGAGCGGAATCGGGGAGACGTTGCGAGGGAAAATGGTCTATTTCGACTCGCTGAGCGCGTCGCCGACCATGACGCTCAACATGCGCGAGGAGAGAGATCCCAGGTGCGCGTGTTGCTCGGTGGAAAAGTTCGATCAGAAAACGTATGATTACGACGCATTCTTATCTTCGACGCCGTGTCCGATCAAGTTTGTGAAAACGACATCGATTAACGGGGTAGATTTGAGTGCGCCGCCTGCGCATGGGCCCGGCGAATCGCTCGACGAGGAACTTCAGAAGCATTCGGCGTGGAAGCGGCTGAGCACGGGTGATTTCCAATCTCGGAGCTCATCCACTGGAGCGCTCATCGTCGACGTCCGATCAAAGCGCCTGTTCGACGCCGCCCATCTGCGTGGCTCGGTGAACATTCCCATAGAAATGCTCGATGAAGGCGAATGGCGATCCGTCGTTGCCGAGGCCGACGCTAACGTCGATACTGTTTTATTCGTGTGTGCTGGAGGCAACAATAGTCAACGTGCGTCGGCATGGTTCGCAAACTCTTCGCTCAGAGGTTTTCGAGACGTTTTCGACATGCGTGGAGGACTCGCGGCGTGGCGCCGAGACGTCGATCCGTCGTTCCCCAAACTTGGTTAATTCTTTATGTAGCGTAGCGCGCCCAGCCTTGCACGAACTGAATGCGCGTCGCGCGCAGCACACGATTCATTTCATTATCGATGACTCGAGGGCGTCTTCAATAACAATACCTATAGCATACAGTCGCAGTCGCGTCGCGCGTCACGGATGGCTTTTGCCAATTCCCGCAAAACATCTTCGGGTGCCAAAGCACCAAACGGTACGGTCACGTTCGTTTTCTCGTCGCCGTCTTAGCTCCGAGTGCGACGCCCACTATTCCTAACAACCCCCTCCACATCGACGTACGAATTTTCTCACGCCCCTTTGACTCGCTCGCGCGCATCGAAACTTCTGCGACGACCTCCGTCGCGCGTCTCTGCGGCAACCCGTGCGACGTCTCCAAAAATCTCAAGTGTCCATCCGTCACCTCCATCCTTCGCGCCCCGAAAGTCATGTCCCCCTCCAACCACTCCGTCGACGGCGTCTCTACGTCGCTCGAATCGTCCACCGCCTCCCCATCGCGCGCCAGAACGCCGATTTGAAAATCCTTCAACTGCGTCCACGCCCGCGCGCTATGTATCGCCGCGAACTCCTCCGTGGCCTCCTTCCCGAGCGCCCGCGCGATCGCGATCGCCGTCGACACCTGCCCGGCGTTCTGAAACCCCGGATGCGACCTCGCGAAGGCCGTGATGTCGAACACGCGCTCGTTCACGACGATCCAACCGTCGCGAACGACGTCATGCTCGGACACCATCTTCATCGAAAACTTTCGCCACGCTCGACGCTCCTCCTCCCTCGGCCTCCGTCGCAGCCGCTCGACGACGTCGAGATCAATCTTCACCTCCGCCCCGAGCTCGCGCTCGACCATCGCGCGCGTCGACCACCGTCGCGACGAAGTGTCGACCGTCGACGTTTCGTCTTCGTAAGGTCACGAAGCGTCACACGCCCACGCGCGTCGAACCGCGAGCGATGCACCTCGCGCGCGCGGCGCGACAGCACGGCGGCGCCGTCCTCGCCGCCGTCGCCGCCGCGCTCTTCTGCGCGTGCGAGCGCGTGGAGCGACGCTTCGGGTACGATTCACAAAACGTCTGCCTCTTCGCAACCGTGCTCGCCCTCGTGGGACTCCTCCTGAGCGAGACGCGACCGGATCGACGGGCGGAGAAGCTCACGTTCGATCCGAGCGAGGCATCGGCGGCGCGGACGCGCGCGGCGGCGGCCGCGGCGGCGGCGGCGGGGAAAAAAACGCGGTGATGCCGACGCGGAACCCCATCGCGATGGTCGACCGCGTCCCGCGCGTTCGGTGCCGACGCGACGCGACGCGACCGGTCGACCGCGCGCGCGTCGGACGGTGTAATACGAGTAATATTGTTCCATCCGTTTCCCGGCGTCGATCCGCGAACGCGCGCGCGGGCGTCGAACGCGGGCGTCGCGCATCCGAAGACGCGGGTCGACGCGGTGGATGCTTTTTCCCCGCATTCGCGCGCCCCCGACATGGGCTGCGCGTCGAGCACCGCGCGAGGGGACGCGGATGATCTCCCGGGCATGCGTCTCGTCGATTTCACGTCCGAGATCGCGGACGCGTACGACGTCGGGCGGAAGATCGGGGTCGGGCAACAGGGCGCGGTGTACGCGTGCGTGGAGCGGTCGACGGGGCGGCGGTTGGTGATGAAGGAGACGCACATCGGCGTCTTCGGGGCGTCGCAGCGGCGGGTAGAGGCGTACAGGGAGATTGAATTATTGTCGAAAATGAATCACCCGAGCGTGGTGAAGATTGTCAAGGCGTATCAGACGCCGACGGATGTGCAGGTGGTGATGGAGGACGCCGGGGACCGCACGCTCATCGGGTACTTGGTGAAACTGGACGAGAGCGCGTTGACGGAGAGCGAACGCGGGAGGGAGAAACACGAGATGTTGAGACAAATCGTGGACGCGGTGGCGCACGTGCACGCGCGAAGCGTGGTTTTCAGAGATTTGAAGCACGATAACTTGGTCGTGCGCTGCGACGAGGACTGTCGAAACGCGCGCGTAACCTTGGTGGATTTTGGGAGAGCGGCGTCGCTGAAGCGGGAGGAACGATTGCGTAATCTCCCACCGCTCGGGACGTCACTGTTCCAGGCGCCGGAAGTGGAAGAACGACGAGAGTACGGGCAGGCGGCGGACATGTGGGCCGTGGGCGTTTTTACGTACTTTCTCGTAACCGGGAAGATGCCGTTCGAGCACTCAGCGGCGGGACTGTACAAAGTTTTACGGGGAGAGTACGAACCCTTGGACGCGTCGGTGGACAGGCAAGCGAAGGATTTGATATCTAAACTGCTCGTTCGTGATCCGTCGAAGCGAATGAACGCCGCGCAGGCCATCACGCATAAATTCTTGCGTCAGGGTAACTCTGCGCACATGCACGTGTCTCTGGGTGACTCCCTGCGGGTGCCGGCGCACATGGAGACGGCTGCCAAGAAACAACTTCGCGCGCTCGTTATGCAAGAGAGTCTCGAGAGACACACCGTGGGCCTTCTTGCGGAGATGCTCACTCCGGATGACGTGACGACTCTTCAACGCTGGCTGTCAATGAAAGCGGAGCGCTCCGTCCATCACGGAAGGAACAACGTGCACAAGCCGAATCACATGTTAGATACGTTCGGTTCCGAAGCAGGGTCGCGTGAGGGCACCACTCACTCGGGTAAAGCATACCAAGACGAAGTCGAGGGTCGAAAGGCATTAAACTCTTTGTATACGCAGATGAAGAGAGAGCAAGCTATCGTGGGCGAGAGCACGGATGTGAGCTTCCATGGAGGTATGAATCGAAGCGAATCGTTCGCCATTCTCACAGAGGCAGCGAAGGCGCTCCTTGAGGTAGATTCTACGAAAGATCTCACGGACGCGCTCGAACATAGCCCGTCGCCCGACAAGAAGGGCAGCTCTCGATTGTCGCTGGGACAGTCTCCGGGCGCTGCCCAAAACTCTTCGTCAAAACTCGATCCCATATCTAGACAAATCAGTCTGGCGCCTCGAAGTCTCGTCGGATTCGCGCACTCGAATGGTCTGTGCACCGTCGATGAGCTCATTACCGCTTGTTATAGCGCTGGTTTGCCTCGCGTAGCCGAGGAGCTCCAGACGGTGCGAGACACGCTGAAGAGTGAGAGAGTGGCAAAGCTCAAATCGCTCGGCGCCGATGAGGAGGTACAAAATGAGAGCGTCTTACTCGATATCATGCTATTCAGGTATGAAGACTTATTCACGAAGATCGAAAGCGCGCATCTTCAAGCGTTGAGAGAAATGTCTGAGCAGCGCACAGTGACGGTGAAGGACTTGGCTAATATCAGTGAAGACCTGAGCGGACACGGGAGACGCGTGCGGGGAGGGGTACCAGTTATGTAATCTATGTACGAGTTACGGTATAGGCAATGGTTTCTGTTATATCACAAACACCAAGTTGATGCCTCGCTATGAGAGGCACATTTCTCGCACTGGGCGCGACGCTAAGCAATGTCTAACATGAATTTTTCGTTTTTTCTTGTTTTTTGCTTGGTAATGTACTCACAGGTGGCGTTACATGTAACGCTGCCCGTGTTGCATGGGATCAACGCGCGGCCCCCATTGAAATTCCGTCATCAGACAGATGTGGTCGCTCGACAACTGCGTGTTGGGTAGACCACCGTACTTGGCGCGAACCTCCCGCTCGCTCGGAAGTTCGAGCAGGCTGATCGGTGACAAGGCGTCTTCGGTGTAGAAGACGTAGTCGAGCGCGCCGTTGAAGTCCTTGGTACAGTTCGTAAACAAAGGTTCGCCGATGACGTCGACTCGGTCTCTTTGACGCTCGAGCGCGTCCGAGTCCAAGCACGGCTTGTGCAAATTTGTGTACGCCGACACTAGCGGGAGTGGGTGAGACAACTTAGTCGAAGGTTGCAGTATTCCGAACGGATCGATACCGAGCTCAGGGTGATCTGCGGGCACACGGCCCGCGGACAGGAGCGAGTGTGCCGCCGATCCTGGTACAGAGTTGAAATCCCCACAAACCACCATCGGAATCTCCGCCGACGTTGCGATCTTCTCCAAACCCTTGAGCAACGTGTGCACTTGCCATAACTTAACGTCATTGTGTTCGGTATTCGCGTGAATGTGCGTGTTCGCGACGCAAAGAAGCTGTCGCTTACCGCTCATAAGCTGATCGACGTCGAGCGCCTCCAGGACAACGATGAGGGCAATGTTGTCCTTCATCAACCGGTTCAGCGCATCCTTCTTTTGCGTCGCACCACCCAACGACTCGACTAGACTCAACGCCGCCTTGTTGAACTCCACTTCGTACTTCTTAATCAACGCAAACTTGTCCTTTTTGAAGAAAATCGCGCAGCCATCGATGACGAATTTCCCTTCGCTGAAAATCTGCGCCGTCTTCTTCTTGTACACTGAAGCGTACCCATATTTGGCCATCTCGCCCTGAAAGAACTCCTCGTAGTGATCAGATTGTACTTCTTGCAGACACAGTATATCTGCGTTGTAGTTGACGATCTCCTTCAATATATTCTGTCGACGATACGCCCACGCCAGGGCCCAATCCGGTACGTATCCGTACATGTCGGCGTTGCAGTACAGATCTGCGAGCACGTTGTACGTCGCGCACGTGAACGTCCGAGGTTCTGGTGAAGTATTGTGCATTATCTTCACCATGTTCCTGCGCGGCGGCTCCGGGGCCGGAATCACCCTACCGGTGATCACGTTCTGTGGCTGCGCTTGCTCATTCTCCGTCTTCACGTCAACCGGCACCACCTCGAGCTTCAGAACGTGCCCCACGTCGTCGACACCGACGGTGTAGTTCCGCGTCTGACAAATTTCAATCCAAGGCTCGATCTTCTTCTTCTCCTCGGGCTTTTCCTCCTCTGCCTTCGCCGCCTTCCACGCCTCTGGATCGTCCTTCACACTAGAGCGATCCGCTTTTGTCGGAAACGGTTCGCCGTTCGCGAGGCGATTCCGATTCCACTCCCTCCACGCGTGCTTAAAGCACTCGGAATCGCAGTGGTACGTCCGCGTCGCGATATTCATCAGCGTCGCGTTCTCCGCCGGGTGCACCGAGCACACCATCATCTTCGCCTTTTTCCCCGACCGATACCATCGATACCGAACGTAACTCCCCTCGTGCGCGTTCTCCTTTCCGATATCCTCCGTCGTGGACGTCCCATCGCTCTTACGCGTGACGATGTACGGCTGTAGCTCGACGCCGACGATCGGCGTGTCTGTGTTCAGCGTCGCCCTCGTCACCGTGAGGCTCATGAAGTTCGCGTGCGCCGACGTCTCGCGCTCGGAAACCGCGCGCGATCGATCACCAACGCCTCGTCGCAGTCAAACCCGCTATCGACGTCCTTCCAACCCGCGTCCGCGCGCGTCTCGACGCGATCGACGTCCTCGTCGTTCAAACAGATCGTCCAGGAAAATCACGATCGTTCCTCCGTCTCTCCCGTTTGTCGACCGTTTGACGTCGTCAAACGCGAGTCGCTACCGGGCGCCAGCGAGCGCCGCGCGCTCGGTGCGCCGGGACGGCGTCAGCGCGACGACACGCGCGAATTCTGGCGACGAAATGCGATCGATACCCTCGTCCCGCGCGCGAGCTGTCTCAACCCTAGACTGTCAAGCACATGGTATTTCTGTGTCTACAGTATCCCATAGGGGCTCGCCGACGAGTGACGACTCACTAAAAATTCGACCGCGCGAATGAGACGAACCGGCGCGTCACACGGCGCGACGGTTCCACTTCCCCGAGGATGATTCGACCTCGACGACGGCCGTCCACCGACGGCGTCGACGGCGATGGAACGGCGCTCGAGCGCGCGCGGGCGAGGGCGAACGCGGGACGCCTGCGAAGCGCGATGCTCGGAAGCGCGGTGGCGGTGGTGCTGTACGGCGCGGCGGGACGGTGGGGCGGCGCGGCGCGGCGCGGCGCGGAGGCAGAGTTCGTGAGCGATGACGCGGCGGCGTACGCGTACGGGACGGCGACGGAGGAGTTTTCGGGGATGAAGCTCGATGCGTTCGCGAGAGCGCTGTCGAGGGTGGTGATCGCGGACGTGGGCGCGGAGATGGGCGAGGCGCCTCGGACGTCTGGGGCGGCGCCGAGGAGACGCGCCGACGGTTTCGTGAGGGTCGTCGCGACGCATCATAAGACGGGCACGGCGCTCATGCGGGACGTACTCGAGACGATTTCACGAAACTATTCGTTCTTTGACGTTCGCGCCGCGGAGGATCGTGCGGAGAGGTCGAGCGAGGAGGAGGACGAGACGTCTCGGAGTATGTTCACAAACGCGGATATAGTCTTTGACTATCACTTTGGGAAGCGCTTACCGAAGTATTTGATCTCAGATGCGCGAGAGCGCTCGCTCGAATCAATCATATCGACGTCGAACGCGCTTGACTACAGGATTGTTCACGTCGTTCGAAATCCTCCAGACGTCATAGTGAGCGGCGCGGCGTATCATCGTCGAGCGCCATTGGACGAGAATTGGCTGACACCGTTCGCTGACGTTCTCTCGAACGCGACGCCAAAGGTTGCGATATCGGCTGAAATGTCATTTTCGGACGACGAATTGCGCATGCTCGCTCTTGCGCACGTCGAGTGCGCGGTAGATCGAAAATGCTTGAATGTCCGGTTGGAGGAACTCGAATCCAATTTTGATGCTGTCCTCGCGCGCGCTCTTCTTTTTCTGGAGTTTCCATCGAGCAAAGTTCGCACCATGGTCCGAGCGGCGAGTGTGCACGATATGAAACAATGGTCGGACGACGAACTTCGTCAAAATGAGCATTACACGAAGAAGAGCGATCGTTCTGCGTACTATCGGGCTATCTCTTCCGACGCGATGATTTCGGAGACTCTGATGCACCTACAAAAGGCGATGAATTACACGGTGAGCGAGCGGTGACGTGTGGTGAAGCCCATTACGGGCCGCGTGGCGCGATGTAATAGATACGCGCACATCATCAAACGCTCACTCGGGCAGCGGAATACCGTTGGGCGACGCGTTTTCCTTGATCCACGGGTGGTCCAAAAGTCGACTGAGCGGCAGACGCTGCGCCGGTTCCTTGACGAGCAAACTTCGGATCAAGTCTTTGGCGTTTTCGCTCACGTACGACGGGAACTGCAAATCAACGCGAAGGATACGCTTGTACGTCTCGCTGTGCCCTTCCGCCTCGAATGGGGGCGTGCCGACTAAGAACTCATACGCCAGCACGCCGAGTGACCACACGTCGACGGCGTAGTCGTGGTCACGACCCTCCACCATCTCAGGCGGCAAGTAGTCAAGCGTCCCGCACAGCGTCTGACGACGGCTATTTGGCGCATGCACGGACCAACCGAAATCAGCAATCTTGAGCTCGCCCTTGATGCCCACGAGCAAGTTTTCGGGCTTGATGTCCCGATGAATGACATGCTTCTTGTGGCAATAAATGAGCGCGCGCGCGAGAGACGCAATGTACGTCGCGCTCTTCCGTTCACTGAACCGTTTCGCACGCTGCAGCTCCTTGTACAATTCTCCCAATGCGGCGTATTCCAAGATCAAGAATACTCGCGTGTTGTCGTAGAAGTATCCGTACAGTCGCAAGATGTTTGGATGTCTCAGGTGCGACTGTATCTCAATCTCTCTCCTCAACTGATGCTCCACGTGCGACGCGCACAGCTGCGACTTGTGCAACACCTTGAGTGCGACGATGTACTTACTTCTCTTTTCTCTCGCCAAGTACACCGACCCGAACTTGCCCTTACCCAGCGGCTTCCCGATGTCGAAGTCGTCAAGAGTCCACTCCTTCGTCGCCTCTCGCTCGTCGCCTCGTCCGCTCTCGCTCGCATTCTCCGTTCTCGACTGCAGACCACTTCGTCCCGGTGTCTTCCCGCTCGGTGGCGTCGCACTCTTCATCCCTCGCGACGACGCCTGCGCGTTCTCTTTTTCCAATCCGTCGTTCCTCTGACTCGAAGGCGTTCCGCGCGCGTGCATCTTACACAGCGCCAACAAACGACCTGATTTAGATGTAGTTTCCCCCGAGCGACGCCCCCCAGGTCGGTGTTCTGCGTGAAATCGCGCGCGCGGACGCGTAACAATCAGTACCTCTGGAATTCCACGTCGCGCCCGCGTACAGGCCGTCGCGCGCGCGTGATGACGCCCGAGGGGAACAATCCACTTCGACGTTCCGCGACCGGCTGGGTGATTTAAATCCGTCGTCGACGTCGACGCGCAGCGCCCGCCCCGCCCCGCGCGCGGTCGCACGGACGCGGAATAAAATCACCGATCGCGCGCGCGCGCCGGTCGATCGCGCGATCGATCGCACCTCGCGTCGAACACTGCGGCGCGCGCGCGCTCGACCGTTGTCGTCGCGCGCTGCGTCCTGGTTTGATTTATATGGGTTTATAATGTGGTACATACGAGACGCACGCGCGCGCGCGCGTCAGACGCCGACGCCGACGCGACGACGGACGCGCGCGCGCGCGCGCTCGGGAGACGCGACGGGCGCGCGCGCCCGTGGTCGCCCGCGCGCGCGGTCGATGCCCCGGGGGGCGTGAGCGAGGACGGAGAAGACACAGAGCGCGAGCGATGACGCATCTCGTGGTCGACGCCGACGCCGCGCGCGCGGAGCGCCGCGCGTCGCTCCGGGCGATCGCGATCGCGAGCGCGGAGGCGAAGGCGCTCAGGGAGCGATTAGACGCGCTCGAGGCGCGGCGGGCGGCGAGACGTAAGGCGAAGCGGGACGGGAGCGGTTCGGTCCCGACGACGACGACGACGACGACGACGACGACGACGACGAAGACCGTCGATATCGGCGTCGTGAGCGACGCGAGTGACGGTGCTATCGACGTCGAACGCGTTCGCCGCGCGGCGTCGCGATTCGCGAGCGTGATCGACGCCGAAGCGTTCGCGCCGGTGACGCGATGTTTCGCCGAGCGCGGCGTCGTCCCGCGCGTTCGCCTCGACGACCTCGATCCGTGACCGAGCGGACGCTCGTTCTCGCGTGTAATCCATTCAACACAAATCACTGAACGCGCCCCCGGCGCACCGTCGTCTTCGTGGATTCGCGAACGTCTTTCGCGTCGTCGCGCGTGAGCGTTGAATTCGTACAAAAATCACAATCTTGCCCGCACACGTCGACGCGCCTCCCGCTGACCACGACGACGCGATGGAAATGAACACTCCGACGTGATCGCACCCCGCGCCGAGATGCGTCGCGATCACGCCGACGATGAGGCTCTCACGGCGGTCAAACGTGGTGCGTCTTTAATCAAATATTGCACCAACGCCAAGCCGCACGTCGTGTACGCCACGTGCACCGAGCGCGGGCTAACCTGGGTGGGGAAGCGACGGAAAGAGAAGACGATCGCGGCGAGCGCGATCGCGCGAGTGATCGCGGGACGACACACAGAAAAGTTTCGAAGACGGCGCGACGGGGACGCGGACGCGGATGCGGACGCGCGGAGTTTCAGCGTCGTGTACGAAGACGGAAGCGGTAAGGCGTCGAAGACGTGGGATGGAGTGTGCGAGAGCGAATGTCAGAGGGACCTGTGGGTGCGAGCGCTGGAGCGGGTGATGGCGGAGGCGAGAGAGGACGCGGCGCGGAGGACGAGCGACGACGGCGGGCGGCGCGAGTTCGAAGACGCTCGGGACGGTGGGATCTCGATCGGTACTGCGGTGCGCGTGAGCTCGGCGATCGGGAAGTTTAAGGTTAAGTCGCCGTCGTTGCGCGAGCGTGAGATTCAGCGCGAGATGGAGGAGACGAGAATGCGCGCGACGGCGCGCGTGTGCAACGTTCCGAACGAAACTGTCGCGTGGGGTTGGCGCGCGGACGTCACGCCGGAGAGCGCGGTTGAGAGTGTCTCTGGCGGTGGATTCGCGGCGAAAAGTGAGAGATGGACCAGAGTGGACGCCCCGAGCGCGATCGAGGGCATGGAGACGCTGGATGTGGTAGAAATTTCCATTGGAGCAAGACACACGCTGGCGCGCACGCGCACAGGCGCCGTGTACTCCTGGGGCGAGGGTAAGGGCGGTAAGCTCGGAATACCGAGCGGACAAGACTTCGACAGACCGACGCGAGTAGACCTGGACGGTCGCGCGGTCGCGCTGTCATGTGGGAGCGCGCACTCCGTCGCTGTTGTTGAAGGAGAAGTGTTCGCCTGGGGAGATCCAAACGCAGCACCCGGACTCTTAGGTCTCTCCGATGTGCGAAGCGTCATGTGGTTCCCAGGTAAGATATTATTTCCAAGCGCTACTGGCACTCTAAGCGCGCATCGCGGCGCGCGTTCCCTGGGTGGTGGCGGCGTCAAGGTGGTGCAAGTTTCTTGTGGACCATGTCACACGGCATGCGTAACGGAAACCGGAGCGTGTTACACGTGGGGCGAAGGGTCGTTCTTCGCCCTAGGTCACGGTGATAGGGAGTCCTCTCGCGAACCAAGGAAATTAGAGACGTTTACGCGCGAACGTCGCGTCGTGCTTCGCGTGTCGTGCGGTGTGTGGCACACGGCAGCTATCGTCGCCGCCTCGGGAAGCTCAGTCGTAAGGGTCCCAGTCCCCACGAACGAGGAATCAGAATTCGACTCCGTAGACGGAGAGCTGTTCACCTGGGGGGACGGCGAGACTGGTCAACTAGGTATACGCGACAGTACGGAGGCGCCGGTGCCGACGAAGACATCGAATCGGCTCGGCGAGCCTGGAAGTGAGGTGTGTAGCGTCAGCTGCGGTCAACATCACACCGTTGCTTTGACGTCTCAGGGTGATCTATGGTTGGCTGGATGCGTGGGAAAGGTGGATAACTCACTACGCACGACAACATTCACGCGCTTGACCGATTTCGAGACCGGATCCGTGCGCACCGTCGCGAGCGGTGAAAATCACGTCGTGGCATCGACGCGCGACGCGCGCGTCTTCTCGTGGGGCGTCGGTAAGAACGGTCGTTTAGGTCTCGGTCGAAACGATCGCGATCAGCCGGTACCTCAAGAGATCGTCAACATGCGGGGGCGTGAAGTGTTGCACATCGCGTGCGGTCCGACATCGAGCGCGTGCGTGCTCAGGGGCGTGCAGATGACGATCAAAGAGAAAGCGAGCATGGCCCGGCTGTCGACCTTTTCCATCCGACAGTCCTCGATGCTTAGGGTCAGCGCGTCGATCAAGCCACCGGAGAGGAAGAATAGTAGTAGTAATATGGAGACGGCGTCCACGTCGACGCCGAACACGGCAAAGGACAAGAACGCGCAGAGCGGTAGCGCGCAGAGCGGAAGTGTGCGAAGTGGAACCACCGGAACGGTCGGTTCAGGGGGTAGAGCAAAAGGATCTCAACAAGGCTTGAAGAGCGAGAAAGCGGTGCATAGGCTTCTAAGCGTTCTGAGTCCGACGTACGAAAACGTCGCCAAAACGTCGAATCGAACGTATTTGAAAGAGTCCTTGGTGCACAACGAGTCTTTGGATAACGATCTCGCACGTAGTTTACCATCTCCATTGATAGAGCCACTGGCACCCAGAGCCGCGACACCGGAGCTAGTCGAACCAACCAAGCTTGAGTGTCGTGAACCTTCTCCGGCAGCCGCGCCACCTTCACCTCGACCTTCACCGCCGCCGTTTACGGTGGTGGAAGCGCCGCAAGAGGCGCTCACGGAGGAAACTTTCATCCAGAGTGCCCGACGGGTGGCGGACGAAGCCGAAGCCTCGCTCACGCACCTCGCGGAGGAGAGGGCTGTCCTGGAGCGAGCGACGCAGGCAGCGATCGCTGCAAGGGGAGCGGAACGACATACAAAGCCACCATCGCTCCGTCACAAAGTACCGAACCCATCGCGACGCAGCAATGTTCCCATTGATGAACCGAAAGTGTTCACCGAGGAAGTCGAGGAGGGTGTTTTCATGACCCTCGAGGTGCATGGCGATAAAACCATTCTCAAACGTGTTCGATTCAGCAAACGCATATTTAGCAATGAATTAGCTAGGCAGTGGTGGGAGGAAAATCGCGATCGTCTCACGAGCGATCTTGACCTAACCATTCCGACATGAATGAAATATTTTGCCGCATCTCTCACATTAAACACTACTCGCTCGCCTCGGGTGCTCTGTCCGGCATCCAGCTAACGATGATGTACAGAAACGCTAAATAATCATACAGCGCGTGGGTGAACATGGCGCTGCCCAGACCGTCGCGCACGTACTCGATACTAAACAAAACGCTCGCCCACGTTGCCCAAATTGCGTACGCCGGCGTAATCGCGTGCAACGCCCCGAAGAATAGCGAAGTGGTGGCCAACGCCCCGAACGCTGAGACGTCACCGCTCAATCCGAAAGACTCCAACCGCAGATCGACCCAGGGCATGAGAAAACCTCTGAACATTGCCTCCTCGCCGATCCCCGCGCCGACGCTCAGCGCTAAAATCCCGAGCGCTCCGAGCGGCGCAACGCTCGGCAGTACCCCTTCCTTTAACATCACTTTCACCTCTCTCAAAAACTCCACCTTATCCGCCTGCGTCACCGCCACCGTGAGCGACGCCAGGAGCGGAACCATCCACAGAGCCGCCGCGTCGGCGTTGAACCCGTGCGCCGTCGCGTCCCGCACGTCCGGGTGCACCTCCGCGAACGCGCACAAAACCTGCGCCGCCGCCGTCATCACCGCATACGTCGCGCACGATCCGACGAGGAAGGTTTGCGGGTCCGGTGTCACGTACTCCACCGTGCCTTGGGCGCCGTCGTTCGACCGCGGCGATGATTGCACGATGCGCAAAGTTCTCGAAAAGTGCGTCGTTTGGTTCCTCAACAGCTCGTTTTTCGTCGACCCGACGCGGTGGGGCGTCGAAGCGCGACGCGGAGCGACTGGCGACGTGGTCACGGCGCGCGCGCGCGTCGTGGGGACGACGCGGGCGAGTACGGGAGGCATGGCGACGAATGCGGATGAGGCGCGCTGGGCTAATAAGTGTTTGGATGACTGGTTCGACGACAACTAAACGAATTGACTACTTCGGTTTGGCGACGCCCACGGTGAGAAGATCGACGCCGAGAAATTTCACGGGATCTTGCATGCCGACGTCATCGCCCGAGCCCACCTTGACGAGGCCACCGCGCAGTTCGTCGAGTCCCGAGAGGTCGGGCGCGAGCTCGTTCGCCGAGCGCGTCACGTGCGAGTCGGCGACGACGAGCGTGCATTTTTCGGAGCGCAAAGCTTCGAGCGTGGCCTCGAACATCGCGCGTCGCGCGGCGTCACCGTCGGCGGCGCTACCCATCGTGGGTGGGAGCACCAATCGCGCGCCGCTCGTCAACGCCGCGAGCGCGCCGAAACCGAAACCCATCGCGTGTCCGAGCGGCACCGGCACGCACACCGCGTCCGTCTCTCGCACGTCCAGCGCCGCCGCCGCGCGCGCCGCCGCCGACGCGAGCGTCATTCCACTCGTCACCTTATCCCCCCCGAACATGTACCGCGCGTCTACCGTCGCCGACGTCGTCGCGTCTCCGTCCTCGCCGTCCTCCGCGCGTCCGTACGCCGCCCGAAGCACCTCGTATAAAATAACCTTATCCTTCACCGTCCCTCCGTTCAGCGCGATCGGTTCGTGCGCCCCGACGATCGATCCCACCACATCCGCGTCGACGAACTCCACCATCGTTCCTCGCGTCTTCCCGTTTCCGAACGCCTCTCGCGCGTCCTCTCGCGCGCCGCACGTCCGCGTCCCGCTTCCCGCCAACGCCCCTCCCAAATACGCCGTCAGCGCGTCCCCTCCGTTCCGCGCGCGCACCCCAAGCGCTTTCGCCTCCCGTTCGGCGTATCCCAGATCCCTCAGCGCCCGCGCGAACGTCTCCGCGCGTTCTCTCAGCTCACCGTACGTCCAGCGTTGGTCCAGCGCGACGTCATCGCCGAGCGAACTCGCGATGAGCGCCATGGCGTCGTCATCCGCGCGTTCAAACGCCCCGCGCACCACTCGCGCGAGCGTATCGAAGCGTCCGCGTCCGAGCGCGCGCGCGAGGTGTCCCACGCCCGTCGCCGCCGGCGTCGTCATGGTTTCTGTCGCGTCGATCGATGGCGACTGGGTGGGTCTGGAATTCGACACACGACGACGCACGAATGCCCTCGCGGGCGTTTCTCGACGTCGACGTCGACGACCATCGCGCCAAGCACGCGCGGTGCCGCGCGTTCGTCGAGGCGACGGATTTACGCTACGGATGGTCGTCCAAAGATGTCTCGGCGTTGGGTGGGAGTGAAAAATCTCGACTGAATGAAATGTACGAGAGCGATCACGAGTGGAGCGCTCGAGGAGCGATCGAGACGGAACCGGCGACGAAGACGCGGATGGTGTTCGAGCTGTTCGACGAGCGGGCGCCGTTGGCGTGTGAGAATTTTAAGATGTTGTGCCTGGGAACGAGAGGGACGAGTAAGGAGAGCGGAGCGAGAATGTGTTACGAAGGCGTGCGGTTTCATCGATGCGTGCGAGGGTTCATGATGCAGGGAGGGGATTTTCAACATCAGAACGGCGCGGGGGGGGAGTCCGCGCTCGGGAAGAAGACGTTCAAGGATGATGTCGGAGGTTTGAAATTGAAACACGACGCGCGAGGCGTGTTGTCGATGGGGAACACGGGAAAGAATTCAAACACCTCGCAGTTTTTTATAACGTTCGGGCCGTGTAAGCAGCTCGATGGGAAGCACGTAGTTTTTGGGAAGATCATCGAGGGCATGGAGGTGTTGGATATGATCGAGGAAGAGTGCGCGGTGGCGCCGGGAGGTATGAGCGAGGAACCGACGAAGAGCGTCGTCGTAGCGGAGTGCGGAGTGTTGGAATGAACTTTTTCATCGTGACATTCTGTTGCTACAAGCGTTCAAACGCGTTATTCATCACTGAGGCGACGTCGCTTCGACTGCGACGGGCAGTGCCTCCGCGCGAGGGGACATCGGTGTCGGGTTGAGGCCGAGCGCCGCAGGCGTCAGCTCGACGTCCATCGCGCCAGCTTTGCCCCACATCTTGCCCCAGAGAGGATCATCACGCTCAACGATCTCGCCCGCGCACAAAACTAGAAGAACGTTTTTAATGGCTTCCGGCACCGCGTCGACGAGCTCCTCCGTTTTTGCGTGCTTTTGGAGTAATGACGCGGCGTCCATGATTGCTAAGAGCGTACCGCCAAATGCCGAGCCATCTTCTGCCTTCATTTTAGAGCCGTACTGAAGGAACGTCTTCGTCACGCACGCGACCGCGATACGCGCAGTATTTTCTGCCGCGCCGCTATCTCTTCCGCGAGTCTTACGAACCGTCTCCGTGAGTTCGTTGAGCATGGTGAGCAACACCGAGTCAAACGTCGTCAGCCACAAATCGCCCCCCGCGTCGAGGGATTCAGCGCCTAATAACACGCGCTGGAGTGTCAGAACGGCGTCGTCTCGAACCGCCGCTCGAGTGTCCTCAAAACTGATTCGTCCGAGTTCACGAACTAAATCGCCCCACGCGCCGGCGATGACCTCTGTCCTTTCCTCATCAGTAACCGTGGAATTCGAAGCCCACGCGCAAACGGCTACGTTGGCGTCGGAAAGCAGTTGTAGAGCAGCAATACTGCGCTCATCTCCACCCTGGTCGCTATCAACGAACGAGCTCGCCGCCTCTAGACACGATCGCACGTTCACCGCATTCACGTTCGCAGCTTCTCTCATGATTCTCGAGAGCGCAGAGAATCCTTTCTCCGCGGCTCCCGGATGCAAGGCACTCGCCATCAGGAGCTTACACATCGTGTCCCAGCTCTGCTGCGTCTTGATATTGCGCGCACCGACTTCGATGAGGGAGTCGATTTGCGCGGCGATACGACTGAGGAATGCATCCGCGACAGTTGGCTCGAGTGAAAACAACAATCGCAAGGATTCCACCAAATCGTCTGCGACGTCTTCATCGTTCGGAATCAACACGACGCACAGACGAATCAACTCAAAGACGATTATCTCGCACGCCGGCGACGGCTTCTTCGCCGCCCGGAGGATTTCGCCGAGATATGTCGTTAGAATAGGCAAAACCGCGTGAACTCTGTCTCGATTGCGCATCGTCACCATGAACATTGCGTCCAAGCAAAAAATTGCCGCATCTTCATCATCCGCGGTGGCGGAGACGAGAGCCGGATCCCCAGCGGCCCAGACGAGCGCTCTCATGAGATAAGTCAACGACTCGAGCTCCAAAAACTTGGTATCAGAGAAAATCTCTTTCACGCGACAGGCGCTCACGCACGCAGTGGCCAGGTCTTCTATTCTTTGTTCCGCTTCTGTTGGCGGCGGCAAAGGTGTGTCACGTCCGTCATCGCCTGCAATCATGGCGGAAAACGAACGAAGAAGCGACGATCCTTGACTTCTCTTCGCCCGAGCGATGTCGCGAATGCGCTTTGTTTGCATCTCGGATCTGTACGAAGACTCATCGTCGGCGATGAAGAGATTCTCCGAAACTAAACCAACCTTTGTCATGCGCAGAACCGTGTCCAAAATGTTGCACCATGCTTGTCGGAGAACGTCGCCGTGCTTGTGCGCTATACCAAAGACGGTCCTCGTCGCAGCGCACGCTCTGACGTCTTCGCCAAAGACGACGAGTGGGCGAGAACGCTCTCCGGAGGGCAACACCTCTTCTCTCGTCAAACCTTCGTTCGCGAACTTGCACAGCGTAGCGACGAGCTGGTCGAGTACCTCGGACATGCCGTGCGAGGCGGAGATATTCGCCACGGACAAGAATCCGAGCAAGCTCGATTGCATCACCGCATCGTCCGCTGTGTGTTCAAACACAGCAGAAATCGCGGCGGCTGTCGAACCCCAAATGATGCCGAACAACTCACCGTCGTACAGGGCTGCCTCAACGTGGTCAGGCGTGGCCTGCAACTTTCCTCTGCCAGCATTCACGTCTCGCAAGAGTTGTTCCCATCGACTCGGCGTCAGGCTCGATGCACCACCGGCGTCGAGTTTGATTTCATCAGTGACGATTGAGTCGAATATGTTGACAAGCACCTCAGCGGGCCAGTCCTCGCCGCCGTTCGTCCCTCTGTTGTTTCGAATAAACTGCTCCAGCGTCATCTTGTTCTTTACTTGCGCGTTGTGCTGATCCGTGTTGAGCATAATGATGCTGTAGGATAGCACGTACGCCGAGTCAGCGTCCGCCACCGAGTCCGGATTGGACTCATAATACCGAGCGGCGAAGCACTCGAGGATTCGCGAAATTTTTTGCGCCTCACCCGGCAGCTTGAATCCCGATAAGAACGATCTCAACGCCCGATCCAGCGTTACGTCTCTAAAGTCAAACAGCTTGGTGTACTCGTCCAATACCGAAATGACGAACGCCGCTGGCTCGCCGAGGTAGTCACCGACAACCTCTTTGTCCAACCCTGGAGCGAACTTCAAAAATTTCGCCACTCCAACAGGCTCGAGCGGATCCGGCAGGAGCTTGATCTCTTGCATGTACGCCAACCCCTTCTTGTACGAACGATTGAAGTGCTCCGCGGCGCTCAATAATCGTCGCTTAAAGTACTTCATTCTCGCCAGAGCTTTGAATCGTTCGGACCCAATCGCGCTCGAACCGTCGTCAAGGGACCAGGGATCGATCACCGAATTGTTCGCGAAATCAAAAGCCTGTCTCGGCGACGCCCATCGAGCTCGGTTCGAAACGGCTTGGACAATAGATAACAGACCTTCCAGGCTGAGCAGATGCACTGGAGCGAGCGTGGCATCTCCGGGATATGACGTCTGTGCCAACACGGTCGCCACCTCTTCGAAAACGTTTGGCTTGGTCAGATCACAGTCGTAGTACATGTATAAATCGGTTGCGAAGTGCTCCTCCCTGCACAATTCGACGAGCGCGTCCAGTGCCACAAGCTGCGTCTGGTCATGACCGCCCTTAACGCTCGAGCATAGCGGCAAAATCACCATGCGCACGAATGCCTCCAAGTGTAGTTTGAGATCTTCCCTGAAATCCGCGTAGATAGCTGTGATGAGGGACGTCGTCGCCGCCAACACGTTCGCTGAGCACGAGACGACGACTCCGCACAAGGCACGAGAGAGGTCGTCCAAAATCAAACTCATGAGCGCACGATTCGTTCGGAAGTGCTGGGTGTTGCCATCGAGCATTATAGTCACGAGCTTCAAACCGAACAAGCTGTTCGCGTCCTCCGACCCACGACCGTGCGTGTCAGGAGCTATGAGACTCACAGCGAAGCGGAAAATTTCAATCAACGCTGGCAATCCGTGCGGATCCTTCGCCGTTTCCGAGTGCTCGTGCGCAGTGATGTCCGTCCCCGGACCTGCCACTTCCTGTGGACTCCCCGGATCCTCCTCGCCTTCGGTCGCGGGCACCACAGGGGTTGGCGTTGGCGGGAGGATCACCGCGTTTCTTGGCGACATCAGTCTCGGCGCCTTACCTTCTCTACTGTTCGCCGTCGCCACCGCCGTCGCGCGGACGATCTCACCCGTGCGCTGACTGATGTGGTAAACAATCTCACTCAAAGTCTGCTTACTCAGCTCTCGCAACAACGGGGTCTCCTTACCGCTCTGATGTCCAATCCTGTAGCACGCCTGAAACACGTCGCACAAATCGTCGTCGCTCAGCGCGTCGCCGCAATCGCACTCCACACACGCCGCCAACACGTACAGGATCTGGCTCAATACCGCATCGTCATCTTCCGCGCTCGTCGCCTCGAACCGGCACAGAGTCACCGCGTCCGCGACCGCGTGCACGAACCTTCCCGCGCCGCCCGGCAAGTCTCGCGTCGCCCGTCCGCTCTTCAAGATCTTCAAGATCGCCACCAACGCCGCGCTCGTCACCATCCCTCCCGTCTCCACGCTTCGCACCACGTTCAAAAACGGTTCAATCATCGCTGTCGCATCATCACCATGCTCATCCGCGTCCTTCACCGCGTCGTCTCGACTCGATCTCGTCGCCGTCTCCGCGCGCGCCGCGCCTCTCGCCTCGTCCGCGCGTCTCCCTCTCTCGATCGATCGCACGTTTGACAGCGCGTCGAGCAGCGCGTCGTGCGCGTCATCGTCGTCGCCGTACGACGCGTCGCCGTACAGTCCGTACGCGTTCAAAGCGCTCGGCGCGGAGGCGTGACGCGCGGCGTACCGCGCGCTCGATCGAATGAACGCGGCGAGTTGTTTCGCCTCTCGCTTGACGATGCGCGCGAAGGACTGGGCGTCAAAGGCGCCGGATCGATCGTCCACGCGTTTCCCGCGCGGGGTGCGCGCGTCGGACATGTGTGCGCGCCGACTTGTTGGGTGGATTAGAAAGATGTGTTGGATTCGGACGCGAGCGCGGCGACGCGGCGGGACGGATGGAAGGGCGCGGTCGCGGGCGGTGGTGACGTCCGATGCGCGCTTCGTATCGTTAAAGCTGTGCGGTTATACTAATTCCGGGAAGTGATTAACGAGACTTGCTCTGCTCGTACGCGGCGCGTCTGGAGGCGTACTCGCTCGGAACGCCGCCCGACTGGGTAAGGAACTTGTTTGCGGCTTCCTCTGGGAGCGTCACGGCGAGGTTGATCCGGTCGTCATCCGTCATGGAGCCGAGGTAGTTTTCAGCCCAAGCGGGTAGTTCGACAACGTTATCGGCGCTCGGTCCGATGGCGTGCCACTGGTCCTTGACGAGCTCCCAGAACTTGCCGCTCTCGGGCTCTTGCGCCCACACGGAGAGCATCAAATCGTCCCAGTACACCTCCTTTTGTTCGCCCCAGGAGAGATCCCACACCTCGAACGTTCGCTCGCGCTCGATGCCAGCCTTCTCGAACGCGTTAACGAGCTGTCGACCGGTAATGTCGCGCACGGTGAGCAACGACTCCTTGAGAGTGAAGAGCATCTCTCTGTTCTTTGGCTCGTGGAGCACCATGACCGCGCGTTGACACGCTCGGGTCAACGTCTTCCTCACCTCGTTGTACACTAATAAATCCATCTCGTCGGACATTTGCCCGATCAAATCGATGCTCGAATCCTTGCCCACGCGAAGGTAATCTTCCTCGCGAGTCGATTCGGGTGCGAGCGCGATCGGGCCCAAGTCGCTCCAACCGTGACGCATGACCATTTCGCACGCCAACTTGGTCGCCATCGCGATGTCCTCCGAACCCGTCGTCGAGACGTGCTCGGGGCCGTACAAATATCGCTCCGCCATCTGACCAGCAACGAGAACGCACAGCTTACTCTCATAATACGATTGAGAGCGCACTGAACGCGCCGCCGGGGAGTCCACTTCGTCGGGGACATAGGAGATTTGACCACTCGCCTGGCCGCTGGGGAACACGCTCACCTTGCTCACCTCGTCGTACGCGGGCATTTGCATCGCGACGAGCGTTTGCGCGGCAAAATACGCCGCGACGGTGTCGCGCGTGTACGGGTTCATCTGAGCCACGAGAACATCTTCAAGCATGCTGTCTCGAGCCAAGCTGCCGGCACCGCTGCCGTTGCGAACGAAGCTCTGCGATCGTCGAATATCGTCAATGCACCAGAGGAAGTCGCCCGTCGAGGCGAGTCCGCGCTCGGCTTGCGCGACGCGCATCACTGCGGACTTGGTGAGGTTTTCAATGTCCGCGCCGCTGAACCCAGCGCACTGTCTAGCGATGTATTCGTAATCCAAGTTGGGGTCAATGTTACCGGCAAACGTCGGCTTATTGCAGTGCAGGAACAGAATCTCTTGTCGAGACTTCTTGTTCGGTAAACCCATCTCGATCACCCGATCGAAGCGACCGGCACGAATGAGAGCCGGATCGAGCACTTGCGGTCGGTTCGTTGCCGCCAAAATCATGATACCCGTCGCGGTGGAGAAGCCGTCCATCTCAGTCAACATTTGGTTGATAGTAGCCGTAGCTTCGTCGTTACCGTACACTTGACCTTGGCCCGTCTCCGAACGTTTCGTTCCGACAGCATCAAACTCATCGATGAAGATGATGCACGGCGCCACTTTCTTGGCTTGGTCGAATAAGTTACGAATACGCGCAGCACCGACGCCGACAAACATCTCCATAAACTCCGTACCGGCGCAAGAAAAGAACGGTACACCTGCTTCGCCGGCGACGCAGCGCGCGAGCAAGGTCTTACCCGTGCCTGGCGGACCGCAAAGGAGGACGCCAGCTGGAATGCGTGCGCCCATGGAGTTGTACTTGTCGAAATCCTTGAGGTAGGAGATGAGCTCGAGCATCTCCTCCTTGACGGTGTCGATGCCGCTAATGTCCTTCAAGCTCATACCCTGGCGCACTGTAGAATCGTACTGGCGTGTCGTCATGTTACCGAACATGTCTTCTGAGCTATCCTTGAACGTGCCGTCGTAGATCATCCAGGCGTAGTAGATGACGATGAGCGGCGTGAACGCGTTGAAGGCGAACGACGCAAACTTCAACCACTCGGGCGCCTGCTCCATCTCAATCCTAATGTGACCCATCGCTCCCGGGCGCTCCTGCAAGAGCTTCTTGTATAACATCGGGTCATACGGCAAATTGCACCCGAACACCTCCTCGGTGTCGTCGATGTAGTATCGAATGCTCGTCTCGTTGGAGCGATAAACCACGCGGTTGACGCGACCGACGTCAATCATCTTGTGAAACGCCGTGTAAGACGTCTCTGTGGGGAACTTATCGGTGCCCATCATCGCGTAAGGGTCGCGCAAGTACTGCAAATTGATGTTTCGCACGAATCTGTCCCCGCGCTTGGAGAAGATTTTCGTAAACGGGTTCTTGCTGTTCTTTTCCTTTTCGTACTCTTCGTACGCCGCCGCTCTCTCAGCCAACTCTTGTTCTAACCGGCTCAACTGAATTCTCTTGCTCTCCGGGTGCTCGCCCGTCTTGTACGCGACGCGATCCAGCGCCTCTTTCGCCGCTATCTTACCCGTCGGAACCTTTTTCTTCTTCTCGGGTTCGTGCGAAACCAGAGACGCCTTCTTCTGCGTCCCTCTACGCCGCCTCGTCCTCTGCGCTCGCGGCGTTCCGTCGTCGTCGTCGAACAAATCATCCCCATCCTCATCAGCTCCGCTCGCGCTCACGCTCGGATCCGCGCTCTCATCATTCGCCCTCGCATCGCCGCCCTCCTCGCCGTCGCCGCCCTCCGCCTCGGCCAACTCCCCCACGACGGCGCCTCTTTCCGTCACCCGCCGAACCTCCGCGCTTCCGTGCTCCCGCGCTCTGTCTCCACGCGCACTCGCACTCGCCGCTCGCGGCGCGAGCAACAGCGCCAACGCCGCGATCGCGCCAATCTTCACCGCTTTCGTCCCCGGCCCGCCGATCCGCCCGCGCTCGCGCTCGCGCGATCCGTCCTCCGCCCCCGCCCCCGGCACGCGCGCCATCCCCCGCGTCCCCCGCGCCCCCCCCCGACGCGTCCAACATCGACGCACGACCCGTCCACGCGTCTCCACGCGCGACGCGCGCGCCACAGACGTCCGCACGGCCCGCATGATCGACCAGACGCGCGATTCGTCGAGAAACCTAACCCCGAGCCGCCGCGCCGCGCGCGATGGCGTGAATCCGTCCTCGACCGCGCGCGCGCGCGCGAGACGCCGCGCGGGGGAACCGCGCGAACGGTCGCGCGCGTGCGAGCGCGCGCGCGGGCGTGGGCGTCGCGCGGTGGCGCGTCGCGACGCGCGTTCGGGCGATGGACGCCGGCGGGCCGGCGCGCGTGGTCCACATAGTGATGTGCGTCGTTGAATACGTGATGTACGTATACTGGGTGCTTGGACGCTATGAAGCGTCGCGCGCACACTAGGTTGGCATCATCACGATCTATGAGTCGTGATGCTGACGCCCATCACGAAATCGATGATTCAGATCATGATGCTATATTGAGTGTATGTAAAGCCTATCATTTGCTGATATTGACGGGTATACCTCACTGATAAGCATCACGTGACTGATAATACGCTATGTCGGTACCGGTTTCGAGGAAATACAGCGATGATAAGTAAATTGTGTCACTGTTCTAACCCTAGCACCCCCTCGAAGAGCGTCGCCGCAAGCTTGAAATTTCCTCCAAGGTCGCATCACGATCCATGGGTCGTGATCGTGATGCAGATCACGAAGTTTCGGGTCGTGAGGGAGATCGTGATGCCAATTTTACCCAACCCAGCGCGCACACGCATGCGAATGATGTGCGGCGAAGCATTGCGTGATTTTGCGCGATTGCATGAATGCATTGAATGAATGATTCGACCGCGTCGTCGCGCGTCGCGGCGTCGACGGCGCCTCGCCCGCGGGCGATGCGGTCGATGCGTCTGGGTCGACCGCGCGCGCTCCCGGGGGTAGACGCGACGCGACGTGCGGGCGACGCGGGGCGATGTGCGTTGAAATCGAGCGCCATCGCGCGCGACGCCGTGGCGCTGGATTTCAACGCCGTCGCGACGGCGCACGCGACGGCGCACGGCGCGACGGCGATATCGAGTCGATTGACGCGAGATTTCGGCCTGGGTGACGCCGGCACGGACGTCGCGCTGGCGCAAGGGTTGTTGGGGACGGAGGCGCACGGGACGTGCGACGCGCGGACGACGGCGGCGGTGGAGGCGTTTCAGGCGTCGAGAGGGCTCGCGCCGTCGGGATATTTTGGTCGCGCGGCTCGAGCGCAGGTGGCGAGGGAGGAAGAGGCGTGGAGAGCGCTGGGTGGTGGGGAGCTGTTGAAGCTGTTGGCGGCGGAGGCGGCGCGCGGGACGGAGACGCGCGGACGCGCGGAGGGCGTCTCGGTGCGTCGAGGCGTCGCGGCGCCGCGCGCGGGGGTGCGCGTGATGTACAGCGCGGTGTGGGTGTTCGCCGCGCTCGCGATTTCGGGCGCGGTGGTGGTGACGCGGTGGGCGCGACGCGACGGCGGCGCGGCGGCGAGCGAGGCGCGCGGGGCGGGGATATTTAAGAGTCTCATCGCCGCCGGCGTCGCCGCTCGACTCGCCGGCGTCGTGAAAATATTTGAAAATGCATACGAGCGCGCGTGCGAAGCCGCAATCGCGCTCTATGCGAAGATGGCGGCGACGACGCCCGACGTCAAACGTCCAACGTTCGGCCAATCGAACGACGCGACGACCGACATCGACGCGTCGACGTCGACGTCGTCCACGACAACATCTCCCTCTAGAATCTCTCGATCCGATTTGCGTGTGGCAAGCGACGTTTTCCCACGCGGCGCTCGTTTCAACGCGTCCGCGAGAGCGGAGCAAATGCGAGCGCGGTGGGCAAACATCCGAAGAGAACCAGTTCGCGTCGAGGACAACGAGCGCGCCGCCATCGAGCGCGTCTCCAACTTCCTCGGCGGCATCGACGACACGAACGCCGCGGACCCCGACGTCGCGTGACATCGCCTTGTATCAATCACCTCCCGCTCAAACGTCCTCCGCGCGTCACTTCGCCCCTCCCGGACCCCATGCTCGGCGTCGAGAACTACGGCTCCGACGCATCCGAGGACGAGCGCGATGAAGACGACGCACCGCGGGTAACGCGCGCGCGCGCCGTCTCCGCCGCGCCGCGCGTCGATAGCGCCGCGTTGGCGCTCGAGCGAGACGACGACGGCGACGAGCGCTTGGTTCCTCTGGCGTCCACGCGCGAAGCGATCGGTGCGTGCGGACGCGATGGAAACGATGCGACGCACGACGTGCGCGTTCGCGGACGTTCACGACGCGCGACGAGAGGAGAGATTGACGGAATCGACGACGATTGCGAGACGCGCGCAGACCCGACGGAACGCAACATGACGCGAAACCTGACGTACGACGAGATGACGGCGCCGATCGAGGGACCGCTGCATGAATATCGCGAGGATCGTTTGACCGGTCGCGGGGCGCGGAATCACGCGCTGGGACAAGTGGACGTGACGTCGGTGAGCGCGTACTCGTTCGAGGAGCAGTACAACACGTACAACTCGCGAGGGTACGCGCGCGCGGTGAACGGGAAGGGCGCGGTGGGCGACGTCGAGGCGTACGAGGCAAACAAGGGGGAAACGGCTTTCACCGTGAGCGCGTCGAAGAAGCGGAGAATTCGGGACGAGGTGTTGGCGAGCGCGGCGACTCCGAGCGCGGGCGGAGACGTGGACCGCTCGGCGTGGGCGCCGGCGCGCGCGGCGCAGAAAGTCATCGTGCACGACGATCTGTCGGAGAAGGAGAAGGAGTACTTGAAGTGGCACATGGAAAATCGTGAGGCCAAGCTTCGGGCAAAGGGTAAGCTCGAAGATCTCGGGACGAAGCCCGGGGAGACGTTGGGGGCCACGGATGACTCGAAGACATCCACGTTCCACGGCAAGGAAGAAGTCAATTACGCCGGACAATCGTGGATCACGGCGCCGAAGAGCGAGAAACGCGACGGTGATGGCACGTGCTACGCCCCGAACAAGTGCGTGCACACGTTCAACGGGCACACCAAGGGCGTGGCGAAGATTGAGTTTTTCCCTCACACGGGGCACTTACTCTTGTCGGCTGGCATGGACAACGTGGTGAAAATTTGGGACGTATACAACACGAGAAAGTGCATGCGCACGTACATGGGACACGATAAGGCCGTAAAGGACGTGTGCTTCAATCAGGACGGCACACGCTTCGTGTCAACGTCGTGGGACAAAAAAGTTCGATTGTGGGATACCGAGACGGGAAAAGTCATTCAGACGGTTTCGAGCGGGAAAATTGGATACTGCGCGAAGATTCATCCCAAGCAAGAGAATTTGGTGCTCATCGGTCAGAGTGATAAAAAGATCGTGCAGTGGGACATGAACAACGGAGACTTGGTTCAAGAGTACGATCAGCACCTAGGACCGGTGAACTCCATCACATTCGCCGACGGCGGCGAAAGATTCATGTCGTCGTCCGACGACAAGTCGCTACGAGTTTGGGAGTTCGGCATCCCTGTGACGACCAAGTACATCGCTGATCCGTCCATGCACTCCACCCCGGCGACGGCGATATCGAACAGCGGCAAGTACATCATCGGCCAGTCTCTCGACAACCAAATCGTCACGTACAGCGTGGATGAGCGTTTCCGCAGGAACAACAAAAAACGATTCGGCGGTCATCACAACGCCGGGTACGCGTGCCAGCCCGCTTTCTCCACCGATGACGGCACCGTCGTGAGCGGCGATGGCAACGGTAAGCTCTTCTTCTGGGATTGGAAGACGAGTAAAATCATTAAAACCATCAAAGCGCACGACCAGGTCGCCATCGGCGTCGCGTGGCATCCGCTCAAGAGTTCGCTCGTCGCGTCGTGTAGCTGGGATAAAACTATCAAGCTCTGGAAGTGAGTGTAGCATCGCGTTGGGAACGAAGGCGAGTGGTTACTCGTAACGAATTAAAAAAGTTTCATCCGCGCGCGGGCGCTCGAGCGACGCGCGCGTCTCCTCTATTTCTTCGCCGCGATCATCTGAATCTCCACCAAATACTCCGGCAGCGCCATCTCGCTCTGCACGCACGCGCGAACCGGTTTGTGCCCTCCATCGATCCACTCCAAGTACGCCTCGTTAAACGCCGCGTAATCCCCCATGTCCTTCAGCCACACCGTCACGCTCAACAACCGCGTCTTATCCGTGCCCGCCATCGCGAGCACTCGATCGCACTCCTCCAGCGTCCGTCGCGTCTGCGCCTCGATCCCGTCTCCCAGCTCGGCCTGTCCCGCGAAGTAACACGTCTCACCGTGCACCACCACCTGCGAGTACTTCGCATCTTCGTCCACGCCCAGGCGCTCGATCGCCATCGCGCGCGTCCGCGACCCCGCGCGCGCGCGCGTCACCGGCGGTCGCGCGCGCGCGATCGGCGCGCGCGCGGCGAGGGACATGGCGCGTCGACGCGTCGACGAGCGACGCCGCGGTGTCGACGCGGTGTCGACGCGGTGTCGACGCGTCGACGTCAGAATCGACCGCGCGAACGATGCCCGCGAGTCGTCCGCGCTCGCGCGCGCGACGATTGCGCACCGCGGTGGCGTGCGTCGTCGCGTGCGTCGCCGCGTCGACCACGGGGGCGCGCGCGAGGGCGGTGCGAGGGAGGGATTCGGTGGGAATCGCGTCGCGCGTCAACGGTGTGGAATCGAGGGTCTCGGACGCGCTCGCATCGGCGAAAGCGCTCGTCGAGGATGGTGAGGAATTGAAAAAGACGTTCGAGACGTTTCTGGACGCGCACGGTAAGCGCGCGGCGTACGCGACGAAGACGGCGGAAGAATACGCGAGACGGTTGGAGATCTTCGGCGAGAATTTAATTCGCGCGGCGACGCAGCAGGCGAACGATCGAGGGAGCGCGAAACACGGGGTGACGCGATTCAGTGATTTGACCCCGGAGGAGTTCGCGGAGCGATACCTCGGGCACGTCAAGTTGTCGAGCGAGCATCGAGAGAAGGTGCGCGCGCGAGGCGGCGTCATCGAAGACTTGCCTACGAAGCATCTGCCGGCGGAGTTCGATTGGCGATTCAAGGGTGCGGTGTCCCGAGTGAAGGACCAAGGGCAGTGTGGGAGCTGCTGGACGTTCTCGACCACGGGTGCGATCGAGGGCGCGCATTTCATCAGCACCGGGAAGCTCGTCGAGCTGAGCGAGCAACAACTCCTTGACTGCGACGTCGGGTGCGATCCTGACGTCCCGAACGCGTGCGATTCTGGATGCAACGGCGGCTTGCCGTCGAATGCGATGGAGTATATCGTCGAACACGGCGGGATCGATACCGAAAAGTCGTATCCATACGTCGGTGAGAAGGGGGAGTGCAAGGCGGACGAAGGCACGCTCGGCGCCACGCTCAAGAACTTTTCGTACGTGAGCTCGGACGAGAAACAAATGGCGGCAGCACTGGTCAAGCACGGTCCGCTTTCCATCGGTATCAACGCCGCATGGATGCAGACCTATATCGGCGGCGTGGCGTGCCCGTGGTTGTGCGACTCGGAGGCGCTCGATCACGGCGTTCTCATCGTCGGCTACGGCTCAAGCGGCTTTGCCCCGGTTCGCTGGCAACAAGAGCCTTACTGGATCGTCAAGAACTCGTGGTCCCCAGCGTGGGGCGAGGGTGGATACTACAGGATTTGCAAGGACAAGGGCAGCTGCGGGATCAACAACATGGTTGTCGCGGCGCACGGCGCGGACTAACGCGTTGAATCGAAACGCGCGAGGCGCTGTCACTCTGTATGCTTACACGGCGTCGTCGTGAAACACCACACATCACTCTTGCAATTATTTTTATCACTTCATGTTACAACGCGTTCGACTCGCCCACGCCTTCTCGTCCGCTTCTTCCGCTCGTTTCCCTAGGTCCCGTCGCCGCTTTCTACTTCGCCCTCGGTCCGTTCTCATCGAACGCGTTCGACCACATCTGCGACGGCACGCGATGCGCCGGATAGATCGGTCGCTTCTCCCGCTTACGCGAGAAATCCCACGTCGCGAACGCCAAGACGCCGAGCCCGACGAACCCGAGCGCGGTGTTTCGTCGCCAGCCCTTCGGATCGGCGAACCACCCGCCGTAGGGCGACCACACGTGCGCGCGGATCGACGTCGGGTCCGACGCGGACGACGGCGCGCCCATGGTCGACGGCGCGAGCGGTGATCGAGCGACGCGCGCGCGTGTGCGGGGCGCGTCGTCGCGCGATCCGAGGTGATTGCCAAACCCGTACGTGTGACCAAACAGTACACACGTTCGTTCCAAAACGAACGATCGAGATCTGTTGGAACCACGCCGTCGCGTCTCCGAGCGTCATCGCGTCGCGCGCGCGCCTCGAGCTCGGTCGACGAACGCGCGCGGGGGGTCGCACGCGTCATGTTCGCCACGAGATCCGAGTACGACCGCGGCGTGAACACGTTCTCGCCCGAGGGTCGTTTGTTTCAGGTGGAGTACGCCATCGAGGCGATCAAGCTCGGGTCGACCGCGATCGCGATCAAGACGAAAGAAGGGGTCGTGCTCGCGGTGGAGAAGCGCGCGACGTCGCCGTTGATGGACTCGTCGTCTTTGGAGAAGATCGCGGAGATCGACGCGCACATCGGATGCGCGGTGAGCGGGTTGACGGCGGACGCGTGGACGATGGTGGAGCACGGACGCGCGGAGTGTCAGAATCATTACTTTACCTATAATGAACCGATGCCGGTGTTGTCCTGCACGTCGTCGTTGTGCGATCTCGCGATGTCATTCGCTGGAGAGGGGGAGAAGCGGATGTCGCGGCCGTTTGGCGTCGCGCTCCTGGTGGGCGGAAAGGACGACGACGGGTATCACTTGGTGCACACCGATCCGAGCGGGACGGCGATGCAGTACAAGGCGAAGGCGATCGGAAGTGGGAGCGAGGGAGCGCAGACTGCGTTGCAGGAGGAGTACAGGGAAGATCTCACGCTCAAGGAGGCGGAGACGTTGGCGTTGAAGACGCTCAAGGCGGTGATGGAAGAAAAGGTGAACGTCACCAACGTAGATGTCGCGCGCATAGCGCCGAATTACGTCAAGTATTCCGATCCGGAGATCCAAGAGATCATCGACAGGTTGTGATCGAGGTCGATGTGTCGCTTCATCAATCATCGTGGCCTCGCTACGCACGTAGGACTAGGACTAGGACCGGATTTTTATCGTTCCATGCACGAGCTCCATTTTACAAGGTTGTGAAGTTATTCACCGCCACGACCCGTACGGCTTCAACTCTTCTTTGTTCGCTTCCCTGTAACCCCGGTGTTCTCCTCGAGTGGCGACGCGGCTGTTGTTTTGCGCTTGACTGCCGGCTCCTCGTTCGTCTCCGTCGACTTACCGGTCGTGTCCAACCCACTCGGACCCGCGTCTTCTCTCGGGATGCGGATCGGATGCTGTTTGATCATTTTTGTCAAGACGTGGAATCCGTCGTGGATCTGAAACGGCGTCTGGTTGAAGTCCAGATGCACGTGTCTTTGATCCTCTGAAATTTCTACGTCCACCTCTGCGTCCGCCTTGGTTTGAATCAAAATGAATGGGAGTTGAATGCCCGTTATCGGCGCACCGTTCGACTTCGCCATTGCTTCGCGGTTACGATCGACGAGCGCGATGATGGCGTCGTGTTGCTCCACGAGCTCTGCAAGATGGTTCACCTTCTTCTCGAACTCTTCGATTCCGGCCTCACTCGTCGCCCAGGTCGGCGCAGCCGTCCTCGGCGTTGTAGCCTCGGGCGTTCCCGTCGTTCCGGCCCTCTTCGGGGGTAGCTCCCCGGGTTTCATGCATCCCGGCGGGTAGCCGCTCCAGAAAATCTCCTTCTTCTTCTTCGTGATTATGCCCACAGCCTCGATCACGTTGAGCGCGTCGTACACGCGGCGCCGCACGTTCTTCTCATCAAACTCCGTGTTCGCCTGCTGCGCCGCGAGCCTGAGCTCCTCCACGAGCTCATTTGCCACCTCATTATACGACGTGTGCATCTTCTCCTCCACTTTCTCGCACACGCGCATGCTAAAATGCCGCAGGCCCTTTTGCTCTCGCTCTCCAGGCGTCTGCGCGGATGGCGTTGTCGGCGTCTGTCCCGCGGGCGTCTTCCGAGCGCTCGTCGACGCTTTCGGCGTCGAATACATAGCATCTACCTCATCTCTCGCGCTCGCATCTCCCCTGGCTCTTAAACTCGCGCGCGCATCCGCGATGGACGCGCGCGCTTCGATTACGTATTTCGCCGCCGCCTGCATTGAAGCCTCAGCCGCGTCTCGATCGTATCTCGCCGTCGACGCGCTCGCCCCCGCGTGCGCGACTCCGACCCGTGGCTCACCCATCGCATCACCGACCCCGAAACCCGTCGCATCTCGCAAACGCACGCGATCGGGCGTCCCGAACGCGGGCGTAAACGACCCACCCAGCGCGTCCGGCGATTCGCTCTTCCCGCTCGTCGTCGCCGCCCGCCGCGACTCCGCAAACTCCCGCGTGAACGCGTCCTCGCCCTCAAACCTCGCCTGTCCCAATATATCGTCCACGTTCGCGTATCCCAACACTCCCTGTCGTCATCGTCACCGTTCGTCAGTCCCGCGCGCGTTCGCGTCCGCGTGTCTAAATATCTCATCGCTCCGACCGTTCCAATCCATCGCTCGCTCCATCGCGCACCTCGTCCCGTAACGCGTCGAACAACTCGCTCGCCAACGCGTCATCGCTCGCGTCCGTCCTCGGCTCGCGCCATCGCGGCGGCATCGCGTCGTCGTCGTCGTCGTCGACGCGCCGCGTCCGTCGATGCGTCGAATCGTCCGTCTTTGGCATCCACCACCGCGTCGCCGCGCCGGGCCACGCGTCGCGCGCCACGCGCGCGCGCGCCCGTCGGCGGGTCTCCGACGCCTCGCGCGCCGGTCTCCGACGTCTCGCGCGCGACGCGGGCGCCGCGGTGCGACGATCGCCGCGCGCGATGGGTCGATTGGCTCCGGCGGAGCGGTCGGTGTTCGTATTCAGCGTGTTCGTCGCCCATCACGTAAACCCTGATTGGTCGCATCGATGACGCGCACGTCGATGACGCATTCGCCATTCGCGGTCGCCCGCGGTATGCCGCGCGACGCCACCGACGCGAACTCGGAGGTCTCGTGCGCGCTGCGCGTCGTCGCGCGGAGCGCGGACGGGCGAAAACACGTCGTGAGCGAACGCATGGGTTTTACATTTCGATGGCGCGCGACGACGCATTCGAGCGTCACGGTGGCGCTGGTTCCGGTCGACGGACGGGCGACGCACTGGAGATACGAGCGCGTGATCACGCGGGAGGTGTTCGATGGCATCAAGGCGGAGCAGACGCTGACGCTGCGGGACGCCGTGGGGTTGGCGGAGACGTGCGCGCGGGCGCTCTCGGAGGACGGCGACGGACGACTGAGCGTGCTCTCGTGCGAGAGCGATGGGAGGGCGCGATTGGAGATTGTCGAGGACGGTGGACATCGGTTGGTGAGCGTTTTGGAACTTCCGTTCGTGGCGATGGGGGAGGAGGCGGTGAGACGGGAGGTGAGCGAGGAGTACGCGTCGATGCAGCGCGAGCTCGGCGAGTATCGTCGCAAGTTTGGAAGTTTGTAATGAGGATTGGAGAGAACGTGTAGAATGAGTCGTTTGGGAATCTTAACAACGCGCGCGTTCCTAAAATATTCTAGATCGGGTTGATGAGACCGATCGTCGGCTGACTCTGGCCGAAGCGACCGCGTGGCGGCGTAGGTGGTCGCTCTCGATTGACGTCTTGGAGCCAGAGGTTGTCGTCGATGCGGTCGGAGGGAGACAAGGACTCCATCGCGATCGGAGGCAAGGGATGAATGAGCTTGGGATAGAGCGTCAAGTCTCGACCGAGCACTAAGATTGCCCCCGCGTTGTTCGCGGTGCCGCAGTAGTTGGTGGCGCTGAACACGGTGAGCAACTGACCTTGGGCAAAGCGCTCGAAACCATCCATGACGCACTCGTGCGCGCGAACGATCATCTGAATCCCGTTCGTCTCACAGAACGCCCTGACTCTATCGGGACCGAACGTCACGAGTCCGGGCCCGCGAGCGTTCGGGCGCAAGCCCTCGATGCCGTCGTTCTCCGTCGGATCGCTCCATAGGATGTCCATCAATTCTACGCCGCCGTTCTCCATCGTCAGCGGACGCTTAAGATCGTTAATCTGCGACAAATGCGTCACGCTTCGCCCGATACCGCCGTGCATGCAACAAATTCGATCTTCAATGACAGCAGCGAGTGGAAGCCACTCGAACAGACTGTTGAATCTTCGCCACACTTGATCGCCAACAGCTTCGCCGAGGCGCTCGACGCACTCGATGCGGAATCCAAACAGCCCGTTTATGTCGGACTCTTCGTGGTTCCCGCGGAGTAAGTGCACGGAGTTCGGGTACTCGATCTTCAACGCGAGCAAAAGCGAAATGGTTTCCAAAGAGTACGCACCACGATCGACGTAGTCGCCGAGGAAGACGTAGTCGATGTACGCGATGTCGCCCGCGGTGGATGGCGAGCCGTATTCCGCGAATAAACGCATCAAATCCCCAAACTGACCGTGAAGGTCACCGAAGATCTTCGCCGGCCCGTTGACCCGCAATACAGTTTCCTCATTCTTGAAGCAGTGCTCCGCGGCATCGCACAACTCGTTGATCGCGGCCGCGTTGAGGAAGAAGCGTCGATCTTGGCTTGGTTCCCATGTGTGAGGATGAAGCAAGTGCGTGATCACCACCCTGTGCACGGGTTGCGCCCCGAGCTCAGCGGCGCGTCTCGCACGAGCCAACTTCGCTGGTGTGTCTCCTGGGGTATACATGTCCGCTCCCGGAGTGCCGATGCGCCGCGCTTCGTTCTCAAACTGATCGATGGACAGTTGACGCACCATGCTCGCCACCCCGCGAGGGGTCGACTTCGATTCCGAGTCGTACGGAGCGGCTGCGACGACAACCGCACGATGATGCAACCTAACCTCCGAAGCTGGCGTGCGTCGCGCATCGCCCGGTGAGCCTAGACCGGCGAAACCTGGAGACGGCGTGTGCACGGATGATCCGCCAGGAGAGCCGGAATCGGACCCGCCGAGCGAAAACTTCCGTCGAGCCACTAGGTCGAGCGCCGCCGCTGCCTCTTGTGCGCTCGCGTGACGCAACTCTTGCTCGGCATTCGCGTTCATGCCCTCCGGAGAGTCCGGCGAGCTCGGCGAGCCTCCGAGCGGACGTAACGTAACCTCTGGCGGCGAGCTAGGCGAGCTGAACGATCCATTCGAGTACGTCGCGTCGCGTTGAGTATTGATGGCGAATGTGTCGCGCGTGTTCCTGGGAGAATGCATCCCAAGAATCTCCGCCGCCAGACCGGTATCGGTGAGCCAGTTACGCCAAGCCAACGAGTTCGGGTCGATGAGCGTCGCGAACTCTCGAGAGCGCTCGGCTCGCGTAGTGCCGCTCTCCTCTGGAGGCTCCTCGAGTACGACCAAATCATCCAACAGCGCGCCGTTTCGCAAGCCACCGTGAACGAAAATGAATGGACCGTATGATACGCTCGCGTGGCGGCATCGTGGCCCCACGAGCGCATTCGCATCTTGAACTAAGCCCGTCTTTGGCCCGTCTCTCTTGCATTCGCGCCACCCGGTGCTGCCGCCCGCGGACGTGTCAAGCATCGACATCGTCGTTTCCTCGGGCACGAGTTGTCCCCCCGCGGACGCACCACCGGTTATGTGCAACCTCGTGTCCACAAAAGCGGTGGCGTGTTGGAACCGACGTGTCGGGGCCTTACCCGGCGCTTCGGCCCACTCCCAACGTCCGTCACGGTGCCTAGCCAAACCGAAGGCATCGTTGAGCGCCATGCCATCCGCGCCGCGTCCACCGCACAGGAGCAACAACCCATCCGTGCGCGTACTCGCGCTCGCATACGTTCGAGGGCTCGGAGTCGGCCCCGTAGGGTTGCACTTGCTCCACGCGTACGGCTTGGTCGTGGTGTCGAGCACCCACGTGTCGCCCAGGCACTTGGACCCATCTGTACCGCCGATGACGACCAAAAATCTTTGCGCGACGAAACTCAACACGTGCGCGTACCTCTGCCCCGGACCATCCCCTTTGACGTGCACGCGATGCCACTTCGGATCCTTCGTCGCCAGATCCAACACGTACAAGTCGCCGTCGGCCAACCCGTCCGGACCGATGCCTCCGTGCACGACGAGCATCCCACCCACCGTGGCCGCCCCGTGCGCCGCTCTCGCGCTCGGCACGTCCCCACCGCATTTCAGCTCGTCCCACTCCCCACCCTGCGGGTCGAACACGCGAAGATCGCTCGTCGCGCCGCTCAGTTTCACCCAGTTCGTTCCGTCTCGTCCGCCGCCGTGCAGCGGACTCCCTCCTCTCCCGTCACCCAGCGCGCTCGCGCTCGCCCCCTCCAGCTCCGTGGCCCCACCAAAGCACACAATCTTCGTGCGCTGATTCCAACGCAGCGCCGTGAGCGTGTGTCCACACCGCGCGCCCGGGGACGCGTCGTCCCTCGTCGTCTTCGCTCGATCGCCATCGTGTCGTTGATTCGTCGTGAATCTCGCGTTCGTCGCGTCATCAAACCCACGCGCGCGCCCGTCTCGGGCGAACGTCGCACCGAGCATGCTCGATCGCGCGCGCGCGATCGCGCGTCGCGCCGTGCGCGCGCGCCGACCGACGCGCGGGGTTTTTATTGTAGTTTAAATCGGGATTGCAGCCGCGTGGCGATAAAAACGTCTCGGACAGATGGAAACACGTAGTGTGGCGCCGAGACGTCTGTCACGAGAACACCATCGATCCGACCGTTCCACGCGCGCGGCGACGACGAGACAAAGCGTCCCTCAGAGCGTCATGCGCGTCCCCGCGCGCGCCCCGCTCGAAGCGATCGATGGGAACGTCGCGACGCGCGAGCCGACGGCGTTGGAGGCGCTCGCGGCGACGGTGCGCGCGACGCCGGAGAAATCATCGCCAACGGTCAGCGGGCGAACGACGGTGGCGAGAAGGAGGACGACGACGACGACGGACGCGGTGGCTCGAGAGCGTCGCGAGGACGATGGATGCGATGGCGATCGCGCGGACGTCGGGAATCGGGACGATGACGGACGGTACGCGGAGACCGTGGCGTTGTTGCGACGCGCCACGCGCGCGCTGCGGAGCGAACGCGAGCGAAGCGCCGAGCTCGAGGTGGAGCTGGAGAATTCTGTGGAGGAGACGCGCGCGCGGATTCGCGAGCGGGAAAAGGCGGAGGCGGAGGCGGGACGAGCGGTGAGAGAGGTTCGAGCGGAGATGGACGCGCTCGGGAGGACGCTGGAGGAGGTTGTCGAGAGTCGAAGAAAAGCGCGAGAGGAGACGGCGACGAGAGAGAAGGAGAAGGCGGCGCTCGAAGAGATGCTCGAACGCGAGCGAGAGGCGCACGGGAGAGAGATCGAGGAGTTGCAAGCGGAGATGGAGATTGCGCGTGCGAGCGCGGAGAATTCGTTGCGCGTCACGAGAACGAGAGATGGCATCGAAGTCACCGCCGAGCTATACGAGCAGTCCCACGCGATGGAGAAAAAGGCGCTCAAGGAGGCGCAGCGCGCGAGAAACGCGTTGGTGGAGCAGAAGAAGACGTCGGAGGCGCTCGAAAAGCGCCTTCGCGAGACGCGCTCTCGCGCGGATTTGGCTGAGGCAAAGTGCCGCGAATTGAAATCCGCGCAGAAACGGTGGGAGCGCCTGGAGTTGAGCGGCGATGCCGCGTTCGCGCAGTCGCCCTCACCGTCGATGACTCCTAAAACGCTTCGTCAGAGTCACAGGGACGTGCGAGCGTACGCCGCACAGCGCGTAGATGTGTTGGAGAAGGATGTGAAAACAACAAAGAGCGAAGCCACGCTCGTTGCGGCCGAGCTGGATTCCAAATTAGCGGCTGAGTCTGGTATGCGTGGGGCGACGCAGGGAGCGCTCGAGAGTGCTCGAGCGCGCATACGTGTTCTCGAGGGAGAACGCGACGTACTCCGCGCGCAACTCGACGCAGCACAAAGCGAGGTGGCTGACTTGAAAATGTCGATAAAGTTGACTGAGGAGCGCGCAGTACAGGCGGAAGAAACGGCGGCGAGGGAAATTGCGAACGCCATGGACGCCGTGGATCGCATGCGTTCGGCAGAAGATGCCCTGGGCGAGGCTGCGCACGAAAATGCTGTCGCGCTGAAGGCGAAGAGTGCGATGAAGAGGCGAGAATTCAGCGAACAACTTCGCGCGCTCGAGGAGCGCATTCGCATCGCCGAAGTTGAGCGCGACGTGGCGACGCAGCGCTTTCGAGACTCTAATGACGCACGACGCGCGGCGGAGGCTGAGCTGGAGGCAATACGCGCTGATCCAAACTCTATCGCAGAGCGCGTTCGCGAGGCTGAGACGCGCGCTCAACGCGCCGAGGATGAACTCGAAAACGTTCGCAAAGCCGCGCTCGCGGGTCGTCGGGCCGCGAACGAGACGCTTTCACCGCGTTCGACGAGCGTTTCGGAGCCCAAGCACTCGAGATCTAACGTCATTGAGGCTTCGTCGTTCCGTCTCGTCAAGCCGACTCAAGCGAGACGTCACCCGCGCGAAGTCGCTGTCGACCTCGTGCACAGCCTTCGCGAGAAGCTCGAGGCGAGCTCACCGTCCTGGACGCGGAAGTCGAACAGTAGACTCACTAGCACCGATCCCTCGTTCACGACGCCCACCAAACACGCGTAGTTCTATGTAAACAATCGCGAAACCGGTTAGTTGGCTTCGAACCAACCGTCCGCGCGTCACTCTTCGTCCGCCATGCCCCTCGCGCTCGCCCGAGTCGCCGGCAAACTCGCCCAGCGCGCCGCGGGCGACGGCTCGGACGCCTCGACATCCAGGGCGATCGCTCCCGAGCGTCGTAAACGTCTGGCTCTCGTCGCGTTCACGCTGGTCCACGGCGTCGGTTTCACCGCTCTGCGACTGAACTCGAACGATTTAACGCGCTCGGAGACGTCGAGGTCGACCGCGCGGACGCTCTTCGCGTTATTCACGCTCGCGGTGACGTCGTTCGCGCGCGTGCTCGGGAGCGACCCTGGATACGTATCGGGCGCGGAGATGGCGGATGCGGAGCGACTGTTGGAAGAAGCCGCGGAGCCCGGAAGCGGCTGCGCGCGGTGCGACACGTCGAGCACGCCGCTGCGAGCGAGACACTGTCGAGTGTGCGATAAATGTGTACGGAAGTTTGATCATCACTGTTTTTGGGTCGGGACGTGCGTGGGGGAAAGGAATCACGGACGGTTTTGGATGTTTTTGGCGGCGCAGACGGCGCACGCGGCGTACGGGACCTTCGTGGCGCTCACGGGCATCGTCGGAGCGACGGTGAATCACTCGACGTGGAGGGAGGTGTTCGATGATAACGTCGGTAGCGCGCTCGCGGTGGGATACCTGAATCTCATGCTGCTCTTCGTCATGTTTCTGTTGGTGTTTCACAGTTATTTATTGCTCAGCGGACAAACGACGTGGGAGGTGAGCGCGCAGAAGCGAGTGACGTACCTGAAGGATTTGCCGAGCGGCTCGAAGCCGTTTGACGAGGGCGCGGTCGCGAACGTGAGTGCGGCGTGTTATCCCGCGTCGATTCCGAGAACTTGGCGCGTTCCGAGTCTCGCCGCGCTCGAGGCGAAGGCAAACGATCAGACATTTTTCCAAAACGATCGATATAGCTGCTTCTAGAAATGTAGATGTTACACGCGCGCGTTGTATAGCTAATTCGTGAAAAACGAAAACTTGACCGCGTCGCTCGACTCAAAATCGATCGCCTTCGCGACGACCGCGGGCTCGGGGAGTGTGGTGGTCGGCGGCACCTTTTGAAAGAAGATGACGGAGTTCTCATCCGTCACCGTCTTTGCTAGTGTTTGATGCCTCGCGGAGATGTCATCGTGGTACCTCGCCCACATGCTGTACTCTCTCGAAGCTCGGAAGCACACCTTCAACGCTTCCTCAGCGCACTTGCATGCGGCGATGGCTTCTCCGCAGTGCTCGCGTTCTCTGAGCCTCTCGCCGTGCGCAAGATACGCCTCCGCTTCGTGCGCGCGTCGCATGAAGAGCACGCTCGCGAGGACGCGAATATCCACTCCGTTCCAGTCGCATCGATTATTCTGTAACACCGCGTCGGCATCGCGATAAAATGCGCTCGCCGCGACGTGCAAGCGCGCGCGCAAATTCCAACTGACTCCGCGCTCACGCGCTCGCCGCGCCGCCGTTGACTGCGCGTCACCGAGCGACATCAAACGAAAAGCATCCGCCATCGACGCCGTGAGCTCATTCGCTCTCAAGTCCGCGCTCAACTGTCCTCGCAGCGGCGGCAAAGCTTTCGTCGACAAGTATTCGAACGCGCCCGCGGCTCGTCTCGCCTCTGTCGCCGCCCGCTCCGCCGCGGCTTCCCCCAACTCCCCATCCGCGTTCGCTCGCTCGCTCAGTGCGTACGCGCACGACCGACGATGACACGCCCCGACGCCGAAGATCGCCATGCACTTCTCGCCGTACAAGCCGGTGCTCGAGACCACTTTCCGAGTCCCATCCTCCAGCGTCGACGTCCACCTCGGCGCGCTCGCCTCCGCCTCGTGTGCGTCCGCCTCCGCCTCCTCCAGCGCTTCCGACGCCTCGCTCGCGACTTGCGCGTATCGCGCGTACGCTCGCAGCGCCCCGTCCGGGTCACCGGCGTCGCTCGTCGCGCACGCCCGTCGAGCGACGTTGAGCGCTCGCAATCGCTCGTGATTTAAAGAATCGCTCGACGCCGCGCCCTGGACGACGAACTCGGCGTCCACGGGCGCGTACGCGGCGAAGTGATCGATCGGGACGACGAACGCCATGCTCGAACGACGCGCGCGCGGGTGTGCCGTACGTCACGGTTGCGCAAGAGATTAAGCCACCGCATCGACAGTTGACGACGCGCGCGCTCTTCGCGCGCGCGATGGCGTTCGTCAAGCGCGGCGTCATCGCTCGAGCGCTCGAGCGTGGGATTCCGTACCCGTACCTCGCGGTCGATCGCGCGTGGACGACGGACGCGCGCGCGGCGAGGGAACGAAGCGTCGAGCGCGTGGTCGAGGTCGAGCGACCGTCGTCGTCGTCGTCGTCGTCGTCGTCGGGTCCCGTCGTCGAGAGCGACGCGGTCGTGAGGTACGATCGAGCGACGCTCTTGGAATTGCGCGCGAGCGCGCTCGCGAAAGGAGCACCGGTGGGAACGAGCGAGGAGGAACGCGCCGCGTACCCGTGGCGCGCGACGGAGGCGAGCGCGCGAGACGGGTCGAGCAGATCGACGACCGTGCGGACGGTCGTGGGCGTGGACGCGGAGACGGACGATGTGCGGGTGGATGCGGATGATTACGCGATTCCGGACGACGACGACGCGATGCGGTCGATGTTTCAGGATGGAGAGGCGTACGTCCACGCGGCGCGGTTCATGCGGGCCGCGGACGCGCGCGCGTCCTCGATGACTTCGACGAGCGGATCCGTGCGTGTGACGTTTCGTGACGGGGCGATGCGTACGTTTGTGAGGAAGACGATGCGCGAGCGGTTCGGGGGACACGTCAATCGCGATCATCGTGAGACGACTCGGGCTCAGGTTACGGGTATCCTCTACGGGACTACGCGCTTCGTGGACGGCACGCGAGAGATTAGTGTAGCGTTCGCGCATCCGTGGGACGGTGACATCCTGAATGTCGTATCGTGGTTAGCCAGTCAGACGAGCGCGGCGGAGACCACGGTGGTGTCTCCGGTGGGTTGGTTGCGAGCGAATGCGAGTCTCGGTGCGAGTCTGCCGAGTGAAGTGACGAGCGCGTACGAGAACGCGCTCGCGCTCAAGACCTCGACATCGGCGAGCGCTGTGAGAATTTTCGTATCGCTCGATGTCTTGACAAGCGCGTGCGGGCCGCTGGTCATGGAGTGCTATGATCTCAAGACAAAGGAGGAGGTGGAGTTTTCGCTGAACGGTGACGACTGCGCAATGTGGGACTCAACTGTACCGGCAGATGTAGACTAGCTTGTGTAAAATGATGCGGTTCTCGCGATATGTGATATACCTGTGTTTTTATTACTTGTTATTGGAGCTCAGGTTTGTGACCCTCGGTCTTGAGCGCGTCTCGCTTCTCGTTCTCAGTCGTCGATGCCGCATTTCAAGTTCGCCGGAAGCGCTTTGTCGATCTGCTTGGGATAATCAAGCTTCAAGTTGTTCATGATCTCGACGAATTCCTCTTTCGTCTTAGCGACGCCTAAACGAGGATTCAGCGCCTTCTCCTCCGCGATCGTGCTCATCGTTCGTCCCTGGTAGTCGTGCGCGGGGTACACGAGCGTCTCGTCCGGAAGCACGAAGAGCTGGTTTCGTACCGACTCGAACAGCTTCTCGCTCGATCCTCCCTGGAAGTCGGTGCGACCGCACCCACGAATGAGCAATGCATCACCCGTGAATACCATATTATCGCATACGTAGCTCACGCATCCGTCGGTGTGCCCGGGTGTCGCGCGAACCTCCAAGTTGATGGAGCTCGAGTCGGCGCCGAACGAGATGACGTCTCCGTGCTCGACGAACATATCCGCTCGCGCCAGTGACGCCTTGGAGATGACGCTCTTTAATCCCGGAATTTTCTTCTTCAAGTCACCGGTTCCGGTGATATGATCGGCGTGACAGTGCGTGTTGATGGCGTACTTCAGCTTGAGTCCCAAGCCGTCCACCACCGCGATGTCTCGCTCAACCATCTCCTTCACCGGATCGATTAGCACCGCCTCCTTCGTAATGGGACACCCAAGCAAGTACGTATACGTCGAACTCCCGCTCGTGTCGAACAACTGTCTGAAGATCAAACCATCTGATCTCAACGAGTCGCGCACGAACGCAGCGAGCGGCGGTTTAGAGAAAAACTTCAAGCCCATCTCTCGCGCCCGCTGCAGCGCCCCCGCCTGCGGCCACTTCTTCTCTCGCGCCTTGTACAAGATGTATGCGATCGACGCCCGCGTCGCCGTCGAGCACTGCACCATGGTCGGTCTCGGTAACGTCTCCATCGCTTCGGTCAGCGCGTTCGCCAATCCTCTCGTCAGCGTCGATCCCTCCACCGTCACTTGCTTAAACGCCTCCCCCAGCGCGCTCTTTGCCGCGAGCGGGAAGTTCGCATCGCTCTCAGGATTCATGTATATCCACGACGCGAACTTCCCATCGCTCAGCGCTTCCTGCACGTCCGCCTGCGAGAGATCGCCCACGAGGACGACGCCATCCGTGCTGAATTCTCGCACGTTCGGTAACGACGACACCGGCATGGCGGATGTCGATCGCGACGTGCGGTTGACGCGCTCAAGGGATGAACGCGCGCGCGCACGCGGAAGCGCGCGGAGGGTGGCGGTCGTTCGCGCGAGCGCAGCGCGCATGCGTGTGCGGGATCGCGATCGGTGCCGACGAGGCGGTGCCGAACGTGCATGTCGGGTGTTTTCGACGCGTGTCCGAATCGGCGAGTGGTGACTCGTGAGGAGGAGAAGTCCCGCGCGCGCGGGCGAAGGAACCGTTTCTTCTTCGCTATACACACTACATCACGGCGGAACTCGACCTCACACGGCGCGCATCAAGAGATAAATCCTATCGTCCACGTCGACTTCCTGTAAGCTCTTGGGATCCGCCTTGAGGTTCATGAGTAGACCGCCGAAGGAGACGAACGCGCTCGCGCGCGTCAACCCGCCGGCGTTCTCCTCAACCTTCTTGTAACACTTCCCATACATCACGTACTCGTACCCGTCCGCCAGAGAAGGCTTACCGCTTTGATCGAACGCGTCGTCCTCCGGGGAGCCGTCGAGGGAGAGCGTCGGCGCGAGCGCGAGGGAGAACCGCTGTCCGACGCTCAGCGGGTACACGTCCACGTTGACGTCGATCGTGAGCTCGGCGTCGAACTCGCTCCGGCACTTGTACCTCGACACGCGGTCGAACTTCTTCCCGTCTGGGTCCCTATCGATCACCTCGAACATGTCCTCGAACCGCGTCGCGCCGCCCGCGGTGGCCTTTTGCGCGCCCGCCGCGGTCGATGCCTTCTTCTTGCTCCCAGCCATTTCTCTCCACCTACGCGTCGACTTTTCTCGATCTGAGACGCTTCCGATCCACGCACGAGCGTCACGCTTCGATCACTCGCGGTTCGACGACACTCTCGATCGACCGCGCCCGCCGTCGACGTCTCTCGCTCGTCGGAGCGACGCAAAGAATCGCTCGACGGACGAACCCCTGGTGTCGCCGCCAAAGCTCGACGATTCATGATTCATGACCCATTCCCGACCCCCTCGTGTGCCACATAGTCTTACAAGTAAGCGCTGGCGCGTGGTCACCATACGATGTTAAAGACATTGCCTTTGATGCCCGTGACGTGAACAATGTATGTATCATGTACCATTGACGAGTCAGGAACCGGAATTACCCCCCGCAAAAGGTATATGGATTCGTGGAGAGCTGATTTTCTGGACCCGCGCGCCGGCGCCGTCCGAGCGATCACTCGAGGGCGCGTTGTAAGCATTAACGTGCCGTTGGTTCAAACCTCTCGTTTCAACGCTCGCGGTAGCGGTTCGACGACGCGCGGCGCGCGGCAAATTTCGGCAAATTCGAGCAATTTCCGGGCCGCAGAAATTTTTTTCAAAAATGTATGGGAAAAAGTAGTTTTTGGACGACGGAGAACGCTGTAGACGCTTTCAGACGGCGAGATCGGCAGTGATTGGTGTCGTCACTGTTTACAACGTTCGTGCGGCGTCGAGGCAGGTAGGGTGAAGATGTCGCGCAGTTCAACTGCGTCGGTCACTAAAGATGCATTCACGATGCCACCTGGAGATACGTCAAAAATCGGTCACGCTGCCCCGCACGACAGCTTGCTCGATCGCCTGACGCGGAGTTCTCGATCGCGCGAACTTCTTCCGTCGTTACCGCGAATCTCGCGCGCGCCGTCGACGCTCGAGCGGTCGCACTGTGGAGACCAATCGATGATTCACATCGCACGCAATCACATCAATTTGCACCTTAACGCGCGTTGCGACGCCGAATCGCGACGAAAATCGCTCAAATTTGGAGAGGAAAGTGAAAAAACGTCGACGAATCGATCCGCGGCGTGAACTCGCGCCGCGTTTTCTAAACCCTAGAAAATAGGGTTTACGGTCAACATTGCTCGCCCCAGCGTCGCGCCTCCTTACGACGCCGCGACGCGCGCGCGCGCGCGATCGGCAGACGAAACCGTTCGCGTCCGCGTCCGCGCTCGCGCTCGCGCTCGCGCCGTCGCCACGCGCGGGTCCAGAAAATCAGGTCTCCATCGCATCGCGACTCGTCGCGTCAACGAGGGGTCTTCGACGGGTCGTGACTCGCGTTTCTCTCGCGTACCCCCTCGCCGGGATTTTAGAGCCCCCAAAAGAGGTCGATTCACGACTCGTCGTGTGCGCCGTGTCAAAATCCATATACCGCGGGAGGGTCACCGACCCTCGAGTTACACTCTTCGGGTATGGTGACAAAATGCTCCCTAAACATGGAGCGTACGACACGACACGCGAATTTCCCTGACATGCTCTTACATTGCACAGAGTACGTAACGCTCAAAAACGCGCGAAAAAGAAGCTTCTAGACACGACGGCGCGGCGCCGATGCGCGCTCGAGCGTCACATCACACCGTGCACAGTCGCGTTCACCATGAGCGAGGACACCGAAACGTTCGCGTTCCAGGCCGAGATCAATCAGCTCTTATCGCTGATCATTAACGTGCGTTTATGAGCGAATCACTCGTCGCTTGAAGAGGAGCCGTCGCGAAAGATGATCCCGAGCGCTGACTCGCGGCGGCGTGCGCGATGGCGCGATTGAACCACGACTGACGATGATCTGTGGACGTTTCACGCGTAACAGACGTTCTATTCGAACAAAGAAATCTTCTTGCGCGAGTTGATCAGGTACGCGAGCGCGTCGAGCGCGTCGAGCGCGTCCGAAGCACGAGATCGCGATGGCCGTGGCGAAGACGCGACGGGCGCGTGCGCGCTGGAGTCAACGCTTTTCGGTCGTCGGGATCGATGGGCGCGGTCCAGAGGGCGTTCGAGCGGAGAATTGGATTCGTGCGAAACGTTTCGCGCGCGATGCGCGTCGGTGGTGTCCGCGAAGGGGCGTGAGCGAAGGCACGGGCGTGTCGAAGCGTCTTCGACACCAACTTCGCGAGCGTTTTCTAGAAGCAGCAGCAGAAGATATCTGGAAGTTGGTTTGCCTCTTTTTGACCGCGAGACTGACGATTGTGTTCTCGCCCGCGCAGTAACTCCTCCGATGCTCTCGATAAGATTCGCTTCGAGGGTTTGACGGATAAGTCCAAGCTCGAGTCGCAACCCGAGTTGTTCATTCACATCGTCCCGGATAAGACGAACAACACGCTGACCATCATCGACAGCGGCATCGGTATGACCAAGGCTGATTTGGTCAACAACCTCGGTACGATTGCGCGATCCGGTACCAAGGCATTTATGGAGGCGCTCACTGCGGGCGCCGACATTTCCATGATCGGCCAGTTCGGCGTCGGTTTCTACTCCTCCTACCTTGTCGCTGAGAAGGTTGTCGTGTACACCAAGCACAACGACGACGAAGGCTACCGTTGGGAATCCCAAGCCGGCGGCTCCTTCACGGTGACCAAGGACGCGAGCGCGAGCGAGCTCGGCCGCGGTACCAAGATGGTCCTCCACCTCAAGGATGATCAACTTGAGTACCTCGAAGAGCGCCGCTTGAAGGACTTGGTGAAGAAGCACTCTGAGTTCATCTCCTACCCGATCTCTCTCTGGACCGAGAAGACGACCGAGAAGGAAGTGTCTGACGACGAGGCCGAGGAAGAAGGCGAAGAAGAAGAGGGCAAAATCACCGAAATCAAGGATGATGAGGTGAAGGAAAAGAAGACGAAGAAGGTGAAGGAAGTCTCTCACGAGTGGGCCATCATGAACAAGCAAAAGCCGATCTGGATGCGCAACCCGGAGGAGATCACCAAGGACGAGTATGCCGCGTTCTACAAGTCGCTCACCAACGACTGGGAAGAACAACTTTCCGTGAAACACTTCGCAGTCGAAGGTCAACTCGAGTTCAAGTCTGTGCTCTTCGTCCCGAAGCGTGCGCCGTTCGACATGTTTGACGGCAAGAAGAAGGCAAACAACATCAAGCTGTACGTCCGCCGCGTCTTCATCATGGACAACTGCGAGGACATCATCCCGGAGTACTTGGGCTTCGTCAAGGGTATCGTTGATTCTGAGGATTTACCGCTCAACATTTCTCGTGAAATGCTCCAGCAAAACAAAATTCTCAAGGTCATCAAGAAGAACATTGTCAAGAAGTGCCTCGAAATGTTCAACGAAATCGCTGAGAACAAGGACGACTACACCAAGTTCTACGAGGCGTTCGGCAAGAACTTGAAGCTCGGCATCCATGAAGACGCGCAAAACCGCTCCAAGATTGCCGATTTGATCCGCTACTACTCCACCAAGTCTGGCGAGGAGCAAACTTCTCTCAAGGATTATGTCACGCGTATGAAGGAGGGCCAAAAGTCCATCTACTACATCACCGGCGAGTCCAAGAAATCTGTCGAGAACTCTCCGTTCATTGAGAAGCTCAAGAAGCGCGGCTACGAAGTCCTCTATATGACCGACCCGATCGATGAGTACGCCGTTCAGCAACTCAAGGAGTACGACGGCAAGAAGCTTGTGTCGTGCACCAAGGAAGGCTTGGAGCTCGACGAGACGGAGGAAGAGAAGAAGCAAAAGGAAGAAGTTGCGGCTCAGTACGAGAACCTCTGCCGCTTGATCAAGGACATCTTGGGTGACAAGATTGAGAAGTGCATCGTCTCTGATCGCGTTGTCGACTCGCCGTGCGTCCTTGTCACCGGCGAGTACGGCTGGAGCGCAAACATGGAGCGCATTATGAAGGCTCAAGCTCTTCGCGACAACTCTATGAGCAGCTACATGTCCAGCAAGAAGACGATGGAGATTAACCCAGACAACTCCATCATGAAGGAGTTGCGCAAGCGCGCCGATGCGGACAAGGGTGACAAGACTGTCAAGGACTTGGTGCTCCTCGTGTTCGAAACCGCCATGCTCACCTCCGGCTTCTCCTTGGACGAGCCGACGACGTTCGGCGGCCGCATCCACCGCATGATCAAGCTCGGTCTCTCCATCGACGAGGACGACGCGCCGGTCGCGGATGACTTGCCGGCGCTCGAGGAAGAAGTCGACGAGGGTTCCCGCATGGAAGAAGTCGACTAATCAAGACGGGAACTGGACTGTTCGTGCAAAGTCGCCTTGCGTTGGGAACCGGCGATGATTCTAGATGGGATGAAAACACATTGATTCGCTCCTTACGAGTCGAATAAAAAAATGAAAGAATAATATGCGTGCAATAAGAGAGAAGCGACGTTGTTCGCACCAATTCACAACATCGACCCCGTCGCTCACCTCGCTCGCCTCGCTCGCTTGCTCGTAGTACTTTCCCTCACAAATCGTCGCGCGCTGGCGCCATGCCGCCCGATCCAGCGGAAGGGAAATGGGCGCGCCGGAGACTCACTCGACCGAGTCGATCGGAGCTCGTTCGCACGATCGGCGCCGTCGTCGTGCCGGTCTCCGTCGCGATGCTTCTTTGCGTCGCCCTAGTGGAGCTCCTTCGAGACGATTTCGAAGACACCGGCGACGGCGGTGGGGTCTTCAGCGCGGTGTACACGGAGAAGGTACGTCTTCATGAACGATTAATCGATCGACGCGCGAACGCGACGCGACGCGGGTGGAGACGACAAAGGCGACGCACGCGGCGAGGAGGGTGTTGGAGGTGCGCGCAGTCGCGACGCAGTGCCGAAGAAGACTGACGACGACGGCGACGGTTCTCACCCGCGTGTAGACTTCGGACAATGATATGGTGAAGTTCAAAGGAAGCGTGCTGAACGCGATCGTGTTCGTCGTGTTCATCACGGTGATGACGTTTGGGATTTTTCTGTGCTTCAAGTATCGAATGGGAACGTTCATCTGGGCGTACATGGGGTTCAGTGGATTTCTCATATTCGGGGTTTTAGGGACTGATATCTTTATGCGATTGTTGCAAAGGTTAGACATAGCGATAGATGTAGTGACGGTGGGGTTGGTGCTGTGGAACTTCACCGTGGGCGGGGTGTTGATGACGTTCTTCTGGCCGGGTCCGCTATTGGTGAAGCAGGGATATTTGATCTGCATCTCCACAATCGTGTCGTTTTACTTGACACGAATACCGGAGTGGACGACGTGGTCGGTGTTAATAGCCATGGCTCTATACGATTTGTACGCCGTGCTCACGCCGAACGGCCCACTGCGACTCATGGTTGAGTTGGCCCAGGAGCGAAACGAGGATATCCCGGCGCTTGTGTACGAATCGCGCGGCATGAACGACGATAGCAATAATGGAGCGTATCAACGAGCGAGTGTGGATGATGGGGACGCGAGCGCGGGCGCAGGTGGCGATGGTTCCAGAGGCAGCTCTGACGAGAAGTACGGTCTTCCCGATTCCATCAAACTCGGACTCGGAGACTTCATCTTTTACAGCCTCCTCGTCGGTCGAGCCGCGATGTGGTCCTGGATAACGTGCGCCTTCTGTTTCATCGCCGTCATTTCTGGCTTGGTACTCACGCTCTTCGCCCTGAGTGTACACGGCAAGGCTCTCCCGGCGTTGCCCATTTCCATTGCACTCGGCGCCGCAACGTACTTCCTCTCCAGCCGCTTCGTCGAGCCCTGGATCGTGCAGTCCTACGCCCGCGCGATGTGCGCGTGAGCGATAAATGCTGATAATTTCACATTGTATTATACCATGCACGCGCTCGTTAGCCATCTCACGACCGTCGCACGACCTACACGAGTCCATCCTCTCGCGCGCGGAGGATAGAGACGAAAGGCTCAGGGTAAGCTTTTCCTTCCACTTCCCATCGCCGCTCGCCCCACACACCGCGTCGCGCTTTGTCGCGCTTTGTCGACGCCCATGTCCATCGCGAGCGTCTCCGCGCGCGTCACCGCCCCTCCCAGCGCCCGCGCGCGCGTCGCTCGACGACGCGCGTCGCTCGTTCGCGTCCAGAGCTCAGCCGACGGCGCGGGTGACACGCCGTTCATCGACCGTAAGAGCGCGCAGGAGGCGGCGAGGAAGGCGCTCCAGGGTGCCTTAGGGGGTAAGGCGGAGAAGAAGCTCAGAGCGCTCGACGGGGGTGGGCCCAGAGGTCCGATCGACTGGTTCTTCGGCGGCGGCGGCGGCGGCGGCGGCGACGGCGGCGACGCGCGAAAGATTGCGGGTTGGATTTTCATCGTCTTCGCCGTGCTCACGCTGTTCAAACCGGTGACGGCGATCGCGGTGAACGCGATGTATTACGCCTTCGGCTGGCGCACCGGTCGAGAGGCGCCCACCGAGGCTGAGCTCGCGAGCGCGAACGCGCCCGCCGACGCGAGCGTCATCGCCAAGTACGCCGCGGACGACGACGACGACGACGACGACGACGACGACGACGACGACGCGGGCGACGATTAGCACCACCACCGAGCGCACCGTTTTCGCTCATCGTTTTCATGTCATCGCGCGTAGCATCTCTCGCCCGTCGCCTCGCGCGCGCCGCGCGCGTTCCTCGAGTCCTCACCCATGGTGACCCCCCCTCGAGCGCGCGTCGACGCGACCGATCGCCCGCACACGCGCGCGCGAGCGAACGCGATGGTGAAGCAACTCGCGAGCGCCGAGGAATTCGCCGCGATCAAGGCGGCCGGTAAGCCGGTGCGTGAGAGCGGCGATCGGATGCGTCGACGCGGACCGCGCCCGGCGGGTCACGGCGACGGAGTGAATGCGCGGTTGGATCGTCGGAGGATCGAGATTAAATTGGTGTTCGTTGATCGTCGATCGCGCGAGCGTGGACTGACGGGCGCGGTCTCGAACGCGCGCAGGTGGTGGTTGATTTCACGGCGAGCTGGTGCGGACCGTGTAAGGCGATCGCGCCGCACTTCGAGGAGTTGTCGACCAAGTACCCGGAGATCGTCTTCGTGAAGATCGACGTGGACGAGCTGGAGGACGTCGCGGGCGAGTGCGGAATCTCCGCGATGCCGACGTTTCAAGTGTACTCGAACGGCGTGAAGGTGAGCGAGATGACGGGCGCGGATCCGGCGAAGCTGGCGGCGCTCGTGAAGGACGCGAGCGAGCTGTGATGGGGCTACGCGAAAGGTTCAAGACTTGGACGCGCGGATCCGGCGAAAAGCCTCCTCGACCGACGAATCGAGCGCGCTCTGCTCGGCGACGGTGCGAGTCACGCGCGTTTTACGTAACGCAATCATTTGGTGTAATCAACTACAACTCTTTGTTGGACGTAGTGCGTATAGAAGCGTTGTCTAAAAGCGCACGCGTCGCGGGGCCTCGTCAAATATTTCGGCGCCCGCCTCGACTTTATGCTGGAACGTTTCCGCCGCCGTTCCCGCCATCATCGTCGTCATCTGGGTTACGAAGCGACGCACCGGGCGGGCCTGTCGGACCCTTGGGCGTGGGCGTCAACAACTTGGCGTTGTATCCGTCAATGTACGTCTCAGACTGGCGCAAAAAGTTGCCAAACGCGACAGCCTCCAACACGAGACGTCTCTGGGATGCGTACGCTAGGGTGAGAGTTTGAACCTTCTTGCTCGACACGGCGTCATTAACCGCATCCATGAGCTCCTCCGGGGTCACTGCGTTCATTCCCACGGCGTCCTGCATCTCGCGTTGGAGCTCTTCGATGGAGCCGAAGAGCGCCCCCGTTTGGCGCTCCGCCACCATTACCCCCTCCATCGAGACGATTCTTGCAGTTTGCGCCAGCGTCATCTGGTCGAAATTTTGAATATACTGTTTGAGAGTCATTTTGCTCCTCGACTTGCTCGCTCCAGCGTTCGCGTTCGGGGAATCGGCGAACATGTCAAAATCCGCGCCCCCAAAGTTTTCCGGCGCCGCGTCTGCCTCGTCGATGGAGTCCATCGCACTCGCGCTGTTGAACAAACGTTCCAATGCCTTGGCGCTCTCCATCGGGTCGAGAGGTAGTGTCCCCATCGCGCGGTCGAGCTGAAATCTCTTGTCAGCGCGCGTGATAAAATATCCAAACATGATGGACGCTGCGTACACTTGCGCCGCCTGGAGCTTGGACATGCGCACAAGCTGTGACGAGTACGCGTTCTCCCCTGCGCCTCCCAAGACCGCCATGAGATGTTCGCGTACCATTTCTAACGCCTCCTTACTATGCACTCCGTCCGTCAATCGATTCAGATCAATCCCCTTGAGCATCGTCGTCTCGTCCAGCGGCGGAAGCATATCTACTCCGACGCTCAGAAACTTTTGAATGATGCTAGTGTACATAATGTCCTCCAATCCGTTCCTTCGCTCCAACGCTCGAACATCTGCGATGCGCTTATACAGCACCAACTGTTCGCTCGACTCTCCCGCGCGCGCGCCCTCTTCCTCAATCTCCCGAACGAGCGCGTCGAGCTGCGAGTCCACCGCGCTCTCAAACATTTCCGGCGACGTTCGCAATATGTACGCCAGCTGCTGCCCCCGAGGGGACTCCGGCGTGCTCGGCGCCTTCAATCCCGCCGCTGGATTCTCTCGAGCGTCCCCGAAACCCTCCGCGCGCGCCGTGATGCGACCCGAGCGTCGAGGATACGCGCGCAGCGAGCATTTCGTATTGATCTTTTCGCCGCCGTACCGTGCGCTCAGGGCGCGAGACGCCGTGAAACTCGGCGCGGCGACGCGAGACATCGCCGCGCGCTGTCCCTCTCTCTGCCGACCACGAAGACTCGCCGGCGGCGACGAGAAGCGCGCGCGTGTGCGGTGCCTTCGGAAGACGTCGAAACAACGTCGTCACGAGGGGGTCATTCTTGAGTGATGACTCAAAAGAAAATGAAGCGAGCACACGATTCCCCGTCGGTCAGCCGCAGACGCCCTCGCGCGCGCGCGATGCGCTCGACGGTCCGTCGCCTCGACTTCTCGGCGCGATTGACGTCGCGATGCCTCTCGTCCGCGTTCGCGACGTCGACGGAGACGACGCGAACGCTGAAACAATCCATGACGGCGCTCGTGCGTTTGGTGCACCCGGACGTCTTGGCGTCCACGCACCCCGAGCTCTCGAAGGCGAACGCGGAGGCCCTGGCGCATCTGCAGGGGACGCTCGATCACGTGCGTCGAGCGCGGGAGCTCCCAGGGGCAAAGGTGAGAAGGTTGACGTTTTACGTGCGGGACGCGGGCGCGGCGGAGAGCGCCGACGACGTGCGAGCGGTTCCGTTTACGCTGCGCACGACGGGCGGGGACTGTCGAAACGTTGTGCGGAGAGATTTAGGGTCACTTTTCGCGTCGGTTGGGATCGAACGGGAGTTCGAGTGGGACGATGGTGATTGGCGGACGACGCGGACGGCGGAGGAGGAGGCGGAGGAGCGGAGGAGGAGGAACGAGCACGCGGAGACGTCGAGGGAGTACGGCGAGCCGGAGGTAGCGCAGGCGTATCGAGAGCAAACCGGGGCGCGCGTGTCGACAAGAGAGCAGAGTAAGGACGTGCACGAGGCGATCAAGGTGTTGGATCCTTTGTTTGAGGGCATCGCGGCCGTGGCGTGGTTGCGAGATGCGAGCGAAAACGCCGACGAGGGCGAGCGCAAACGTCTCGTCATGTACGAGGCGATTCCGCATCTCGTTCGTGAGGGATGGAATTTAAAGGGGGAGACCATGGAGGCGATCTGGCGAGGCGAGCGGGACGAGAAGATTTTGCTGGATGGTTTGGATGGAGGAAGCGCGTTGGCGGTGTTGTCAATTTTGAAACACGCGAAAAACTTGGAACGTCTCTACGGGCCACCTCCAGCGCGCAAGTAGTCACTAGCCGCGTGTGAAACAGTGATCGCTCAATAATCGTTTACAATCAATCAGTTCCTCTGCTTACAGAATACAGTAGTACGAAATACAGCCAACCACCAGAGCCGATTCACTCCCGCTTCACAGTTCATCCTAAGTTTTTCGTTCGATCGTACGCGATGACGTAGCACTCGCGCTCGAACTCTTGAGGAGAGGATGCGAAGAATGAGTTATCGTCTCGATCGATGGCAGCGATGTATCGAGTCACACGCTCGTCGTCAAAAGTCTTCCAGTTGTTGGATCCGTTTTCACGGCGATGCGTGATGTAATGTCCCAGTTCGAGAGTCGCACCGATGTGGCCGACCACGGAGCGCAAGCCGAAGGTTTCGTTGTCTTCGGCGACGCGTGATCGCGTTTGCACTGGAACTCTCGGTGTATGCGTAGCCGGAGTTCCGGATAATATCTCGTCACTCGACAGTCCATCGTTGATCTTCTGGTCTTCCGATCTGGAGTTTGACGGCGATTTCTTGGCCTCGACTCTGTTCAGATTCATGGGTAGCGTCAAATTCATCGGTAGTCGAATATTCGACGCGATCTTATGCAACTGCATCTCATTCGTATCTGCATCGTAGCTAGCAGAAAAGCGTTTCAGATGCAGAAGCAACACTTTCGGTTTCGACATAACGTATCTAGACGACAAGCACGTTCGGCCGAAACAACCGCTTCGATCACATGTACGCTCGAGCATCTCCGGTTCGAACGAGTTCGTGAGGAGTTGTTCGATCGAGTGTCGCGACACGGCGACCACTTGGAGCGTCAGAGCGTACATCGATTCGTCTACCGTCGTGATATCACCGCACATGCCACACTTCATTGTGTGCGCAATGCGCCAAGCAAAATTTCTGCGAGAGGGACATCGTTCAACGTCCTCGCCCATCTCGCGCTCAATCGACTCTAACATCACGGTCAAGAACTCCATCGCGTCCTGTTGATCGAAGTCACCGTACGGTCCTACTTTAGCCATCTCTCGCTTGATCTCAGCCGCGCTCAGAACCTTGCCTTCGTCTTGAACGAAGAATCGTGCGAGCGCCGCAAGAATCGGCTTGCGCGCTAGATCATTCCATCCGATCGCATTAACGTCCTCGACGAAACCATCCAGGCTCTTGAGCATTTGTAACGTCGCCGATATGTAGCACGAATTCCCCAAGTTCTCGATTCCGCCCGCCATCGCTCGTAATCTTGATCGAAATCGCGCTCTCTCGGAAACGACGGTCTGCCACTGTGACAACGCGCGCTCGTGCTCGCCCGTCTCGCACGCTCCGATCATCGGCGCGTCCACTCTGCGCGCCGTCATTCGCCTTTTTCGCTCGCGCCAAATCTCTTCGTCGTCGGGCCGCCAGCGTGCACGTCCTCGCGTGAACTCCCGCGCTCGATCCGAGACGATTGAACTCCCGGCACCTCGTTCGGCTCTCTCGCGCGCGGCGCTCTCACCTCTGTTTCGCGCGTCTCCCTCGCTCGCGCGTCGCCCCGTCTCCCCGAACTCACTCCTCAAAACCATCAAACACGCCCTATCGATCGACTCGTCGCTCTCGTCGCGCCAGACGTCCAACGCGTCGCGCGGCGCGTCCGCACTCGTCTCGACCGAATCGCCCTCTAAAGATTTAAATCTCCCACTCGTAAGCGGTATCGCGCACTTTTCCGGCGTGGTCGTCGTGGCGGGCAACCCAAATTTATATCTTCGACTATCACCGTGCGCGTCGGCGCGCCCACCGTATCCCTCTCGTCGCATCGGCGTGGTGAAGTGATGCGTCGCGAGGTGCCGAAATCGTCATTGTTCGACGATTTGCGTCGCGCTCGACGTCGATCGCGCTCGATGCGCTCGAGCGCCGACGCGGGGGTATCTGGACGTCCTCATCGCGTGCTGTACGACGCACACGAGCGCGAGCGTCCAGATAACCAGACGGATGCGGAGACATTTCTGAAGCGTTTGACGCTCAACGCGCGCGTGCGCGAGCGCGCGTACGTCTCGAGCGCGATCGCGGCGTGGACGATCTCGCAGCAGTGTGCCATGGTCGTCGTACACGCCGGGTTACACGCAGCGCTCGTGGACGGGAGCGCGGAGGCGAGAGGGAGGATACGGTTGGAGCTAGGCGCGCTCGCCGTCGGCGGCGTGGCGTGGGCGCTCGGTGGATCGAACGGTGGACGAGGGCTCGGTGGGTTGGTAAAGCGATCGTTGCGATCGTTGAGGTTGTTTGCGCTCGTGTCGTGCGGTCTAGCGGCTCTCACGCCGTTATGTCAGACGATGACTGCGGCGGTGAGCGACGACACAGCGGCGGTATGCTCGGCGCTCTCGCTTGGATTGTACGTCTTGGCGTACGATTACGCGTTCGCGAATCTCGAGACGAAGCAGCTGGCGAGTTCGTTTTCGCTCGGCGCGGCGATGTTTGCGACGATGCTCATGGCGAGTCGACTGGACGATCGCCCGAGCGTGTTCGCCGACGCGCTCCTGGCGCTCGAGTGTTACGTCTTGGCACCGTACGTCTGGCGCGCCGTTCGCGTGCGATCCACCGCGCTACATCTCATCGTGGTGTTCACGGTACACGTCTGGGCCTTCATAATAGCTCGTGAGTGCGATCCCTTGCTCGGGTGGGCGTTCGTAGCCTGGACCTTTCTCCTCGCCGTGCTCTCGCCCGGGCTTCTCGTGTTTCTCGCTCGCCGCGGCAAGACGCAAATCGCCGGTCCTTGGGACGAGGCCCTCCCGAAGCTCTATCTCTTTCGCGGTACCGAGCGCGCGAGTGGGGTTCCGCGATATCGCCACTATTACGCCAACAAACGCAGCATCGAGTGACTTAGCCGTTGTATTTACCCGCGCGCGCGCGTCGTCGCGCCGCTTCGAGCCGTCCGCCCCAAACCCTCGCCTCCAGGGGATTCCCAGATCCCTAGTCATTTCCTCAGAGCGCGCCTCGTTCGCGTTTTCCCCGTTCTCCTCGACGCTCGCGTTCGATCGCACACCACGCACTCGACGTCTCCGCCTCGGAACCCGTCGATTCGAACGTCTGCGCCGCGCGAGATAACGGGTCTCACGGCTCCACGGCGCCATGAGCGTGCACGATCGCTTCCCGCACTCCACCGCCGAGTTATGCCGCGTCGACGCCGTGCAGTTCGGCGTGCTGTCGCCGGATGAGATCGTACGTTAGCGTTCTCGATTTTGATCGCGCGGTTCGGTGAAGAAACGAGCGAACGCGGGCGGAGGGACTGACGGATCCACCGTAATTTTTCCGCGAGCGCAGCGCAAGATGTCCGTGTGCGCGATCGAGTCGAGCGACACGTACGAAAAGGGCCGACCGAAGCGAGGCGGTCTGTCGGATCCGAGGATGGGGACGATGGATCGCGGCGCGGTGTGCGAGACGGATGGATGCGATAGCGTGCAAACGCCGGGGTACTTTGGACATCTCGAGTTGGCGAAGCCAGTGTATCACCACGGTTTTATCAATGTCGTGCTCCGAGTGCTGCGTTGCGTGGGGTACTCGTCGTCGCAGCTTTTGTTGCACAAGGATGAGGATCCAAAGTTTGCGCAGCTGATGCGGATTAAGAACCCGAAGAATCGCCTGAAGAAGCTCACCGACGCGTGCAAGACGAAGAGCGTATGTCCTTACACGGGGACGGCGCAGCCGCAGTACCGCTTGGAGGGGATGAAAATCACCGCTGAGTTCAAGCACCGCGACGACGAGTTGCTTCCGGAAGGTGGTGAGCGCAAGGTTGTCGTTACCGCGGAGCGTGCGTTGCAAATTCTGAAGGGAATCTCTGATGAAGACTGTCGCGTTCTGGGTCTCGATCCCGAGCACGCACGGCCAGATTGGATGATCCTTCAAGTCATGCCCGTGCCTCCGCCGCCTGTGCGGCCTTCGGTCTCATTCGATGCGTCTACTCGATCAGAGGACGATCTTACCGTCAAACTAATGGAAATCGTTAGAACAAACAAAAATTTAGAAAGGCAAGAGCAGAACGGCGCGCCGCAGCATGTCATCTTGGAGTTCACAGAGCTACTGCAGTACCACATCATGACTTTCATGGACAACACAGTAGCTGGCATGCCCCGTGCGCTCACGCGCAGTGGTCGGAGTATCAAGTCGATTTCGGAGCGTCTCAAGGGCAAGGCGGGTCGTATTCGAGGTAACTTGATGGGTAAGCGTGTCGATTTTTCGGCGCGCACCGTCATTACTCCGGATCCGAACCTCATGCTAGACGAACTCGGAGTTCCGTGGTCCATCGCGCTCAACATGACATATCCTGAGACCGTGACACCTTACAACATCGAGCGTCTGCAGAGACTGGTGGATAATGGACCGCATCCTCCTCCGGGAGAGACGGGCGCACGCTACATCATTCGTGAAGACGGTCAACGCCTTGATCTCCGCTTCCTCAAGAAGGCGAGCGAAAAGCGCTTGGAGTACGGCTACAAGGTTGAACGTCACATGGTGAACGGTGATGTTGTGTTGTTTAACCGTCAGCCGTCGCTACACAAGATGTCCATCATGGGTCACCGCGTGCGAATCATGCCGTATTCCACGTTCAGATTGAACCTGTCCGTTACGCCGCCGTACAACGCGGATTTCGACGGAGATGAAATGAATATGCATCTTCCTCAATCGTACGAGACCAAGGCCGAAGTCAAAGAACTCATGATGGTGCCAAAAATGATTGTGTCGCCGCAAGCAAACAAACCTGTGATGGCTATCGTGCAGGACACCCTGCTTGGTTGCCGCTTGATCACGAAGCGAGACACGTTCATCCCTAAGGATGTTTTTATGAACATTATCATGTGGCTCGAAGACTGGGACGGTAAAATTCCGAAGCCTGCCATTCTGAAACCGCAACCCCTGTGGACGGGGAAACAGGTGTTCTCGATGATGCTTCCGAAGGTGAACCTGTTGCGAACAAGCGCGTGGGCAAGAGATGCCGATGACGTGACTTTCAGTGTTGACGACACGGGCGTGCGTATTGAACAAGGTGAGCTCCTTACCGGGACGTTATGTAAGAAGACCATGGGTAGCGGCGGTGGTGGCTTGATTCATGTAACTTGGGAGGAGTGGGGTCCGATAGCCGCTCGCGGACTCATCTCTCAGACACAGACGCTCGTCAACTATTGGCTGCTGCACCACGGTTTCACCGTTGGTATCGCTGACACGATTGCAGATGACGAGACAATGTTCACAATTAACAACACGATCACCAAGGCAAAGGCCGACGTGAAGGAAGTCATCAAACAGGCGCAGAATAATGAACTTGAATTGCAGCCGGGTATGACGATGCAACAGTCTTTCGAACAGAAGGTGAACCAAATCTTGAACAAAGCGCGTGATAACGCCGGTAACTCGGCTCAGAACTCGCTTAAGGACACAAACAACGTCAAGATGATGGTAACCGCTGGATCGAAGGGTTCGTTCCTTAACATTTCACAGATGATCGCGTGTGTGGGTCAGCAAAACGTAGAAGGCAAACGTATCCCGTACGGCTTCAAGGGACGTACCTTGCCGCACTTCAGCAAAGACGATTTCGGTCCGGAGTCCCGTGGTTTCGTCGAAAACTCGTACTTACGCGGCTTGACTCCGCAAGAGTTCTTCTTCCACGCCATGGGTGGTCGCGAAGGTTTGATTGACACTGCGGTTAAGACATCTGAAACTGGTTACATCCAACGTCGTCTCGTCAAGGCCATGGAGGACGTCGTCGTTAAGTATGACGGTACTGTACGTAATAGTGTCGGTGATGTCATCCAGTTCTTGTACGGCGAAGACGGTATGGATGCCACGATGATCGAGAGCCAAGTGCTCGACACGTTGCGTCTTGGTGCGAAGGAGTTTGCCGCGGTGTTCCAAATTGATCCGGATGTGTCTGGCTTCAACAAGGGCTGGCTTAGTAACGAGCAAGCAAGCGATCTCGCTCACAGCACTAAAGTTAGAGAAATCATTGATGCTGAGTGGGAGCGGTTACAAAAGGATCGCGTTGAGCTGCGAAAGGTGTTCCCTACGGGCGATCCGCACGTGCACCTGCCGGTGAACATGAAGCGTATCATCTGGAACGCTCAAAAGCAATATGGGATGTACCGACCGGGTGGATCCGAAGAAGAGCTCTCCGTGACGCACGTCATTGAGAGCGTGGCTGAACTTCTGCCCAAGTTGATCGTCGTGGCGGGAACTGATCCGTTGTCTATCGAAGCGCAGAGAAACGGTACCTTGTTGTTCTTCGCCCATGTTCGCGCCAACTTGGCCGCGAAGCGTGTGCTCAAGGATCACAAGCTTACTCGAGCTGGCTTCGACTGGGTCATCGGTGAGGTCGAATCACGCTTTAAGATGGCGCTCGCGCCCCCTGGTGACGGAATTGGCGTCGTCGCCGCGCAGTCTATTGGTGAGCCGGCGACGCAGATGACACTGAACACGTTCCACTTCGCCGGTGTGTCCGCGAAGAACGTCACCCTCGGTGTCCCACGATTGAAGGAAATCATCAACATCGCAAAGCAGATCAAGACGCCATCGCTGACGGTTGCGCTCAAACCAGAGTTTGCGAGCGATAGAACCAAGGCGAAAGACGTTCAGGCGTCGCTTGAGTACACAACGCTTCACAGTGTTGCCGCCGTCACGGAGGTACACTACGACCCGGATCCGACCGATACTGTCATCGAAGAAGATCGTGAGTTCGTTCGTGCGTATTACGAGATGCCGGACGAGGACGTCGATCCGTCTCGAATGTCTCCGTGGCTGTTGCGAATTGAGCTGAACCGCGAGATGATGGTTGATAAGAAGCTGCTGATGGCGGATGTGGCCGAGCGCATCAATGAAGACTTTGGCGGTGATCTTAGTTGTATCTTCAACGACGATAACTCTGAGAAGCTCGTGTTGAGAATCAGAATCATGAAGGCTGAGGGTGAGAAGTACGATGATTCCTCGATCGAAGACGAAGTGTTCTTGAAACGCATCGAGACACAAATGCTTAGCAACCTCGCACTCCGAGGTATCCCGGATATTAAGAAGGTTTTCATTCGCGAGGCGAAGAGTAATGCTGTCAATCCACGCACTCAATTGTTTGAGAAGCACACTGAGTGGATGTTGGATACGGAGGGTGTCAATCTGCTCGAAGTCATGGCTCATCCGGATGTCGATTTTACGCGAACGACATCGAACCACTTGATCGAGGTGATCCAAATCCTAGGCATCGAAGCCGTGCGAAACACGCTTCTTCGAGAGCTTCGTGGTGTCATCGAGTTCGACGGCTCTTACGTGAACTACAGGCACCTTGCCATCCTCGTCGAAGTGATGACGTACCGAGGACACCTTGTGAGCATCACGCGACACGGCATCAACAGAGCTGAGACGGGCGCTTTGATGCGATGCAGCTTCGAAGAAACGGTTGACATTTTGATGGAAGCCGCTGCGTTCTCAGAGCGGGATAATATGACGGGTCCGAGTGAGAACATCATGCTGGGACAGTTCTGTCCCATTGGTACGGGTGAGTTCAAGCTTCACTTGGATCAGGAAATGTTGTTGGACGCAGTGGAGTTGGATTTGTTCGAAACTGCGAGAACGCCCGGCCACTACGGCTCGATGACCCCGGGACGCGAAGGCACGCCCGGTTACGGAGCGAAATCGCCATCGTTCTTGTTATCTCCTGGTGGAGCAATGATGTCGCCTTTCGACACGAGTATGGCATTCTCACCCTACTCTGATGGAGGCATGGCGTTCTCCCCTGGTGGCATGTCTCCTGGTGGTGGAGTCGGCTACTCTCCGACGAGTCCAGCATACTCCCCGACCTCGCCGGCGTACTCTCCGACCTCTCCTGCGTACTCCCCGACGAGTCCGGCATACTCCCCGACGAGTCCGGCATACTCCCCGACGAGTCCGGCATACTCCCCGACCTCGCCTGCGTACTCTCCGACTTCGCCGGCGTACTCTCCGACGAGTCCGGCGTACTCCCCGACCTCGCCGGCGTACTCTCCGACGAGTCCGGCGTACTCTCCGACGAGTCCGGCGTACTCCCCGACCTCGCCGGCGTACTCTCCGACGAGTCCGGCGTACTCTCCGACGAGTCCGGCGTACTCCCCGACGAGCCCAGCATACTCTCCGACGAGCCCAGCATACTCTCCGACTTCGCCGGCGTATTCACCGAAGGAAGAGGATGGAGAGGAAGAAGAATAAGGAGGTTCTTGCGTTCACGCCTCGAGTTACTAGTCTCGTTTGATCGTGAGTTGAGGAAAGAGCAAATGTTAGAGCAGGTTACAGACTGTAAACGGAAAACACGTTGTTACATCATTCATCTGAACGCGCTATAACTTCGACTGCAAGCCTTCTGGTCGAGTCATCTCGTCGGGCCGGATCCATTCGTCGAACTGTTCGTTCGTTAGCAGCCCAAGCTGCACCCCGGCCTCTCTCAGCGTCAGTCCCTCGGCGTGAGCCTTCTTGGAAATTTTTGCCGCTTTGTCGTAGCCAATCTTCGGGACCAAGCTCGTCACGAGCATCAGGCTACTACGCATGAGAGCATCGATGCGCTCCATGTTCGGTTCGATTCCCACTACGCAGTTTTTCGTGAAGCTCTCTAACGAGTCAGAGAGAAGAGCGATGCTATTCAAGTTGTTGTGCGCAATCAAAGGCTTTGCGACGTTGAGCTCAAAATGTGAGCTCGCGGAGCCGCCGATGGTAACGGCGAGATCATTACCTATGACTTGCGCGCATACCTGCATCAAGCTCTCACACTGTGTCGGATTCACCTTGCCAGGCATGATGCTGCTCCCTGGTTCGTTTTCTGGAAGACAAAGTTCGCCCAAGCCGGCTCGCGGACCACTTCCGAGCAATCGAATGTCGTTAGCGATTTTGAGAAGAGAAATCGCGATCGTTTTGAGCATCCCCGATAACGTGGATTGCGCATCATGCGCAGCGAGTGCTTCGAATTTGTTTGGCGCGCTCACAAAGGGTAGACCAGTCAGCATGGAGATCTCCGCCGCCATGTTTTCGCCAAACCTTGGCGGTGCGTTCAGTCCAGTGCCAACCGCGGTGCCGCCGATGGCAAGCTCGAGCAAGTGTACGAGCGCACCCTTAGCCCGTAACAGCGAGTTCTTAACCTGCTGTTCGTACCCACTGAACTCTTGCGCGAGAGTGATCGGGACGGCGTCCTGTAAGTGCGTGCGTCCGATTTTCACGATGTCTCCCCACGCGAGCACCTTTACGTGCAGCGCCTCCTGTAACATTTTCAGCGCCGGAATCAGGCGTTCCTGAACCTCGTGCGCGGTAGCGATGGACATCGCGGTGGGAAACGTGTCGTTGCTCGACTGACTCATATTCACGTGATCATTCGGATGAATCGGCGACTTGGTCCCGACGCTCCCGCCCAAGAAACGCGAATTCGCCACGTTGCAAATGACCTCGTTCAAATTCATGTTCGTCTGCGTCCCCGATCCGGTTTGCCACACGACCAAAGGAAAGTGTTCATCCAATCGTCCCTCCACCACCTCCCGCGCAGCTCTCCGTATCGCCTCCGCAAGTCTCGGCTCCAACCGTCCCTCGCGTTCGTTCACCGTCGCCGCCGCGTACTTCACGATGGCCAACGACCGCACGATCGCGATCGGCATCTTCTCCCCACCGATCTTAAAATTCTCCAAGCTCCGCTGCGTCTGCGCCCCCCACAGCTTATGCATCGGGACGTCGACGACGCCCATCGTATCGCTCTCCCGACGCGTCTCGCCCTCCGTCCCGGCGCCCGCGACGTCGCCGTGTCGTCCGAGCGACACCCCGTGCGAGACCAGCGCCCGCGCCTCGCCCTCTCGCGGCGTCCGCATGAGTTCCACCAGGCGATCGGCGAACGGCATCGCGTCCGTCTCGAGATCGTTCCGCGTCGTCGGTCGCGCCGGTCGTTACGCCCGACGGCCCACGGATGCGTGCGCGTCTTTCCGTCCTCGAGCGCCGCGTCGCGGTCGATCGCGCGCGACGGTCGATCGCGGAGTCGTCGCACGTCGCGACGCGATCGCGCGCGCGCAACGGCGCGTCGGCGTCGCCGGGCGCGGACGATGGCGCGCGGGATGGGATTGGACGATCCGACGTGGCGGCGTATGGCGAGTCATGACTCGTGGCGGACCCCCTCGGCGTGGCCACGACCGCGGATCCCCCCGCACTCGGTCGCGCCGCGCGCACGGCCCAGGGGCGATCTCCACGCGCGCGCGGACGATCGATATCGCCCGCGTCGTCGCGCGCGCGGCGACGGGGGGCGGCGCGCGCGTCGAGACGCGTCCGGAGGCGTGGACCTCGAGCGCGGGCAGATTTCAACGCAACGCGCGCGCGGCGTCGCGGCTCCGCGCGCGGACGATGGCGACGAGCGAGGATGGGAGTAAACGCCAGACGATGCGACGGACGATCGCGACGCACGACGGGGCGTTTCACTGCGATGAAGCTCTGGGATGTCACTTGTTGCGTAAGACGACGACGTTTCGAGACGCGACGATCGATCGCTCGAGAGACGCGGCGAGGCACGCGTTGGCGGACGTCGTGATCGACGTGGGGGCGACGTATGATCACGAGAAGCGATTGTACGATCATCATCAGAGGGAGTTTACGGAAACGTTCGGGAGGGGGTTCGAGACGAAGCTCTCGAGCGCCGGGCTGGTGTACAAGCACTACGGAGAGGAGATCGTTCGAGACGTCTTGTCGCGAGGTGGGAAAGTGCCGGACACGAAGACGGTGGACAAAATCTACCTGAAGATGTACGAGGAGTTCATCGAGAGCGTGGACGGGAACGATAACGGGGTGAACATGTACGACACGGATGCAAAGGCCAAGTACAAGGAGAACACGTCGCTGCCGCATCGCGTCAAGCGCTTGAATCCAGCCTGGGACGAGCCGTTTACGCCGGAGAAGCAGATGGAACAGTTCGAAAAGGCGGTGGCGCTCACAGGAGCTGAATTTGACGATATGTTGGAGTACTACGCGCACAAGTGGCTTCCGGCTCGCGCGCACGTGGAGAGCGCGTTGGATAAGGCGAAGAGCGTGCATGAAAGCGGAGAGATTCTCCTCTTGGAGACGTTTTGTCCGTGGAAGGAACACCTGTACGAGATTGAGGCCGAGCGTGGGGTGACGCCACTTCCCAAGTTCATTTTGTGGCAGGACTCCAAGGGATATCGCGTGTCCACCATTCCTGTGACGGCGTCGAGCTTTGAGTTCCGAAAAGGCCTGCCCACGGCGTGGCGCGGCGTTCGCGACGACGCCTTGAGCGAGCTCTCCGGAATCCCCGGATGCGTCTTCATCCACGCCGCAGGGTTTATCGGTGGAAACGACACGTACGAGGGCGCACTGGCCATGGCGGTTGCCGGTCTGAACTTGGATTAGAGTCTTTTAGGAACTGAAACGACGGAGAATTTTTCATAGAGCATTTTTCACGCCACAACTCGATGCCCCCGAACATCCCCGGCGCCCGAAAGGGTGTTCGTCCGCAACGTGGCTCGCGAAAAGCCAACGCGCGCGGTCGCAGGCTCTCGTCGAAGAAGTCGAACGGCGACAGCGGCGACTCACGCGGTTCTCGCAGAGGTTTCGGCTTGCTCGCCCTCCTCGCCGCCGTTGTCGCCGCCGTTGTCGCCGTCGTCGTTCGCGACCGCACTGAGCACGAGCGCGACAGCAAGCGCATTCGTGACCGTCTTAGAGCGAAGCCGAGAGTGATGAGCGAGCACGCGGCGTGTAGGATGGAGTGCCGGTTCATCAGCGAGCGGGACGTCGAGCGCACGCTGGAGGTTGGAAAGTTAGACACGCGGCACAGCACGCCGAGCGCCCGGCCATGTCCGAAATGGGCGTTGAATGACGGACGCGTGCGGGCGATATGGGCCGACTGCTCGTCCGGTGCGAAACTGGTAACGGTGATTGACACGGAGACGGACCATCCATGCGGACCGTGTTAGTTGGATTCATTCGGATAGTCGAGGCGTAGACGATCCTCGAACGGTGTATTAACGTGTAGCTCTGATTTTTTACGCTCGACGCTTCGATTTTGCTCCGGGTCTCGTCTTCGTTTTGGCTGGAGTCTTGTTCGACTGACGAGCGGCGCTCTTCAACTTTTTCTTTTTTGATTTCTTTGGGCGTTTTCGTCCGTTCGAAACCCATCGACGGAACATGCGCTGAATCATTCGCACGGCTCGAGCTGTCCGTAACTCGATAGCGCGCGCACGGGCGAGCTTGGTGGCGCGCTCGCGCTCAGCGCGCGCCTCGCGCTCAACACGTTCGCGTTCGCTGGCTTCCGCCGCCTCGTTCGTCTCACAAACCTCTCGAAGTTCCCTTCGCGCCTTTTCCACTCGAACGTCCAGCTCAGCATCGCGAAGATTCGCTTCATTCACACGACGCGCGTGCTCGGCGCGTATCGATTCGAGTTCGCGCCGCAGAAGGGTCTCGCACTGCGCGTTGGCACTCTCCAACTGTCTCAGCTCGGCGCGTTCGTGCTCCGCCTCAAACTCGCGTCGCCGCCGTTCCATCGCCGCACGCGCATCGGCGCGATCGAGCGCAAACTTCACGTCCACCCGTCTCGTCCGCGCGCACCGCGCTCGCCGCGACGCGTACATCATCGTCGTCGACACTTTTCGCTCCAAAAATACCAAAAATATCAACCGTCGCGCTCGCACACCACCGCACCGCGCCGCTCACGCCCCGCCCACGCGTCCGCGCGTCGTCGTTCACCCAGGCACGCGTTTCGTGAGCGATATCGCGCGCCACCGTCGTTCTCGACGCCTTATCGCGCGTCTCTTTGTGCGCTTTAGAAGACCAACCGACGTTCGATCGTCACATCCGAGCGCACACCGATGCGCGCGCGGCGCTCCGCCGTCGTCGCCCTCGGAGTCACCGCGACGTTCGCGTCGACCGCGTCCGCCCTCGACGCGAGCGCGTGCGCCGAGCGCGGGTTCATCGCGAGCGAGTGCGCGCGAAGCTCGTGCGAATCTTTGCTCCGAGCGACGTCCTCGCGCGCCGCGCACGACGACTGCGTCGCGTGCTGCGCCGCCGACGTCGGCAGAGCGCGCACGAAAGCATCCTTGCGCGTGTGCGAGTGAAAACTGTCGCGATACGCCAACCTGCGGGCGTTCAGGGACGACGCGCTCCCGGCGTTGCGGCGCGAGCGGTTCGACGTGGATTTCAAGCTCGTGAAGAACGCTCCGCCGACGTTGGCGCTCTCGAGCGATGACGACGACGACGACGACGTCATCGATGTCGGTTCGTGGGACGCCGATGTGATCGCGGAGTACGTTCGATCCAAGGTGACGCCGCGCGGCGCGTCGCCCGCCGACCGCTCCGAGCTCTAGAAGACGACGGAAACGGAACGCGCTCTCGATGTGTGACTCGCGCGCGACAGCCGCCTCGCTCGAGGCGTTCGCGCGCGATGATTTCGTGAGCGCGATGGTCACTCCTCTCTCGCACCCGATCACCGCCGCATGCAACGTCAGAACGTCATCCGCCCGAGTCCCGCGCCGCCGTCCGCGTCCGCGCGCGCGATCAACCGCCCGCGCGTACTGATCACCTCCGCACACGCTCGCGCGTCGCACGTCGCCCCGCATGGCGCGCTCGCGCCGGCACACGCGCGATGCGCGTCGCCGCGACGCCTCGATGCGTCCGTACGCGCGCGTCGTCGCCTTCGTCGTCGCGATCGTGTCGATTTTTTCCATCCACCTCGCGGAGGCCCAAGCGGATTACTACAAGGTTCTCGGCGTCTCCAGAGACGCCGACGAGCGGACGCTGAAGAAAAACTACAGAATCCAAGCGCTGAAGCACCACCCTGACAAGGGAGGAAGTCCCGAGAAGTTCGCGGAGATCGGGGAGGCGTACGAGGTGTTGACGGATCCGGAGAAGCGCGCGGTGTACGATCGATACGGACACGAGGGATTGAAGGCGCAGCAAGGAGGCGGTGGGCCGGGACCGGGCGATGGATTCGGTGGTGGGTTCGGTGGCGGTGGGTTCGGTGGGGGTGGACGGAACGTGCGGTTCGAGTGGAGCGGCGGAGGACCAGGCGGCGGGTTCGGCGGCGGGTTCGGCGGCGGCGATCCGTTCGCCGACATGTTCGGTGACGTCTTCGGTGGTCGAAGACGCGGAGGCGGAAGAAGGCAACAGGGGCAACAACAGCGACCGAAGGAGAATTTATTCGATAAGCTCTCGCCGGTGACGAGCCTGAGGCAGGGGAAGTTCCCGGGGACGGATGCGAAGAATATCTGGTTCATCTCCTTCTACGCTCCATGGTGCGGACACTGTCGAGAGATGAAGGGGGCGTTCGAACAGCTCGCAAAATCGCTCAAAGGCCTCGTTCGCGTCGGTGCCGTGAACTGCGAGATTCAAAAGGGCCTGTGCGCGATGGAGGGCGTGAACGAGTTCCCCACGCTGAAGCTTAAGAAGGCAGGCGTGAGCACGCCACTTGAGCAAGGCGACCACTCGTTTCAACGTATGCGGGACTGGGTACTCGACCATCTCCCTATTGGTTTCGCCAATTTGAAGAAACCGTCCATGCTGACCAAGTTCCTGGAGAATGATTGCGCTGTCGGTCGCGCGTGTGTCGTATTCTTGAACGATCAGCGAGACACTCCGGCGTGGTTCAAGGTTGCTTCATTTGCGCACAGGGACATCAAAATGGCGGAGAGCAAGGGCAAAAACAGCGCGATTGGAATGTATTTCGATATTGTTAAACAACCAACGTTGGTTGTGATCTGCGACGGGGATATCGAAAGGACAGTGGCGTATTCTGGACGCATCGAGCACGACATGACAAGCACCGACGTCGATGCTTGGCTATCGAGTTTCTCAAAGGATCACTCCACCGGTTGCGCGCGAGTCAAGAAGACCCCCAAAACAGGTGCAAACCTCGATCGAACGACGGATTTGCGCAAGATGAAGATGGGTCAGATCAAAGCGCTCATGGATGTGCACTCGATTCCGTGCGTGTCCTGTTACGAGAAGACGGATTTCGTCAACGCCATCAACGTATGGCTAGACGAAAAGTTCCCAACGTCTGAGAAGAAGCGAAAGTCAGGCGCGGAGTACATGCGCGCCTCTTTCGCGCGTGATGATTTATGATTTAGGCGCTTCGTAATTTGATCTACCGCATCGTATTGTTTAAAACATTCGCTCTAGTCCGCGTTTGGCATCCACGCATCGCTGAACGACTGCACGCCCGAAGACGGCCCTCGATAAGCTCCGGACGGTGGTGGTCCGAACTGCTGCGGCGGACGTGGTGGCACAGGATAACCCATCATCCGAAGTAAAAGTCGAGATAGCTCGCTGTAGAGGTGCCCCCCTCGGTCGAGGAGCCCCAGCAGCGACATAATGAAAAAGTGCAATGCCTGCGTGTTCTCGTCGACGAGGAACGAAATCTTCCCGAAGAGGTGCACGACCGAGGACAAAGATTGCATGAGCGCTTGCCAACCCGTGAGTGGAACCCCCGGCGGCACACCGCCGGGACCCATCCCGAACGGAGGTTGCCCATACATGCCACCGCCGTAACCACCGTACATACCGCCGCCGCCGTACATACCGCCACCATACCCACCGTATCCGCCGCCGTACATCCCACCGCCATAACCGCCGTATCCACCGTACCCGCCGCCATACACACCACCTCGCATCCCACCGTATCCACCGTACATCGACGAGCCGTACCCGCCGTACATCGAACCGCCGTACGGAGTCCCGTACCCCCCGTACGCGCTCCCGTACCCCGTCCCGTACCCCGTCCCGTAGCCCGCACTCGTCGACGCACCACCCAAACCGCGACCAACACCGTCCCAATCGCGCTCACGAGGCGTCGACGTCGTTCCCGTCGGATTCGATTCCGTCCCGACCGGCGCGCGCGGCGACGCGCCCGCCCCCGGCGCCTCCCACGGCTTCATCGCCTGCCCATCCGCCGCCGGCGTCGACGCCCGCGCCGTCTCACCACTCTCCGTCGCCGCCGCCCACGGTTTTGGCGGCGGTGGCGTCGACATCGAGCGCTTCACGCGCGCGAAGCGTCAATCAGATGGTTTCCTGAATGTTCCCCCTCGAGCGCTCGATCTCGCTCCGGGCGCGCCGTCGCTTCGGCGAGCGACTCGATCTCTCGCTCAAATCGTCTCACGATTGCCGACGCGGCGATCGCGCGTCGTCTCGAACGCGCGATCGCCCTCGGCGTCGCGCTGTAACGTCGCGCGCTCGCCGCGAACGATGGAATTCTCAGTCAACGCGGCACTCCGCGTCGACGCGCGTCGCCGCCGCGCGCGCGCGTCGAGTCGCGCGTCGCGCGTCGGACGCGATGACGCGCGCGACGTCGATCGGGCGCGATGTCGAACGGGAGAACGTGTTGGAGATCGCGCGGGCGCGAGAAATCGGCGGTGGACACGCTGGACCGCGACGTGTCGTCGTAAACGCGCCGTCGTCGTCGACGCGAGCGACGACGACGACGCGCTCGGTCGACAGCGATGCGGCGACGACGTCGACGCCGTGGACGTCGGCGACGGACGCGCTCGGGCGGTGGGGCGAGGCGGACGCGGTGAGGAGAGTGGCGGGACGGTACGTCCCGTTCTCGCCGGCGCCGAGGAGCACGATCGCGGTTGCGCACTCGCCGGACGGTGAATCGATGGCGAGCACGCACGGTGACCACACGGTGAAGGTGACGGAGTGCGCGACGGGGAGGTTGATGGCGTCGTTGGAGGGACACGGGCGGACGCCGTGGGTGGTGCGGTTTCACCCGACGGATCCGCACGTCTTGGCGAGTGGGTCGTTGGATAACACGGTGATCGTGTGGGATCTGAGAAGTCAAGGGATTCTAGCGCGGTGGGATTTCGGGCGGAGCATATCGAGCCTGGCGTTTTACCCCGGGAGCGATGTCTTGTTGGTGAATGCGGGGCACAAGCTGTATCAGTGGAAATATAAGAAGCACAAGTTTCACGGACAGGTGAACGCGAGCGGGGGCGAGACGAGCGCGCATGACGCGATCAAGGTGTTGCTGCGCACGACCAGATCGCTTCGAGCGGTGCACTTTCACCCGACGGGGGCGCCGATGTTGCTTACCGCAGAGGTTCGAGACATGGACCTTGACGCGTTGGGTCCGGCGTACACCAGAGACCCGATAAGCGGGAGCGAGGTGCTCAGGAACAGCGAGTACAACCAAGAGGATGAAGTGTACGTCGCGAGGGATTTACACGACGATGTGAGGGATCGACGCACGGTGGCGGGACGCAGACGCGATCTCAACGCCCCAGCTAAGGCGATGTCGCCGAGTTGCGAGGACACCGTGAAGATCAACGTGGAAAACGCTCCGGAGCAGGCGAAGCATCGACTGCATGATATGCTAGGACTCAACAGTCGACGTTACGTCACGTATTCGATGACGCAGATTATCGGGCGATTGGGTACGACGCCAGTCCAGGCAGCGTACGAGGAACGCCGTGACGCCCTTCTCGCTTCGAGTTCTAGATCTACTCGACGGGCCGCGGCTCAAGGTGGGACGGCTGGATTGGACCAAGACTTACCGTGCATAGTAAAGCTCAAGCTTTGGGAGTTTGAGACGCAACTGGACGAAGACGGCGAGATCGAAATCAAACCACTCGAAGTTTTACTCTTCATGTTGCCACAGACCGTGCTTTGCAGCGAGATGGGTGCGCACTTCTCCCCGGACGGACGATACATCGCAACTTGTCAAGCATGCAAACCGAACGTGTCTCGGCAGGACTTTCGTTATATCTGTGAGCTGCGAGTTTATTCTATCGATTCACAAAACTTTGGACAAGTCATGAGCGCTCGAGCCATCAAGGCGGCTCACTGCTTGACGAGCATTCAGTTCAGTCCCACAAGTGAGCACGTCTTGTTGGCATACGGGCGACGACATCCGTCGCTTTGTCTTCTCATGGCTGACGCGGACACGTTCTCGCAGTTGTACACTATTCTGGAAGTATTCAGCACCAAGGATTTGCGACTTGTTCGCATAATTCCATCTGTCGATGACGAGGTCAACGCCGCTTGCTTCCATCCGATTCCCGGTCGAGGAATCGTTTACGGCACCAAGGAAGGCAGACTACGCGTACTCGTGCATAGTGGAGGGCCGCGAGAGAAACGAGGACCCGTGCGGAACGCCGTCACGGACGATTCTCCGCTCACCGTGTCTATGCGCACACAACGAGATGCCCAGGACGACGAAATCGAGGTTCCCCTGGGTTCTCTTCGACTCAATGACTGATCGATTTAAGGTCGACGCTCACTTTAATAAAGTCTGCACGCATTGCTGCTGTAGATCTCTGTACATTGAAGACTTTTGTAAAAATAACGTGTGTCGATTTCTGATGTGGGACAGCTGTCTCGTCGAGCATACTCGTGGTGAGACCACACACGCCGCCGCGCGATGTGAAGAAACGACGTAGAGAAACGTAAAACGAAATCTCGTCGCGAGCGCATCGTGACCGCTCCTCGCTCATGTCAGGCGCCCAGAGAGTGGAGCGCCCACTGTTTTCGCGCAGAGCATTGGAGAGCGAGCTTACAGAGACGTCGCGCGACACGGAGTCATCATCGTCGAGAGAGACATCCAACGGGCCGAGATACGCGTGGCCCATGCTTTGGATATTTCCAACGGCGTTCGTGCTATTGGTGCTCGTCGTTCGCGGATGTCGGTGCGACGATTGCTTCGGTAGCCGTCGTAGTCGTCGCCTAGTCCGAGCGCGCGCGCGCGACTTCGACCCGTTTGAGCGCAGGTACTCTAGCGAATCATCGTCGAGTTCGGAGGTTGGTCGATCGATAGATGTTCGAGACGATGACGTTCGAGCTTTCGTTCGGGCGCTGAGCAGGCCGGATCTCTACGACGAAGAGAGACCATCGTATGAACTGACGGCTCGCGAGAGGCGTGAAGGTTTCGATCCGAGTGTGTGGCGCCAGCTCGCCGTATCCCGCGAGCTCGAGAGGTACAGACAAAGAGCTGCGAACGATGATCTGGATAACGCGTCGACTCATCGACAGCAGGTGGTGGACCTTCCGCGAAGGATGCAATCGCCGGCACCTCTAGAGTTTGACGAGACGTGTAAAGTCGCGAGAGGCGTCACGCGTACGGCTCTGCGGTCGCTTCCGCGCTGCGTCGTCGGAAGTCCGCGATGGTTTCAATTTCTTAGAGCAAATGGTCACGTCGCAAGCGGTAGTCACGACCGCGCTGGGGACGAATGCGCGATTTGCTGCGAAAATTTTGAAGACGAGGACGTCGTGGTAGTACTTCGATGCGCGCACGCGTTCCACGACCATTGCGCCATCCCTTGGCTCCGCATGCACGCCACGTGTCCAATCTGCAGGATGGACGTTAACAGAATGTCTCTGCTCGAGCGACACGACGTATTCACCCGTCGTCGACCGAACTCCGATCGCCGCCGTGGGAAGACGAGTCCCGGCGCCGGCGGTTCCTTCGCCGCGTAGCGCGCGTCACCGATCGAGTCGCCGAGTAGCTCGTACACGCGATGAAAATACTAAAATTCACTTCAAATCGATATCCCGACAGCGTCGAGTGATCCCTCGATCGACTCGCACGTTGAAACCATACTTTTGGACGAGAGTGGTGTTGGTGCAGCTTGAACCGCCGACGGTCGCGTCTCCACACAAGCGCGCTCGCACGAGCGACCGGGTACCCCGGGCACGAACGGAGGCGAATAACAACCGCGCCCTGACCGCTTCCCCGACGCGCGCGCCGTGAAACGCCCGCACGTGCGCGTAAAGTCTCCCAGGGCGGGTGAAATTTTAAGCGAGGATTCAGCCATGAGCGAATCGCCCGTAAAGCGCTCCGCGGAGGACGTCCCGATGGGCGTGCGCACGCCCGAAGACGCCTCACCGGAGGCGTCTATCTCGACGCCGGCGTACAGGGAGCGATCGAGCGGGAAGAAGCGCGGAAGGGCGGCAGAGGAGGACGGCGTCATCGACGACGCGCGAGAGTCGAGCGGACAGCGCGCGACGCGATCGCGAGGCGAGGCGTTGGAGCAGCGAATACTCGGGTTACGAGCTCGGGTGAAGATGTTATGTGGACGGTTGGCTACGGCAAAGGCGAACGCGCGACGGGCGAGGTGCGAGAGAGACGCGAGAGACAGCGACCAGGAAGCGTTTGGGTCAACCGGTCGCGTCGAACGTCGATGCAGCGATCGAGGCGTTTAAAGTGGTGACTGACGCTTCCTTACCATCGACTTAGGGAGCATATGGACGATGGAGGCGATGAAGATCGCGTGCGCGAGCTCCTCAATGAGCTCGAGGAAGTTGAATGGTGCGTCCTAGCCTTGAAACCAGCGCAAAATGAACGGCGACTGACGGGAGATGTGTTTTCTTCATGACAGTGATCTGCGCGCGCTCGACGGAAACGAACCCACGGTGGCGTTACTTTTGGCTTACACGTCATTTGTGCGACGAAAAATACGCACGGTAGTGACGATGAACGACATAGATGAGGATACTCTGCAGCTCATTTTGCGCAAGATGCAGATCGAGTCTCCCAAAGAGCTTCTGAGTCTCGCGATAGTGAACCAACGGTTTCGAAAGGCACTGCGAAGCTCGACTGTTTGGCACACACTCGATTTGAGTTGTCATGGCTCGACGATGACGAACAAAATCTTGTACGCTATAGTGAAGGATGACAATGCGTTTGCAGCGATCGAGACGTTGAACCTGAGTGGGTGCTCGCAGCTCACGGACATATCGGTGTTGAAGGTGCTGGGAAAGTGTCACGACACCATTCGATCGATCGATCTTAGTGGGTGCGAGCTCCTCACCTCGGAGACCGTGCGGTTCATCGGGAGCAAGTGTAAGATGGTGCAGACGCTCAACCTCACCGACTGCAAGTCCATGTCCTCCGTGGCGGTGTTTGATTTCTTGCTCAGGAACCCGAACTCTGAACTTCGCGATCTTAAATTGATGGGTACCAAGCATCTCAGCGGTCGTGTCGACGAGCTTGATTTCGACGACCTTACGAACACCGTGGAGGGATACTTGGAGTGGTTGAGATCGTTCAACGGCGCACGGCTTGACAGTGCTGCCAGCGACGTCGACGAGGTTATTGACCTCCTGTGTTCGTGCGAGAAACATCTCGACAGGTGGCGAGGAGGGAACGCAGTAGCGATATGCGATCATGCGAATGACATACAGGGACGACCCGTTCGAAAGGACGATCCCGTGTGCACCATCTTCCCGGATTGCGGTCACGTCATGTGCATCGACTGCTCAGCAAGTGAGCGGCGAAACATGATGCACGAGCACGGACGCTACATGTATCCGTGTTCGAGCTGTATTCATCGTCAGCCCATGCGATTCATGCCTACACCTGGTGGATTCGAGATTGTCGTTCGTTCGCCTGAGGATTTCGAGAGACTCTTGCGCGAGCGACAAGGCCAGCCAAGCGTACAGGAGCGGATCGAGTCTTGAGATACTAGTCGCGGCTATGATTTTGTTGTAACACACATGCGAGAAGACGCGAGAAGCGCACAATAGTGCGTAGCGAGTATATATGGTGACCACGTGCCCTTCGCGGATTGTATTACAAGAATTTGACATTTCACGTGCCGGAATGGAATTCCATTTATGACGGATGATGTTTTCCGAATCGTGCGAAAAGAAAACTCTTTACTTGGAGCACGCATCGGTCGCCAAAAGGTCCTCGTAGGCGGCCAAAAGGCGATCACGCGTAGATTCTTCGGCCTTGCGGATCCAGGCACGCGGATCGTAGTACTTCTTGTTCGGCTTTTCGGCGCCCTCCGGGTTGCCGATTTGGCCTTGGAGGTAGCCGTGGTTCTTGGATTCGTACTCCTTGACGCCCTCCCAGAAGCTCCACTGGGTGTCCGTGTCGATGTTCATCTTGATGACACCGTAGCCGACGGCTTCACGGATCTCTTCACGAGAAGAACCGGAGCCACCGTGGAAGACGAAGTACACCGGTTTGTCGCTTTCGCTACCCGTCTTGTCCTTGACGTACGCTTGCGCGTTCTTCAAGATCTTCGGGGTGAGCTTGACGTTACCCGGGGAGTACACGCCGTGGACGTTACCGAACGCGGCGGCGATGGAGTAGAAGTCCGGAGCGATCGGTTGGAGCGCTTCGTACACTTCGTAGATCTCTTCCGGCTTGGAGTAGAGGTCTTCCGGGGCGACGTCGGAGTTGTCGACGCCATCCTCTTCGCCGCCCGTGATGCCGATCTCCATTTCGAGGAAGCAGTTGATCGCGGCCATGCGCTTGAGGTACTTTTGGCAGATCTCCAAGTTCTCAGCGATAGGCTCTTCGGACAAGTCGAGCATGTGCGAGGAGAAGAGCGGTTCACCGTGCTTGGCGAAGTACGCCTCGTTCGCCTCGAGCAAGCCGTCGAACCACGGGAGCAAGTTCTTCGCGCAATGATCGGTGTGCAAGATGACCGGCACACCGTACAAATCCGCCAATTCACGAACCATGAGCGCACCCGCGACGCATCCCTTCACCGCCGCCTGTTGTTCCTCATTGCTCGCCGCCTTACCCGCCATGAAGACGCCGCCGCCGTTGGAGAATTGAATGATCATCGGCGCGTTCGCCTTCTTCGCCGCCTCGAGGCACGCGTTGATCACCGGCGACATCGTGCAGTTCACCGCCGGAATCGCGTACCCGTGATGCCGCGCGTGGTTCAACACATCGATGAGATCTCGTCCCGTCACCACGCCCGTCTTCAGCGTCTTCGGCGGCGCCGACACCGCCTGCGCCCGCGTCGCGACGCGCGATCGCGCCGACGTCGGCATCGTCGTCTTTCGCGTCCGCATCGACGCGACGGGCGCCCTCGAGGCGAGCGCGGCGGCGGACATGTTCACCACGGATGCGCGCGCGATGTCTTCTCGGACGCGCGCGGTGTGCGGGTGCGCGCGCGCGAGCGATCGGTCGTCGACGCGGCGCCCTTATCCACGACGCGCGACGGGCGACGGCGTCGGTCGTCCCGGGGGCGTAGTGCGCGGTGAAAACACCCATGTGCGCGCGACGTGAAGGGTTTCACGCGCGCGACGGCGTCCGGGGGGGGCCTTCGGCCGAGTCGTGACCCGTGAATCGTGCGGGTCCATCGGACGAGTCGTGACTCGTGAATCGCGTGGGGTCCATCGGTCGAGTCGTGACTCGTGAATCGCGCGGGGTCCATCGGTCGAGTCGTGACTCGTGAATCGTGTGGGGCCCTTCGGACGAGTCACGACTCGTGAATGGTATCTCGATCGCGCGTGCCGACTCGCCGACGACGGCCATCGCGCGTCGACCGCGCGACGGGTCGACGGCGCGACGGCATGACGCGACGCGCGGACGACCTCGCGGCGCACCGCGCGACGCTCGGGATCGACCACCCCGAGCGCGCGTGCTCGAGCGAGGAGGTGCGACGGGCGTTCACGCGCGCGGCGCGACGTTTTCACCCCGATGTCGGTCGCGAGCGCTGCGGGGGGCGATTTCGTGACGCGGTGCGCGCGAGGGACGCGTTGTTAGCGCGCGATGGGATGGGTGGGGGACGAACGTTCGTAAGCGCGGTGTCCAGACGGGGGGGGGGGAACTGGGCGTACGCGGGGGTGATGGCGACGCCGTTCTTCATCGCGGCGCTCGTGAGCGTGGCGCTGCCGAAATCGACCGAGGGCGCGCGCGCGGGGATGGGTCGCGTGCACGGGGCGCTGAACCCGCCGGTGAACGAGTGGTTGAAGGATGATTTGCGCGAGTACGGCGATGGGAATAAGGAGCGGTTCTGGGTGAGCGGTAGGGTGAACCCGAAGAGTGGGACGGAGCGGGAGCGAGCGCGCCGCGGCTAGCGTTGCCCGGCGCGGGGGAGCGAAACGCTGTATAACAGTATTACATACACCTGTAACTCAGTACATATCATAACTTGTTTTTTCCTGTTGTTTCTACCGATCACTCACTCACGCGCGTCGACGACGATGCTGTCGCCTCGTAGGGGCGCGTCGGCGGCGAAGAAGGCGGCCAAATTGTTCGCCGTCGTAGTCGCGATTTCATTAAGCGCCTCCCTGGTCAAGAACGCCGTGTGCGGGGTCACGAGAACCTGCGGCATACTCCCCAGAATGGCCATCGTCTCGTCCCACGCCAGCATTCTCTCCTTGGTGCCGAGCGAGGAGAAATCCTTGAAGAACAATTTATTCTCGTTTTCGTACACATCCAAGCCCAGCGCTCCGATGCGTCCTGACACAAGCCCATCGATCGCCGCTCGAGCCTCAACGAGCGCGCCGCGACTGGTGTTTATCAATATCACCCCCTCCTTCAGCTTCTCGATCGTCTTCTTGTTGATTAAACCCTTCGTCTCGGGTGTCAGTGGAAGATGAAGTGAAATCACGTCTGACTGCGCATACAGCTCATCGAGCGAGACGTATTCTCCCTGAAAGTCATCCTTTTGAAACTTGTCGAAACCCAAGACTCGCATTTGAAACCCGTCGTGACATATTTTCGCGAACCCGCGTCCGATCTTCCCGGTTCCGACGATTCCAACCGTCTTCCCTCGCATCGACGTCCCGACGAGCCCGTTCAGGCTGAAGTTGCCCAACCGTAACCTGTCTCTGGATTCGCTCAAATGTCGATTCAGCGACATCATCATCGCCGCCGCGTGTTCGCTAATGCTCAGCGGGTCGTACGCGGGCACGCGCATGACGCTCAACCCTCGTTCACGCGCCCGATCGAGCGCGACGTTGTCCACGCCGGCGCATCGCATCAACACCAACCGCGCGCCAGCGTCCGCGAGAGCGTCGATCGTCTCCACCCCGACGTCGTCGTCCACGAACGCGCAGACGGCGGTGAATCCACTCGCGAGCTTGGCCGTGGAGGCATCGAGTCTGCTCTCGGTGAACGCCGCGCGCGGAAGCGCCGAGCGAAGCGTCGGAAGCTCGTACCTGTGCGCGCTGAACACGAAGACTTTGTCGCTCGCATCGTCGCTCCGTGAAGTCGCTTCGACTCGGATCGATCGACGGGACGCGCGATGACGAGAGCGATGCCGCGCCGCGCACGCCGTAGGGACGAGATCGCGCGCATGCGCGGACGTGCGCATCGTGGTGTGAGGCGAATATGTGCCGAACTACTATTACTTGAAGTCAACTCGCACGTCGCTCTTCGTCACCCTGGGGATCACTCTCGACGTGAGCGACCCTAACACCTTCCCCTGTCTCTTGAGTTCCGCTCTGCGCTTCTTATCCCACTTGGAGACGCCCTCGGCGTCGAGCGTATCGCTCTTCGCCAAACCTTCGCTGAACCTCTGCGCCCGAAGCGCCCGAATCTTCTCGTCCGTGTCCACGAACTTCCTCACGATCCAACTCATGAAGATTGTCGGCGGGTTTCGAATCAAAGGAATCAACCCCCGGATGTTCCTGGCCGGAATCCAATCCCCCAGCCCGTTCCCCCACATCATCGTGTGCTCGTCCACGACGCCGCCCACCCAGCACTGTCTCAACGTTTGCAGATGCGCTGGTCCGCGGATCGTCCCGCATCGGTCCCTGTAGAACCACACGTTCTCTTCCGCCGCTGTTGATATGAAAATCACGTCGTCAGTCGTCCATCACGCGGCGAAAACACGCGGAAATCACGCGAGAATCGTTCGAGCTTCGACCGCGCACCATCCATCGCGCGAATATCGTTCCGCTTGGCGTACGCGTACGGTTCGAGCTTATCGCCCCATGATTGGGTGTACTTGCGACGGGTCTCCGTCGCGTCCGTCTGCGGTTCGTCGCCGTAAAAGGACATCGTGCGCGCGCGTGTGCGGTGGCTGAGACGCTCGAGGAAACCTAGGAAAGATAGAGGGTTTGGCGAAGACGCGGCTCGAAGACGCGGGCCGATGACGACGACGTGTGGGTCAACGATCAAGCGCAAGGCGCTACAATGAATGATGAATTATGATACATATACAGTGACGTACGTCATCGCCAGCGAGCGCGACAGAGGTTGAGGACGATCTGGGCGACGACGTCGTAGACGACTTCGACGGAGTGGACTCCGTCGACGGAGCACGCGTCGCCGCACGCCTCAGTGATGCCGGTGAGGCGCGCGCGAACGAAAGCGCCGGCTGGCTGCACTAATTTCGTACTCTTTTGGTCGTTCTGAATCGCGGCGTACTTTGCGAGATTGTCCTTTGTGAACTTTCGTCGCTTGTCCTCGGCGACGAGCTTAGAGGCGACAACGTGCGGGGCGTCGAGCCACACAAAGACGACGTCCGGACGCGCGTTGGCGATCTCTCGAACGCGTTCACCGAGTATTTTCATCTGATTCCTGTAAGTCGACACAGAATCGTCGTGTAAGATGTGCCAGAGCGCCGACGAGACGACAATCAAATCCGCGCTCAACCCTGACGAGTCGAGCGCCGCCGCCGCGTTCTCGGCGTACGGCGCCCACGTGAACGTCGCCCTCCCATCGGCGACCAAATTATGTGTCCAATCACGATGCTTCTCGCCGTCATCGGTCTTCAAACTGACGTCACCCCACGGTTCGCTCGTCGCCCGAACGAACGCCGCGTACGCCCCTCGCGCGACGCTATCGCCCACGAACGCGACGCGTCGTCCACGAATCAACCGCCGCACGCGCTCGCTCTCCGTCGTCGACCGCAACGGTCCGAACCCACAAATCTCTCCCACGTCCGAGCGCACGACCCAATCCATCGGCGCGCTTCCCTTCTTTCTCCCGCGCGCCGCCGTCCCCCAACCGAACGCCCGTCGCGTCGCGCCGTCGTCGCACCCCGCGCTCGCCAGCGCCCACGCCCCGGGTTCGCACGCCTCCGCACCGAACCGCCACGTCCCATCCGAGGCGTGCGTCGCGCACATCGTGCGATCGCGCGCGAAGAACGCGGCGTCGAATCGTCCATCGTCGCTCGACGCGCGCGTCGTCGGCCCCTCCCTCGCTACGGCCCCGCCGACGATCGCGCGCGCGACGGACGCGCCGGCGATGAGCGCGAGCGTGCCGACGACCACCTTGCGTCCGTCGACGCCGCCCGAGCGGCGAGGCGGTGGCATCGACGCTTCACACGCCGACGGGAGGAATGACGCTCGCGCATCGCGCGCGCGTGCTCAGGTACGCGCGCCGCGCGCACCGATCGTCGCTCGACTGACGGACGCGACGTCGCAGCGCGTACAGGGAGCTCGCGCACCTCGCGCGGACGCGGTGCGCCGGGAACGAGGTCGTGGCGCGGGCGCTGGAGCGCGCGAGGGATGAAATTCGTCGACGCTCGAGCGAGTCGGCGACGAGCGCGAGCGCGATGGATGGGATCAAGGCGCTGGCGAGCACGATAGGGTACGCGCGGACGGTGGCGCGCGGGCGGTCGAGGCGGCGATTCGCGTGGGACGACGCGTACGCGCGCGCGACGCGATTCGTCGCCAGGGACGGACGCGTGGAGACGGCGCGGCGCGGCGAGGACGAGGGTGGGAACGAGCGATCGAGGGTGGCGACGGGAATCTTGAGTAGGGAAGACGCGTGGGCGTATCACAACAGGTTGATCGATAGGCAGCACTTTGGGAGACGACTGAAGAAGTTCATCCCCGAGCCGCTGTGAGTATAGAATATATACTGAGTTAAAATTGACGTGATTGATGCGATGAGGTTGGAATGAAGCACGCGCAGACGTTCCTCATTCATTATTCTTTAGAGCTCAGCTCCAATCGGCGCTGAGACATGTTGCGGCGAAGCTCGGCCGCGACCTCGGGGTCGGCCGCGACGGCCCACGCCATCTCTCGTCGACCCATGATGAGGCACTCCACGTTGGTTTCGGCGATGACATCGGCGTTTCTACGACCACCGATCCACTTTTTGGCGTAAACTCGCGCGGTTGCCCATTGTTTCAGGGAAACCGACTCATTTTTCCTTCTCTTTGGCGGACCCTTCGCTAAAATGGCGTTGATAGCCGCCGGCGCAAGTTGCTTTTTGCTCGATAACGTCTTGGCGATGATGTGCTCTCCGAGAGCCATTTCACCGATAAACTCCCCGGGCTCCCGCTGTGCCACTTTTCTACTTTCGTCTCGCTTCACGTTTCCATCATTGTCCACCGGACTCACGAAGATTCCCACCGTGCCCGACTTTATGAGGAAAACCTCGTCCGAAGCGCGCGCGCCCTGGGAGATGAGTACGTCGCCCGGTGCGTACCGCTTCAACGGCAGTTTCATACCCTTGGCCATGTCACGAAGCTTCGACTTGATACGAAGCGGTGCGGGGCGGACAGTTTCAATCTTTTGCATCCAAGGATGGTTGAGGCAGTGCGTCGCGCTCAAACGATGTCCGGGCTTGAAAGCCAGACACGACATCACGAACTCCCGACCGGCGCTGCTGACGCTATCCCATTCGTAGCAATCGAAGCCAAAGTCACGTTCGTTCACGCGTCGATACTTGAGCGCACTCTTCCACAAACTTCTCGGCATGGCCCCCGTGAGCAGCACGTACGCGATGACACCGACGGACCAAATATCGATGGCAGCGCCGTACGATTTTTGCTCGACAACCTCCGGAGCGGCGTACACGGGTGTTCCGACCGGGGCGGTGTCCACCGATGAGTTGTGCGGCAGTGATGCCGCACCGGTGGCGTTCTCGCACCGAAGCGCCAGACCGAAATCCGCCACGACGACGCTGTCCAACTGGTCGTTTGATCGAAGCAACAAGTTCTCCAGCTTCAAGTCTCGATGAAGCACAAAACTCTTGTGCATGTAATCCACCGCGAGAAGTGTACGCTGAATCACGACCTTGGCCTCCTTCTCCGTGTATCGCTCGTCCTTCATCCGCAAAATCGCGTCCAGAACCGCCCCGCCCTGCAACAGCTCCGTCACCACGTACACCTTGTCACCAAACCGCGACGCTTCGTGCAATCTCAACACGCTCTCCGATCGCAGCACCTTTAAGATATCCACCTCATTCGCCACCTCACCGATCGACATCCGTTCCTTCCCTTCGTCGCTCTTCGTCCCCGGTTCCTCGTCGTTCTCTCGCACGCCGATGATCTTCATCGCGTACGTCTTCTGCGTCGCCTTGCACCGCACCCGTCGCACCACCGAGAACCCACCCGCGCCGAGCTGTTCGATATCATCGTACGCCGCCGCCGGATCGCTCGACGCGATCGTCAGTTTCATCGGTTTCGCCACCGCGAGCGCGACGTCCGACGTCGTCGCTTTCCCTCGCCGCTTCCCCTTCGTCGACGAATTCGCCTTCACGGGCGTCGCCCCCGCGGTCGCGCCCGCGGGCGCGCTCGGCGCGCTCGACGCGCATCCCATCCCTCGCGCCGCGTCTCGTTCCGCCGCGACGCGGTCGACGCGCGCGAGGGTTGGGATTGATTTTGATTTTATTCCACCCCTCCCCGCGGAGTCATCCCCTCCGCGCGCCGTCGCGGGGCGTCACTCGTAGTGCGGCGTCGACGACGCCATCATCGAGCGTTCGGGCGCGCGCGTCGTGCGGTGATGTGATCGCACACTGTGTTTATGCGTCCGCAATACGTGGGATAGCAGTCACGTGATCGCACATGGTGTTTATGTGTCTCCAATACGCGAGATGTCGGTCATGTGATCGCACATGGTGTTTATGTGTCTCCAATACGCGAGATGTGATCGCACATCGCGTGTACGCGTCTCCAATACGTGAGATGTGATCGCACATCGCGTGTACGCGTCTCCAATACGTGAGATGTGATCGCACATCGCGTGTACGCGTCTCCAATACGTGAGATGTGATCGCACATCGCGTGTACGCGTCTCCAATACGTGAGATGTGATCGCACATCGCGTGTACGCGTCTCCAATACGTGAGATGTGATCGCACAATGTGTGTACGCGTCCGCACTACGGGCGACGCGCGGTCGCGGACGCGACGCGACGGCGCGCGCGCGCGCGTCGTCCGCGGGCGAGCATGCGCGCGCGCGCGCGCGCGGCGATCGCCCTGTGCGTCCTCGCGTGCGCGGTGGGCGCGTCGCGCACGGGGCGGCGCGCGACGGCGTGTCCGGCGGTGTGCGCCCATCGCTTGCGGCGTGGACGACGACGGCGACGGCGCGGTGGCGAACGCGGTGGCGCGCGCGCGCGCGCTCGCGCGACGCGGGATCGCGTGCGCGGACGTGGACGTGTCGCTCGTCGACGGTGCGTACGTCGTGGCGCATCCGAGTGAGATCGGCGATGGGGGGGGGGAGGCGACGGCGGCGGAGACGTTCGCGGCGTTCGCGGGAGCGACGCCGAGGCGTTCGCGGGGGGCGAAGACGAGGCGCGAGGTGTGGATGAGTTTTGAGTTGAAGGGTGATGCGAGTCGTCCGGAGGGGTACGCGGCGATCGATGCCGCGGCGCGAGAGGTTGGGGCGAGAGCGTTCGCGTTCACGGATTACGACTGGGCGAGCGCGGAGTGGCGGGCGAAGAGAACGGCGTTCGAACGGCTCTTGAGAGGACGACGACCGGTCGTAGAGTTCGCGTGGGCGGCGAGGGATGTGGAGGATTTCGCGGTGAATGTGAGCAACGTGGACGCGAGGCGGATGCGCAAGCTCGGCGGTGCGCGCGTGGCTTTTCCATCCATCAAGATGACTCGCGCGTGGTTCGCCGAGGCTTCGAGGCAAAAGATCGACGTCATTCCGTGGATCGTCGACGATGAGGAGAGCGCGCGTAAAGCCCTGAGCGTCGGCGCGAAGGCGGTGATATCGAACGTGCCATTAAGAATGCGGCGAATCCTCGACGAGATGTGCAAGGAACGGCGAGGGAAATTTTAGCAATAGCGGATAGAGTATGAAAGCCAAGCGGTAGACCGCTTCATTTTCCCTTCTTACAAACCAACGCCGCGTACGTCACCGCGATGTTCATTACGGTCACCCCGACCTGGGACTTGGCGGCCTTTGTGGCGTGCCCGCGCGTGGGCAAGCCTAAGCCTTCGAGCACGTCCTCGCCCGTTCGCGGAGCGATTCCGTCTTGGAACTTTCGCGCCATCTTCTTTACACCCTTAGCCGTTTTAGCGATCTGTTTGCTCTTTGCGTCCGTGTCTTCTTTTGAAAACACCAAGCCCTCAAACTCAGAACACAACACGCCTTCGAAGGCATGTCGAATGAGCGAGAGTTTTGACAAAGGCGCGAGGGAATCTGGAACCTCCGTGAACGCGCCGGACGTATCTCCGAGCATGATGTTCAGAACCATCACGCACGGCCCGATCGCGAGCGCAACTTCCGAGTTTGGGCTCAGAGCGCTAATACAAAGTCCGAGCGACGAAGCGGCCGCCGACTGTAGAGCGAGCGTTGTCAAAAACATTTTGCGGCCAGCCTTGTTCAATCCCACCATTGGAGCCATGACGCCGCCGAAAACGACCGGGAAGACCATGTCTATCGGGGTCTCGATGAGAAGCTTGGATAGAAAATACGGACCAGGACTATACCCTCCGCTCTCGCGCGACATTTCGCGGCGAACGGTCGCGCGTTCTCGAGGAAAACCGTTCAAGCTCTTCACCAGAGCGAGCATGGACGTGTTTATGCAAGCTTGCATGAGCACGGCTACTCGTCGCTTCACACTTCGCGGACCTAGGCCGACTTGGAAGTTACAGCCCCCGAACGCGGCAGCAAGTCCGATAGAGGCCATCATTCGAACCCCATTGACCCACATCTCTCGTCTAGCCTGTCTCCACGCTCTGCCAGCCAATAATCTAAACTGCCGCATTGGTCCGCACCGGTTCTTTCGAGCTACAGCCTTCGTCGAGGGCGTCGCGATCAGTGTCTCCATCTTCTCCCGAGATGCTATTTTTGTTTTCCTTTCGTGTCTCTTCCACGCGGCCACGATGCCCTCGACGCGCTCGTGACTCCTCGCCTCTATTCGCTCGTCTCCATCTCCGTCGTCGACGTCGATGCTCACCAAATCAATCACAAACTCCGCTGGATTGAAGTGATCCGGACACACATGTCCTATCGACTTGAAGTACTCAACCACTTCCTCGCTCGGACCGAGGTATGCCACGCGTCCGCCGCTTGCGAGCAGTAACAAATCGTGCACCTTAGAGAACGAAGCGCTCCTCGGTTGATGAAGCGTGCACACCACGCACGCGGTCTCCCTCTCCGCGATGTCCACGAGCTTCTCCACCATCTTATCCGCCTGGAACGCATCTAAACCCGACGTCGGTTCATCCACGAGCACGACTAATCCTCGAGCGTCTGTGCCTAATCCCAAGGTTTCGCTCGCAATTGCCAAGCGTCTGCGCTCGCCGCCCGATATCCCCGCCACCGCCTTCCCGCCCGTGTCCCCGCCCACGACTGTGTCCGCGCATGACATCAGAGACATCTTCTTCAGCGTCGACATCACGAGCTCATCCACGTCGTCGTCGCTTTTGCCTCGCAGGCGCGCGTCGAGAGTGAGCGTCTCGCGTACGGTGAGGTTACTGAAGAATTTCGGTTCTTGCTCCACATAACTCAGTGCCGCGGACGTTCCGGAGCGGTTGAGCGACGCACCGTCGTACGTCACGCGCCCGTGGATTTCATCGCCGCGTTTGGCGCGCAAACGGCCCGACAGGGCGTTCAGAAGCGTCGTCTTTCCGCATCCGCTCGGGCCGAGAACGGCCAAGACGCGACCGCTGCTCGAGCGTCCGGAGGTGCCGCGCAAGATTTCCTTGCTCCCGGTGTTGTTCCCATCAGCATCTTTAGTTTTGACGACGTACCGGACGTCGTCCCAGGCGAGGACGCTCATTCGGCGACGAGTGAAGTGTGAGCTCGAGGACGAGACAGTTAAGACGCGTCAGCCGAAGACGCCTCGGACGACGCGAGCGGGATTAAAATCACAAACATTACACTACATCGCAATCAATCAGATTCGCTACCGTAATCGCACAACAGTCCTCCCAGACCCGCGGGCGATGGCTCGGGCTTCGCCGCGGCGGTTGGTTTGACTTTCGTCTTGGCCGCCGCCGTCGAGCGCTTAATCACAATGCTCGCCGGTGGCGGCTCCATCTTCGCCTTTTTCGATGGGCCATCATCACTGTCACTTTCACTATCGATGCGCTTGATCAACTGCCCGCGTTGTTGGTTAAAAACCGCGCGAGCGGTCTCCGCGTCCAACTCAGCCTCCCTGCGCGCGTTTAGTCCGAGAGTCAGTCTTTCGCGTTCCAAATCACCACTCTCGACGTAAGAACGACGCATGAGATCAATCGCACCGTTCACGCACCTTTCATCGCTAACGTCTGCATTTCTCGCCGCCATAGCGCTCAGAGCCGCCGCGCTCGATACCCCCGCGTGCCTCGCGTTCAGCGACCGCATCTCGTCCAGCGCCGCCATGATGTCCATCTCTCGCTTACTCTCCTCCGCTCGATTCTCTAACCGTCGCATCTCATTATTCTCTTCATCTTCCTCCTTCGCTCTCTCCGCGTCCTCCTCCGTCGTGTCCTTCCACATCTCGTAGTTTCTCGACGCGCCCGCCTCGACGACGTAGTCCCCGTTCTTCGGATCCGTCTTCATCGCCAACACCGCGCTGCATCGCGTGCACCGAAAGTAAAACCTGAATATCCGCATCCCCAGGTAATCTTCGCCCACGACGTCCTCCTTCTTGGCGTTGAATTTCGTGCCCTTGGTGATAAAGTTCCCGCACGTGTTGCAACAGATCGTCATGGGAAGCATGATCCTCACCTTGATTTGTCCACCCTTCGGAGCCTTACCGCGCGGGATCTTCGCCGGGTCGAAGTCCGGGGGAATGTACTTGTTTAAAACCTTGCGCTCGCCCATGGTGCACGCGCGATGTGAGAGGTGACGCGGATGATTCTGAGGGCGGCGCTCGCGACGCGCGACGAAGCGAGAGAGGCGTCGCGATCGGATGGACGAGCGAGCGCTGTGAAAAGGTCAACGTGATGATGGAATCAATGCGTGCGCTAATTTACTAAGTGACAGGGGCGAGCTCCACGCCCGGTTCGTCGTCGGCGTCGAGTTTGCGACCGGTGGTTTCGATGTCCAGGGAGAGCGTGGCGGCGACGGCGACGACGGCGACAACGAGGAAGAATGTCACGGCAAGAACCCGGTGACCGGTCTCGACCAGAGTGACAGCGAACAGGGGACATGCGATACCACCGATACGGGCGAAGGAGTTGCCGACGCCCAGGCCCGAGCTTCGAATCCTCGTCGGGTAGATTTCGCCGGTGAAGACGTACAATATAGTAAACGAAGCGAAAGCTGCGCTTCTGGAACAAAACAGAGCAACGTCTCGAATACCGACACCGATAGATTTGAAGGCAACGGGAAAGGTGAACACCGCGGTGGCGGCTAACGTGAGCGCCATCGATCCTCGCCGACCGATTCTATCGATGACGGCGACGGCGATGAGAACTCCGGGAACCTCGGCAAGTGAGCTGAAGAAAATGTCCGCGTACTCACCCGAGGTCAAGTACGGTGAGTTGTTCTGCAAACATTTCAGCGACGCCGACGCGTTCTCGCGGACGTTTAGTGTCGTCGTGAGCAGGACGACACCGTAGTACAGGAACGCGCAGCCGAAGAAGATGAGCCAAACCAACAGCGACGTCTTCGCGTGAGTCTTCGATAACAGCGCTCGAAAGCTCGTGGGAACGTGTTTCCTCAAGAACTTCTTCGTTCGAGATTCACTCCCCAGGAACACCGTTCGATCCTCCAACTCGGGAGCGTCGCCCGCGTGCGACGCGACGAGCTCGCCCGGCGGTAACGGCTTACCGTTCGCCTTGGACACGCGCCGAAGCGTCTCCTTCGCCTCATCCATTCTCCCAGCGCTCACCGAGTACATCACACTCTCCGGAACGATGATTATGCACACGATGAACGCGAACAACGGCGTCGTCGACAGTAACAAGAGCAGTCTCCACGATCCGTGAGGTAACACGATCCAAGCCAAGCCGCTCTCGATCGCCGACCCGAGCGTCCAAAATAACTCAATCAAACACAGATTCATCCCTCGATTCCCACTCGGTAAGAATTCTATGAACAGCCCATAGGCCACCGGCACCCCTCCTAACCCAACGCCGACGCAAAACCGAAAGAACAACATCGCTCCGAACGACCCCGCGAGCGCGCTTCCGACGCCGCCCGCGAGCGTCGCCGTCGCGCTCCCCAACAGCGCCGGCCTTCTCCCCCTCTGATCGCTCATCGCGCCCCAACTCGGTGCTCCGATCATCATCCCCGCGAATACCACGCTCGTCAACAGCCCCTCCGCGGTCTTCCCGACGCCGAACTCGCATCGCATCGCGGGTCCGAGAAAGCTCAGCAGCATCATCTCCATCGCGTCCGCGGTCCACGCCAGGCCGACGAACGCCAAGATCATCACTTGGAACGATCCGAAGCCCATCGCGTCGAGCGCATCCGCGGCGCGGTACCGCATCGGCGGCGTCGCGCGATCGTCGACGGCGAGCGGGACGGGGACGAATGCGTCGGCGCTCGACGCTCGAGCGGTCGAATCATCGCTCGCGGTGCGCGACGGTAACAACGATTCGGCGTCGGTATCGACGGCGTCGCCCGAGTACGTGCGTGGGACCTCGGGCGAGGGCGCGTCGGACATCGCGCCGAGGCGCGACGTGACGACGACGGCGGTCGGACGGCGCGGGAAGAGCGCCCGGGCGGGCGCGGAGAGCGGCGAAGGGCAGACTGCTCTACTGTTACAAAGTGAATATAAGAATGGTGCGGAAGGAATCAAATGAATGTTGAACTCTCCACGCCGATCGTTGATTGAGAAATCTCGCGCCGTTAGCTCACGGATCCTTGCCTGGCGTGTTCGCCGACGGCGCGCATGCACGCGTCCTCGCGATAGAGCATGCCGCGCAAAGTTTGACCGTTGACCCGAACTGTCATGAAGTAACCGGTGTCGAACGTGCCATCGATGTAGCCCTCGACCTTGGTGCCCGTCAAGTCGGCCGATCCTGGCGGATGGCTCGGTTTCAGGCCGTCTTGGTCCATCACGCTGATGTGATGGAGGAAGGATGTCGCGTCGTACGACTGGTCGTGGCCAGAGTTTTTCTCCTGGTACACCTGGTCGGGGTGCGGGTTCACGACCACGGGAAGAGAACTCGGGTTGAACGGCAAGAACAAATCGCTCAGATTGTGGTGATCGTTGTAGCTCAATCCCCCGTACGGGTCGCGCGCGTCGTGCCCGTCGTGGTGGTTGACGTCGTCCAAAAAGTCACTTCGGATAAAGCCGTGGGACGAGGCGAACATGTTACCCGGCGCCACAGATTTGCGCGCGAACGGAACGGACGTCTCCGTCTTCGGTGGTCGCCCGCGTCGACGCTTCGGCGCGGCGTCGCTCCCCGTCGACCCCGTCGCCTTTTGCTTTTTACCCCGCACGCCGTTCGACGAAACAGTCGGCATGCCGCCTTCGGCGATCAAACGCGCCTGTTCGACGCGCGCCTTATCGATGTGCTTCTCCTTTTCCTCCGGCGTCATCGCTTTCCACCGGTTTCCAATCACCTTTTCGATCCCCATTTGCATCTCCGCCCTGGATAAGAGCGTGGCGTCTCGCAACACCAAACGCATCTCGCTCGCGAACATGTTAAACGCCAACAAGTTCGGGCTCATGCTCAACTCACGGTACGTCTTCACCCCCTACGAGACACACAAAAAACACATCGCGCATCAGTCACCCACCCGCGCGTCGTCGCGCCCGTCTCGACGCGTC